TATACTACCTACCCGATTATTTTATATAATTTATATATTTGATGGAATAATTAAAAGAAACCAACTACACATACTACTCAAAATCACATAAGATAGAATTATTTCGTACTATTTGTCAATCGGTAATGATTTAATTTACAATCATTTGCTCTTGTCACTTTAGTACCGCAGCTGTTTGCTTTCACTTTTTTTACTGCGACAAAAACAGCCTTCCGGCTCTGTTGACAAAACAGGTAGAAGAATAAATATCCTCTTGCTGCCGAAGGTTTCAGTCTGTCATTAAGTTCTTCGGTAATAATGCTTTGGTTGTCTATCTTACGTATATTGCCATATTTTAGGTATTGTGGCATGAACACCGTATTATGTTATTATAGTCAATGTCTAAATATTGCGTTATAACTTCTGAAAATTAAGTGAATGAACTAACACTTTTTTGTTTTATTATTACATTAATTTAAACTATATTTACAGTTCGTTAAATATCTCACGTAGCATTGTTACATGAAGCATAATTAACTTGAAAAGAATATCACGTAAACAACTCTGCCATTGCCGTGACCTTGGGCGGTGTGATGTTAAGTTGAATTCCCAAAAAATTATAATATTATGATTGTGTCCAACATATGAATAAGAAATAGATAATAACTGCAATTTATTCCATTTCTTTGACTGTTTTAAATATTTTCTTTCCCCATGTTAAAAGTCAAACAAATGAATTATTAACACTCAATCTCACTCAAGCCTACGCCAAGACTTATTTACCTACATTGCTATCCATCATAAAACTTGAGAAGAATTGCCTATATCACACGCGTCCCTACTTCAAATCCGCTCTCATATCCCCTTCTAATGTTAACCCTTGTCAATAATACTAAGTTGTTAGGAAACAAACAAAAGACGCTATTAAAATTGCATAATCTGTCTGGATACTACAAAATACGTGATCAATAACCACCTAGCGTGCAAGTGTTCGTGCGTACTCTTTGTTTTGTTTCTAAGTCGTAGACATATGTTCATACAATATCATGTACCTACATACATGTTCCTAATGTGATTTATCGATTATGAAATATGTGTATACAAATATAGGTAGTATAAATCAAACTTTAAAAAAATATGGTAAAGCAAAGGCTTGTACATTGTATTGCCTACATTTCGGGAAAGAAGTGTTTTATACAGATGGTATGAGTGCTCTTAGTCCTTCACGCAATCCCAGTGCGGATTGCCAGACTTCACATATCATCGAAATATTTCAGTTTTTCTAAGCATAAGATAATAGTTTTCAATTCCTTTTTTATATCAAAATGTTATTGCTTAGTTTTTAAAAATAAAATATAACAATAAAATAAAGATATTTACCAATTCCTATTTCGTTTTCGTGTGATAATGTTCTGAAAATCTAAATCTGAAGAAAAGAACTGTAATAAAGTTCTTAACATTTGGCTTATTTTCTCTATCATACATACACTAGCATTTTAAGTCGTAAAACTTTTCACCTTTATATTCTTTTCTACTTGCCGACTAAAGCTATTCCTTTAAGTTCTTTATGATACGCTCACGCAAACCATCTGGAATTTAGCGTTTATAAAATCACAGACCATCGTTAATTTTCAAACAAAGCGTGTTATGTCATTGAAAGACTAGTAGCCCGCCGAGGTATAATTGGGGCCGTAATATGGTCAATCGGTTCAAGAGTACAGCGGTTAATGCTAGGGTCATGTATTATCGATATTGACTCCTGTAGTAGCAAGTTGACAAGGCATCGTGTCTCAACGTCAAATTTGAATACATCGTGTTTTACACATTACCAACTATGGCTTAGGCCTGCGTATTTTTAACTGCGTATTCAGTTTATAAACTATGTTATTTTAAATTTTATTCATATCTATTAACTCCCTGCTATGCAAAGGAGTATCAGTTCAATATCATCTTTATTTGCTGCCTGAAAGCTTTATATATTTGGCCATAAAAATTTGTATTAATGGTTCTGAAATAATCGGTTTATCACTAGCGACTAACTGCCAGACTTGTCTAATGCTGTGTAACGTATTTATAACTAATCCTGCAATAGAAATGGCTTCGTTTGATATGTAATGAGTTAATCTTTTAATTCCTTCATTGCCTTAGCCTAAAATACGACATTTGCGTTATTTTCGTTTCCAATCAGTTATTTGTTCTTATACTTTAAATGGTATCCCTATTGAAACAATAATTTTAAATTTCCTTTGTGAGCACTTTCATTTCAATTGACCTTAAAATTTTCTTATTTATCGAAATTTAATCCTATCTCAAAGTACAGTTGTAGGTATAATTTCGATAGCTGAATCACCATGATCTCATCGAATCGTTATCGCACAATAACACCTCGAAAACCCCACATAAACGTTCATAACCTTCACTAATGTGGGTGTTTAAAAATTTATGAACTACAAAATCATAGCGTAATTTATTAATAGATATAACTTGAATTTGTCTGGGACTTAGTCTTGGGAAATGTTGACCATCAAGCATTTACCAAGATAATGAGAATATTTACCCGTGTAAAGTTATAAAAACTTGTTCTCAGCCCCAGTCGGGTAGCACGTGCTTCAACTCATGTTGGCCTGGTCCTCTAAACAAAGGAGCACACAGATGTTTCTGAGAAAATACACAAAAAGTGCCCTGAATAGGTCCTAGCTTGGACAGCCGTCGAGATCAATGCCATTGAATTTAACACGAACCGAATCTTTAAAGCTACAGAAGTCTCGGCAGGTGTGCCTTACGACTACAGATAGAAATACATACGTATAAACTCACACATTCGTCTGTAATAAATACACTGTACTCCGCGTGTAGTTGTGCCGCACATAACAACACTCGCCCTTTATTACAAATGCATTTAACGGATGAAATGTTGCTCTACTTTGAAATTCACTATACATTCTAATTAAAGAATCGTTAAATCGATTCGATGTAAAAGTCGAAATGCGTATCAGATATACAAGTAAACCGTTATGTGATTTTAATAGCCACAAAGACAAAACAATCTTTGGACACTGGTCTTTCGGAACATTCCTAAAGTTGTCCTACTTTTATCATATAATATGTATTATATGATATATTATATTAATAGTTTTTATGTATTATTTTCATATTTAAATTATTTAGATGAAAATTTTTGCTAAAATCTACAAAACCTATCAATAGATAACTTCAGCAGTGAATTTAAGAGGTAGATCTGATAGATACATTCTCATAAATATTAAATTTGCATATTTTTTTAATAAAAACAAATCGTGTAATTTTCTTTTCTTACTACATGAAAATTATCAAATGAACCTATACAGCTTATCATTTCTTTTACGTGGCCGCTCCTTTAGGGCTGGGCGAAGTAGAGCATTAACCTCGATATACCGCATCGATGCGGCGGCAACCACCTTTTTTTACAGTCCCAACGTATTCCCGCGTCCCCTTCGCATCCCGGCCTGTCAGTTCCTTATTCTTGCGCGATTTTGACTGTGCGCAACATGTACCTACAGTGATTCCGTCTGCACGAATATTCGCACCGATTCAAGACTCTCGGGTGTGTATGTTGTAAAATGCTCGAAAACGTTATCCCAATCACGGAGTCATTAAATTTGCAAGTGCTATTTATACCGATCGTGACTTAGAAATGGATACTCTCAACGTGATGCTGAAGACCGGATATAAAATTGTGAAGGATTTTACGGAACAACACAAACCAGTAAGTCCTTTCAGCCGTTATTAGTCAGGAGTGAATAAACTAAGTGCGGTGGTTTTGCCGGCAACGTATTTGTGTCACATGGAGCGTCCTTATCAACGGCTCCTGTCAACGTCCTGTGTTGATAAAAGAGCTTTACCTAACAATTGTATATGAATTTAGGTGAGACACATTAAACAATCAAATATTTGACGTATACTGTTTTGTAATATAAAATGGATATATAATGTAATAGAGTCACAAATGTTGACGATTTTGACTAAATGGGTTTATGGTTTTATTATTATGAGGAATACGTACGTATATAAGTATTTTGACTTATATTTCTTTTCGCCGCGATTTGAATAGTTTGTATAGTTATAGGTCTTACATAGGTTAAAGAAATTTTACTAAATACCTGATATTGCTAAAAGTGTAAGCAATCGGCATATTTTAAATGACATGGTTCATTAGGTGTATATTTACCTTCTTATAATTCAGAATTTTAATTACATTTTGCATAGATATTTGTATTTATGACGTATCTAACTTTAAAGGAAAACATCGTGGTAAACTTCAATATTCAAAGAGATGTGACCGAATATATGTGAAGCTTCCTAATCCGCAGTGGGTCGAGTGTTGGACTGTGTTTCTGTATTCTCCTTACGGAAGAGGCTTTTACCCAGCAGTGGGACATATAAAGGCTGGGTGATTTTTAACAATAGGCACGTTTGTTAACAAATATTTTTAATCTATAGAGAAACTTTGCCGGAACAATAACTACGAAGTAAAAATATGGAGATATTAGACATAATCTAAATTTCGCCGCATATGCCCTTATTGTAAACAATTAACCTTTTATGCCAAGACAAAACATTTCAACAATGATACCTTGTAAAACAAGAAGCTTTTTAACATATTATGACTAAAACCTATTTCATGTGGAAAAAAAATAAAAACTATATTTATTTATTATACAGTATTGTGTATTTAGATTTCTTAAAATATATGTAAAGTTTATGATAGTTTATACTTTTGTCATCTCACATAAATTATTTTATCTCTTTTAAAATATATTCATGTAATACGAAAAGGGAGATATTTCTAAGATTAAAAAGGTGTGATTATTTTTACACAAGTTATTTAATCAAGTAGAAAGAGGCTCTAATTAAAACTTAATCTATTATTTGTAAATGCTATTTATGTTTGAAAATAAATTAGTTATATATTAATGATTTCTTTGTATTTTTTTGGCAACAAAAAACTGTTACAAAAAATACAACATGGTTTCCTATCGCAGATGGAAACTTCGGGTGGGTCGGAGAGTTCAGGCGGTGAGGACGCAGAGGCGCGGCGGTCGCGGCGCGGCCACGTGCTTGCTGAGCTCTTACAAACCGAGAGGATCTACGTACAGGAACTAGGCTCCATACTTAGCGTAAGTTGAAATATTTTCCAACAGATGGGTTGAAGACACACGTTAGCCTCGGCTGTTGTTCACTTGGGCCAGCTTCTCCGGAGAAATACAACGACTCCACAGAAGGATGGTGAAAGCAGTTGTGGATATCCGACGGCTGCGGTAATCGTTTATCATCAGATGGACCACAGGCTACGTTTTCACCCTTTATCATAAAAAATCATTTTAAATCCAGAGCAACGACAACGTTGGCAACATATTTTGTGCAATTGAACAAGGTTTTGTTTATTTTAACTTATGGTCATACTTAAAGTATTACAACTGGCCAGTTAGAAACATTGCCAATGAAAGCTTCTTTTAAAATTTGAATATAGTCGTTAGTTACCGAATGTGAAAATGCATTCATTTCTCATTTGTTTTTGTAAATTAGCAGCAATTCCAAATGTCTTGTTACACCTCAAAATGAAATTAACGCAAGAAAATTTTCGCTCCATGATTTATTACGATTTACGTTGGGGTCTTACTCAACAACAAAGCTTCGATAGACATTTAATAAAGAAGGCCCATCCCGTGCCACTGTCAATAGCTGATTTAATAAGTTTATGCGCGGGCGTAGCTTTCGCGGTGACTATCCGCGTGAGGGACGTCTTTCAACAGCCATATCTGACGATAAAATCAGTGCTGTGCGACGCATGAGAGAAGATAAGAGTCAAGTTCAAGAAATATTACACGACTACTTATTCGTCACCTAGCTATGTACCAAATGGATACCCCATACTCTGACCGAAGATCAGAAGCGCCTTCGCGAGGATTGATGTCGCAAAATATTGGAATAGTTCAACGGAGGTGACTCTAATGCTGTATTTCATATCGTCACGTATGCAAGTGATGAAGGCTATGAACCCGAAACCAAAAGATAATCTGCTCAGTGGGTGTTTCCTTTTGAGGATCGGCCAACTAAAGTAAAGAAAGGAAGAAGTTAAGGGAAAAAGACGATTGCCTCGCTCTTTGGCCGGAAGGTCATTTCGTGACAGAACATGCTAGAAGATGGAAGGACAGTTACTGCAGACATGCATGTTGACTAATGTATACCTGTTTTCAAGGAAAATTTTCGACAGTTGCGTCTTCGAAGCGCAATTCTGCTTCATCGTGACAAAGCTCCGCAAAACGAACAATTAAATATTTGACTATCCCAGGTCTCGAGACAATAAGTAATCCAGCCCCAATCTGGCGCCCTGCGACTTTCATTTATTCCCAAGAATCAAAGATAAACTTCGAGTATTCGCTTTACGAGCCATGAAGATGCGGTGAGTGCATCAGAAAATGCCTTAGAAAAGACCACTAAGAAAGAATGGACCCACTGCTTTTCTCAGTGGTTCCATCGAACGTGAAGATGTATGGAGAGGAACGGAGACTACTTCGAACAACAATAAAAGCATTGCAACTTTCTTAACTAAGCAGTTTTACAATTGTGTTTTATGTTTCTAGAAACTGTCAGTGTGACCCAAGTAGTGCTCTTCTATCATTGTGTATTCCTAAAAGTCATTGATAATACACAGTTATATCCTGTTGTTGAAATCCATAATTTCGTATCCCATCTACAATGTCAACAACAACGTAACATATATAATGTTAGCATACTCTCCCATCAAGAATTTAATGTTCCGGGAGCGGTATTTCCAACTTTCCTTGCCCTTATCTCATTAACTCCATCCATCTTAACTTTCCCAGAGAAGCTCGCCTTCGCGGCACATAAAATCGACCGTTACGTTCGTCACACTTGATCAGCCTCAATGATCAGATATCACCGAAGAGTTTGCGCTTCAAAAAGTATATATGTTGCGCGTTGTAAGTAGTGCGTTCTCCACACGCGTAAACATTACCGGCTGAATGAAGAGTCGAATGCGACGTGTTACCATTAGAGGCGGTTCCATCGGTTGCAGTTGGTCCGCACGCGACGGACCGCGCACACTCGGCCAGCGGAACGTAATGCATTTTACACACTCGCCGGCCTCCGCGCTGTGCAGTCTTCCACTCGCGTGACATCTAAAATCACACCATGAAATATGGAAAGTACGACCTACATAAATCCTCCGCCAACCTCAGCGTCGGCACCTCCTATTCGTGGTATTACAAAAAGAGCGACAACCCAACCACGCGGAAGAAATATGGCCTCACCAGAGTAGCGTCGGATTCGACCTTGTTCAGCGACTACGCTAATCAGATGGCGCTGTTCGAAAAGGAGGAACGAGCTAAGAGCAAAAAGTGCAAGAAATCCGCGAGTAACCTCGTCAATCATTACCGAACTAAGTGCAACCCGAAAATTATCAAACCGGTGAACACGGAACCCTTTACTGGAAACTTCTATTACGGCAAAACACTTCCCGGCTATGAGTTTGTGCAAAAGAGCGAAGAAGTTATAACATATTTACCGGATTCCGACATTATAACGGTATCCGAAGCTAATACGGCAGAGTCTGTAACAACCGCGCCAACCGTCGTTGATATCCCAGAAGTCATTAAAAACCCCTTATATGGATGTCTCGAAACCGAATTTCAAATACTGACTCCCGAAGTTTCTATAGAATCAACAATTTCCAAAGATTCACAGCTGAAGTCCACGAGCTGTACCGAATTGCAGAAAACAATGTGCAACAGTAAGGCCACCGATGACATATTAACTACAATACTTAAAGACTACAAAAGGATAATGAAAGAGTGGAACCACACTATTAAAGACCACTATTCGACGATTTCTCATAAAAAGGGTTCAACAATATGCCATAGTAGTAACACAGGCAGCTACGTTCGAAGTCTTGATTCAACAATATCGTATCGAAAACGCAGCCGTTGCTTAAAAACATCACATGATTCGCGTTACAAATATCCCTATACTATCGGCAACTATCAGAGATACCAAGTCAATGAGAACCCTAGAAGGAAAGGGAACAAACTGCAAAGATCAAACACCCTCAGCAATTGGACGACATCTTTTCAAAATTTTAAAAAGAAATTCAGAAAAAATAGTCATGCCTTAGAGTCATACGGGTGCGAGTGCTTAGAGGCGATTTATGCCGATTATGATAGGCGGCTCCAAGAATGGTGTGACACCATCAGCGATTGCGCATCATCTCTTAACTCGGTACCTTTATTTAGCAACAAGACTTTCCGATCGCATTATAATAACTGATTACTTGGTAATACAAATAAATTACCGAAAATAAGGAATTGATCTGTTTTCTAGGGTTATAAAGAAGAAATTGAAAAACCGGAGAATCAACATGTGATCCCGTCGGCGTTGGTGGGACAGGCGGACGTGTTATTTGGGAACCTCCATGAATTGTTCACATTCCACCAGGACGTGTTTCTGAAAGACCTCGAGCGTTCCATATCAGCGACAGAGTTGGTAGCACTGTGCTTCGTCGAAAAGGTGAGATCGTCAATGAATTATCAGTTACCGTTTCTACTTTGCAACTTAGCAATGTTTTTATAAAAACCACTAATGTACATATTCCAATACTTTCACTCCTTTTAATGCACCGCTCGACAGCATATACATAATTTGCAATGCTGAGTATTAGCAATACAATGCATCGTGAATAAAATTAAAGAAGTCATTGCCTCCAAACAAAAACTTTAAAAACATCTTTTAACGTTGTATGTTAATACAGTATACGAACTCCATAGAAAAATGCTGTCATGTACTGTAAATGTTGTAGTCTATAAAATTAAATTTTTTTCCGCACGTTAACTTTCCTATCTCTTTATTATGTTTATTTTTTAAATATCTAAGATTTGGATTGTAAATATATGTAAAATTTAAGGGGAAAGGTCCATTATATTGCCGTGTAACTTGAAAATCAATAATTTCTTTCAGAGGGAGACATTCTTCAGATTGTATAGCTATTACTGCCAGAACATACCGAGATCAGAGCGCCTTCGGGAGACATTAGTGGACACACACCTCTTCCTTCAAGCGTGTCAACAACGTCTCGGACACAAACTGCCTCTGGCTGCTTATCTACTAAAACCTGTGCAGAGGATTACAAAATATCAATTATTGCTTAAGGTTATTACGAACTTTTTCTGTTTTCAATAATTATATTGTTCCTGTATGTTCCTGTATGCTTTTCTTTATCTGAGTTTGTAATTGAAATGATGCTGTTTCCAGGATTTACTACGTTATAGTGAATGTGGATCGATGAGCGCCGGTCTGCAACAAGCTCTGGACTGCATGCTTGTAGTACTGAAGTGCGTTAACGACTCTATGCACCAAATTGCAATCACAGGCGTTCCTGTAAGTTGTTACTTGTTCATTATTAACAAAGTAAAAAACTGTGTCAACTCAATGTTTATCAATCTTCTTCTCTCAACAGTAAAGCAGCAGGTTTCCTTACGCTGTTTTCTTTCACCGCTGAGCACGTGATAATTCAGCACTTAAAATGCCGGCACCGGGGATTGAACTCAGGTTGCTCGAGTATATTGAATTAAAGGCGAGCGCCCGGACACTGAGCTATCACGGCTCTCTTCTCTCTCTATATAAATAAAATATATAAAAACCGGCCAAGTGCGAGTCGGACCCGCGCACGAATGGTTCCTTTCGTACCATTATCTAAAAAAATCTTGCGAACGTACGGGGGTTTCGTTATTTGTATGCATTGATTTCGAATTCGTCTTTGACCGTTCTGATCGCAATTTCGTTGAGTAACTGACGATTTAAGCAAGAAGGTTTGAGCTTTTCGCAACCTCCTTTGACGACTTATTCCCTCTGTTCGCCAGGTGGACCTAAGCCAGCAGGGCGAGTTGCTTTTGCAAAGCTCTTTCATGGTGGTGTCGGAGAACAAGCGTGACCTGCGTTTACGCTTAAGGCCGCGACGCCGTCACATCTTCCTCTACGAGAAGGCCATGCTCTTCTGCAAGTCGGCCACCAAGAATAGTCACAACAAAGCCACCTACCATTTCAAACATGACTTGCAGGTGATCCTTGGGAATGGTCTACGAGGCCTTAATTTTTAGGTCCTAAGAGATCTTAATTTTTGAAACTTGATTAATATTTCAATTATCTTTTTCAAAATTGTAATTATATTTTAACGTTACTATCTTCTCGTAAAATTAATTTGTAAAATATTTGTATGGAAATCTAGTTAAGTATACATATCAAACTTAGTGTAACGCTTGTTTTACTTTTACGTACAAAGTTATTAGAAGTTTAAGTAAACTATAATTTTATTTCATACGTGTTTGATTTGAAAGATATGATTCCTAGGATCTAGGACGAATTTGACTATCTTAACCTATTGCAGCTGTTTCATAGAAATTTTCACATTGATTCTATATTAATATTAAAATTACTTACTTCTCTTTTTTTAAGATTTATTTTTATTTTTAGTGTTAGTCTCCCTGCTTAAGATAAAACTTTAAATTATAACTCGTCGCTATTTATTGCAACACTTACTTGTATATCAGTTCAAATTCCGACTTGCTGTGAATGTCGCATCGTTTTCAACAATCTTTTTTGTTTTTCTTTCTGTTTACCCAACATTCACCGTATGCTAAAGTTTGCAAAAGTATCCGCTAAACGAAAGTTGCCGTTTCGCAGATGTCACAAATCGGCCTTACGGAGTCGGTGAAGGGCGATCCGCGCAAGTTCGAGGTGTGGCGCCAGGGCCGGGCGGAGGTGCATACGATAACCGCGCCCACGGTGGAGGTCAAGCGAACTTGGGTGGAGCGCATCAAACGCGTTCTACTCGACCAGCTCAAAGAGCTGAAAGGGGAGAAGGTGCGCCAGTACGGCGCGCAGCACAGGTGAGGCGTCTACTTCATGGGCGTTTATAGACATAGATTACTTACAATATTTAGCTAATAACCAGTGGTGACCTTGATCCAGTGTTGTAGTGTTAGGGTGTTGTAGTTCTAGGCGACAGTACTCACTTGCATCATAACGCACCTGCTCCTTTGACTTTTCATATCATTTAAATTTTATACTAAGTTGTTATAGTGCTACTAACTTCTGCACTTAGGATGAAATGTTAAAATTTGTAGAAAAAAATAGACGAATATTTTTTTTACAGGACACTGATCCAGACGAGCTCTTGGGAGGCGGCGCCGCTGGCCGTCGCGCGGGCGCCCGCCCCCGGCGGCGGCAGGACGGCCTCCTGCGACGCCCACGAGGAGCCCTGCTGGTCCACCGACCCCTCGGACGACGACGACGATGAAGCCGAGCACGCGCCGGTCAGTACCACCACCCCTGGCATCACATACGTCCAGCCTTTCTTAATCTCGCCAAAGGTTGTCACTCCCTGACATCCAAACTTTTTTAATCTAGCCAAATGTTGATACTCCCTGACAGCCTCGCATACGTCCAAACTTTTTAGTTTTGCCAAATGTTCTTACTCCCTGACATCCAATTTTAATTAGTATTGCAAATGTTGTTACTATGACATGCAAACTCTTTTACTCACCAAAGGTTGTTACTCCCTGACTTTCAAACTTTTTAGTCTCGCTAAATGTTGATACTCCCTGATATCCAAATTTTTTTTAGTCTTGCCAAATGTTGTCACTCCCTGACATCCTAGGTTACGCCCAACCTCTTGTGTCAAATCTCGCTCAATATTTTTGTTGATTTTAACAACACAATGTGGAACCAATATAAATGATACATGAAGAACTGACGTTTACATACTCCGTAGCCTGATGCAAATGAGAAAAATTCTTAATAGATTTTTTTCCCATTTTAGTGTCTTTTTTTAAACACAAACGTCAACGGCCATGATAAAAGTATTATAAGCGCATCTCTTGTATACCACAGATTGCAACGACGTTTAGTTTAATTTGCTTATGTTAGCGAAATTTTAATATATAGTGTAATTTGTGATTTTTGGTAACGGTGCCACATTTGGTTTTACTATGTTTCCGTTTGTTTTTACTTTTAAGTGTGAGTTTCTTTTTATAAAAAAAATTAGAAGAAATTTACTCCAATATCTTAATTTTATACGTCTCGGAAGGATTTGTTTCGCGTCGAATGTCCTAACAGAATGACCCCGTACAGCTAATTTGGAGGTCACAATAGAGATGCCATATGGTATAATATTAAATACCATGGTATACATAGTCCATACAGTGACTATCTGTAGGTTAGTGCACCATATGACAGAGATAACGCTCTACGAAACCAAAATTAGCCGATTTTCTAAGATAAATGCGCAATATTTATCGCCGAGTACTATAATTCATTCTATATTTTTATTTTAAGGCATAAATTGAAGTGAAACTTAATACCATTTAAATCTATCCTTATTTTTTTATATTATTAATAATCTCGTTTTAAAAAATCTTATATTATTAATTTCTCGTATATAATCCACTGTGGAACATTGACATTATAGCTGGTGCTATATAGTTTCGATGCTACTGATATAGTGTGTACCTACCATTAAGTTCAGTTTTATCATATAAACAAATATATCTCAATGTTGAGAGAAATTTAATTTGTAATTATAAAGATTAACTTAATCCACAGCACTCACACTTTATAGGTGGTTATGGTGGAAGGAATTATGTAAAAAACGACATTGACTAAATGACACGCCATTTGTGTTTAATTACCATGAAATATACCATATTATCTACTATAAGTGTAACATAATTTATTTTTTATTAATATTCAATATTATAATTTGTTTTACTATAATTATATATTATAAAATAATAAGTGCCTTACAATTGTACATTTATTCAATGTCGGAGGATACTTCCTTTTAGTTAGATAAAATTCAAGTCGGGTAGTATTTGTGTAACGCTCAAACAATCAGTTAAACAATGTCAACGTTTAATCCTAATTTTGTTGTTGTAACCTCTACTAACAATCGGTTACAATTTATCGTAATAGTGCTTTTTGTTGGGAAAGCTTGCTTTTGATGACAGTTCTAATGGCGTATTATTTTTGGGTTTGCAGTGTTGAGTGAACCACTTTTCATATGTAAGTGTATTTTTATACGAATGCAAACTTAATAGACACCGGGTAGCGCATGGTCAAGGCTGGCAAATCTAAACGCACATAACGCTTCCCGGATTAACAAATTACGATATGTTCGTCTCAAATCAACTAGACATAGCGATAGTTTTAGAGCTTCGATTGAGGGAAATGCCCGACTGAAATAAAAACTACACAGAACGATTAATACCCGAGTCACGCTGTCACCGCCTATTTAATTTAGCAAGACACCTATCATCGCTTATAATCCCCTAGTAATTTCTTGAGAAAGCAGAACACAAACGAGTACAATTGCAACTTGTTGGGAATGGTTTCAACAACACACAATCAATATCTGAAAGTTACCTTGAAATGGCATAAGCGTACCCAAAATGCAACAGCGCGTTGTGTGTTCAAAATGGCCGCCATGCTCTAAGTTGTGTTGTTCAACAGGTGACGGAGGCCGTCGGTCTCAACGGTACCATACACAGAATGGTACAGTTCTTTTCAGTATCGGGCTCCACGCAAGCCAACTCCACGTTTTACGTGTCTCAGTACTGATAGAATAACATTAGCGAGCTCTATATCAGTACTGGCTTTGTACATAACGAAAAGAGACTGATTTAATATCCAAAGCTTAAAGTAACCAAAGACTTCGAAGTAACGGATATTTCAGTTGTTCCGCTGAACATTAACTATCGTGTAAGTCATGTTTTGTTTGTTATGTCACTCATTGTCCGTGTGCTTTCCGATTATGTTTATTATGAGCTTCGCTTTAAATGTTAATTTTTATTTATTATCCTTTTTATATTTATATTCATCACATTTTTTTATAATACAATCGAAAAAAATCGATAGGTCTTATTTTATACTTTTTACTAGGTACAAACTATACGATTATTTATTTTTTTAACTGACCAATTAAATATAATGCACCGCAAATAAAATTCAACAATGAGATCAAATTGACACAGCTGGCTACGCTTGCGCCATTAACTTGACACAGCTTATAACGTTGGATAAAACTGCTTATGTCAATGTCTTATACTTTGCATGAACTGATCTGGGCAACATTGTCAAATTATTTTATCAGCAACTATCGTATACACTACAGAAATAGTACTTGTTTCACTTTAGGATGATCGAGATAATAATATCTGCATATATTATTTATTATACATTATTATTGCCCGTAACAAAATTAGACTTGAATATTAATAAAAATATATATAAATTAGTATCGGTAAAAGAAAAATGATCTAACGTTAATGACAAATAAGTTAATTGATATGAATATTAAAGTCTTTAGACAAAAGCGCCTTTTCGTGAATTGTGGGTACTATTTAACTCTTGTATAAAAGTTTATTGTCATATGTACGTATATTTTTTATGTTACATTTTACAGAACAAATAAATCTATTTACATAATTATATAGTATGGCTATTAACACTTCATATGCTTAAACGCATGACATAAGAACTGCCAGACTTCGATTAACCTATCTAACTATGACACCACTTACCACTTCATTAACTCTTTAATACTAATTTACTCAATTCTAACTCTTAGCATCGATGTGTAAAACTCTACGCTGTCTTATACGTGCTTTCTTTACGGTGATGGATGCTTGCATGTCTCTATGGTGTGCCATATGTGTGTGAAAACTTACTAAATAGTAACTCCAAGGCTCTAACGTGAAATAAATTTCAAACTAGTTTGTTACTGGTCTTTGTGCTTTTATTAATTTACTATATTCAAGGTGTTGACTGGAAAAATTTAATATACAATCTATAATTTGGCATTATTGCCTTCAAATGTTATTTATTAGCCTTTCATAGTTGGAGCCGAAATTGGCCGCGGAAAATCGCTCCGTGGACGAATACTTTTCACTGTAGTAACCATTATTTATTTATAATCTGTGAATAGAAATAAGCTATGATCTGGCGCAATTAGGCTGTGGGGTGTTCGCTGGTGGCGCTTTCTGAGTACACGGCGGTGGGGGCGAGCGAGGTGTCTCTGCGTGAGGGTCAGCAAGCCGAGCTGCTCAAGGTCGGCTGTGCCGGCTGGTGGTACGTGCGCCTCGCAGGTACTTGCGTTCGGTCCCATTTTATTGTCTCAATTAAGCATAGACAGTAAAATAATGTAGCTAAATTTAATTAACAGACTATACAAGTCCCACTGCTGGGCTCAGATACCCTTTGTTTAAAGGGTTGCAGGGCATAGTGGATTGACAAATTTCACATATCTTCGAAATATTTTTTTTTTGTTATTATTTTGAAAATATGCAGGTTTCCTGCCGAGCTCGTGGTGATTTCGTTTATTTAATTAAAAGCGATTTCTCCTATCACGGCTCTGCAATATAGAAACCGGTAAACATCTTGAATATGGAATGTAGAGATAAGGAGAACAGTGTAATATAAGGATAAGTTGAAAAATTAGTCCAGCTGAAAGTGGTAAATAACAATTCCAAAATCCACCACAATGGCGCTAGCTTAGCAAAGGTGTATGATTATATTAGTGACCTAACCGAGTTGAATTTTAGTAGCTAATAACCCTGGCAACTATTAATTCACAACCTCTGCTACCGTAGCGCAACCAGTTTAACGCTTTTTGATCGACATGTTTTATTGTTTTATACATAGAAAATTTTCTCCTAACCTTTATCCTCCATGATTTTGAGCAATCGAGGCATAGAAGAGTAGGGGAATAGTTCGCGCACTTTCGTTCATTCACTTTGGTGTCTTGGCTTTGTCTATGTTTGGCCCGTGGAGACCTAAAAACTGACTACAGCGCCATTGCACGAGTTTTCCAAGATGTTTGCCGGTCACTATAGCTTGGTGTTTAGCTTAGCTTTCAATTCAACATACTCGCGCAGTCTAATCAAATCCCGGTGCCCGCAGTACCGGTGAACTTTCTGATTGACTCTGATTCTGCCAATTCGCAGTGGAGGCGCGTGGCAGACTATGCTGTATTGCCCTCTGTACAAAGGCCTTTGTCCAGCAGGGAGACACATCTGGGCTGTTACTTTACTTTTTACTTAAGAAGCAGGCAAATGATTCGGCTGATGGTTTGTGATAAACACCCACCAAGAAATTTTCGATTAATTAATTTGGTGATTTAAAGGTTGGCAAATCAACTGCAACCCAACACGTATTGACGATGCTCACGAGTGGAGTAATCTTTTAAGATCAGTAATTGAAGTGCAAACTTTTTGATCCTGTAAGATGATATTTCTATATCATCTTACAGGATCAAAACATCTTCGTCAATCTGTACATGTACATACGCAGTGACGTACAGGTGAGTCCATTAAAGCGTGCTAATACGGCGATGACGCGATGCCACCAGGCGGGCAGGGCGAGGGCTGGGCGCCGGCGGCGTACTTGGACCAGCGAAAGACCTCGCGCTCGTCCAGCCGCTCGCACGACCGCCTGCACGACCACTAGCACCGGACCTCCCTCCGCCGCCCGTGCTCCAGTTACAACGGGCCTAGTAAACTGGTCGCGCAAAACTCAAACGCGCTTCGGTCACGTTGGTTCCAGTACCTTCGAGTCCAAAGTGCTAGTGAGCGCTTGGTTCGATAAATAAAACTATCTCATATCTAATTTTGTTCGCAATTGTACACCACCTTGAAGTGGGATCGAGAAAGAGCGTAGTGGGAAGAGGGAGAAACTATCCGCCGACACCTAGTTGCTTCTATAAACTGTGTACTGCGTAGTGTCGAACTTCTGCGGCGCGTTTAAGATTTGCGTGTTCAGTTTTAGTTTTGTTGATTCGATTATGTTGTTAAGTCTTTCCGTTCGGTTTTAATTCGTGTTTCTGTTAACACAATCGTTACGTTGATCGATTCGATCGATAATGTTTTGGAAGTTTAAACAATTTTGTTAGGTACGTGACCTACAATGTCTATAAAATCAAATTGACATTGAAATATTTATGAAATTGTAATAATGTTCTGTAAAAAAATTGATATTTCGTTTGAAAATTTTATCAGTAGGAGTAACTGCAGCCCTGTCACCCCACTTGTTATTGTTAATGGCGAATTATTTGCAGTAAAACAATAATATTGTTAATGAATGTAAATGTTCTAATGAAGCTTTATTGTAAAGTAGTGTTAGGTGTAGCCCGTTAAAGTTGCGATTATCCAAAGCTATATGTGTATAGTTGCGTAGGAGTTGTTGATCAGCCGGAAATCGATTCGATTTTTTTTTCATGTAAATATCTCTATCTTTATTTAATTAAGTAATTTATTCGGACGCTAGTTGATTTTATTAAATCGTTACTTATAAGATGTCCATGACATATGCTCACGTATTTTTTTTCGTTCTCCTTATTGTTTTTATTTTCTCTAATGTGTATTATATGTGCATGGTATAATCTGTTAAGCAAATCCTTTTCTATTCATATCAATTCATAAATATTATAAAATTTGTGAGAGCTATATCAAATGGAAATTATTACAAAAAAAAAAGTAGTGAAGTGTTTGCAATTATTAGAAGATATTAGCAATTGTTTGATTGGTGTCCAGCACATATTTCTTTAAAGCATATCTTAAGTATTAATTCTATACTAGTCGGTGTGATTTATTTTGCATCTTTGTAACCTTTAATCATAGTTTTGTACCTCAGATAGAAGCATTTCGCATTAGATCGTCGCCTATTATTGTGAAGTTGTGTCGTTTTTATTTGTCCATGTAATGCTTGTCGTTTCATCGTACCTGTCTTCTATGTATAAAAAATATCAAAAATGAATTTTTATCATAAAAAAGTCACACTTGAGGTGACAACAATTACACAACCGTTGCCCATTTTTATTGTTTTATTTTACCATTGATCATTTACCAGTTATATCTCCGTTTCTGAACTTCGCACTTAAATTCAATTTGATATCACTCTAATGCATATTGAAACTAATAAGAGATCATGAAAATACTTCGAAAGCCAACAGGCTTCAGGTAAAAAGTAGGATATGAATGAGCACGCTTTTAAGCAAAACCAGAAAATAAAAATTGCGTGCTGCTAAAAATAAATATTGCGTACTTATTTTTTTTTTGTAACAGCGTTGATATCTTTCTGTCTCCGTTAATTTATGTTCTGTTCTAATAATTTCGGATGGTTTCCATAAAATGTAGAGCTTATGATACAGCAATGCCATCTTTTTTTAAACACCCTTATCTATCATATCATAATCTAAAAATTTCGTATCGACATGTACAAAAAGTCGGTTCGGTCACTTCATCATGCAGTATTTTTGTTCCTCTATATTAACTTTTGTTTTTGAAGATCTTTTTTAAGACACGTAGACATTACTAATTCAAATTAATTAAGATTATACCTATTTAGAAAATTTTATTAATGTAATTGATCTACGTGTATTAGAAACCGGGTCCACTGCATGTAACAAATTTACAAATGCATTCGCTTGTATTGCATTGTCAAAATTTTAAAAATATTATTTGCATGCAGCAGTTTCATAAGCTATTAGTTACAATAGTGTGATGTCATTACCAAAATTATATCCGTTCCCTAAACAGCACATATTTATTTATGCAACGTGGCGCTACTAACGCGACCATAAATCGAAACACAACTTTTTAAAATTTTATTAAATTTACTTTCTTTAAACAAAAACTAAAAGTTAAAAAAACATACCGTTATAAGCAGAGACTTGTAAAGCAACGTTGTGGAAACGAAAGAAATAGTATCTGAATGTATAAATCAGTCAGTTGTAGTTATATGGTATCAGGCAGTTGTAGTATATACAAATTTTGTTTCTTTTTATTTAATTATATACTTTGTTTGATAATTTTTTTAACGTTTAAATGCTTTTACGATTATTGGCAAGTAGCGTTAGAAATGTGTTCATTTATTGTCCCGGTTGCAACGCCATGCTGTATATTTCAAAACATATATCCATAACGAATAGGTATAATTTCTCTGCCATTATAGTTATTGCCATTACAGTTACCGCCATAAAGTTCAAATTAATATAGAGGGCTGTGAAATTTCTAGTGATGTATTTTATATTAATCTTTTTCTTAATACTATTACATTTATAGAGATTTAGCTACCAATACAAACTAGGCATGTACGTGTACCCCTAACCAAAAACCATTAGGTGTCAAATTCATATATCTAATCAGACTACGCATGATTACCGTTAGTTTCATAGCGAAAAAATTACAAATTTATAGCTAATGTACAATACGGACCTTAATATTTAATACCCAGTTATTTAAAATCGAATTTCACAATCATAAAGGAAAACGAGCAAATAAATACCCAACAATGCAAATGCAGAACAATGCCAATGGCACCTGTTACCACCTTAATACTAATTTCATATTGATTAATAAACTGTACACAATGTGTAGGTAATAGATAGTGGATCTCTATATACTAAATTAGTTCAATTTCTTTTCTAGATGATTACGGTGAATAATCATCATTTTTTTACTTCTCACATAGATTATAATAACAATGTATCGGGCACGCTACCAAGGTTGCCTGCCAATCTGTTTTAATTTGTTTTATACTGATGATAAAAAACGAGACTCGTTAAACCTCCTTTTTTTCTTACGGCCGCACTTAAACTTCTTTTAACACTAACGAGAATTAAATTCGTTGAAGTTCGAACTACAGTCATAACGCAACCTCTTGACGAATTTACGAATTTAATGCTAGTTAGGCGATTATTAAAGTCTCTGTGTGCGACCGTCCAAACAATACATACGGTTATTAATAATCTAAAAAATTAAATAAAATTATTGATATACCTATAACGTTATCAATATCTATAATTCTAGTAGCAGTAAAAGAGAGACTAACGCCTAGGTGTAATTAGTAATCACAATATAATCGAGTTTTAATGTTTTTATATATAAAAGGTAAATCTAAGACAAAATGTGTTTACACTGATAACCAGTACTAATATACCATAGGGATGTTTTTCAACGCGTGGAAATATCCAAGAAAATGAACTAGGCTGATACGCTGCCTCTGATAAATAAATATGCTTTGAGAATGTTTGATAAGTTTTATAGATTGACACAAAAATGACTCTGACTTGTTCGAGCTTAAAAATGGATATTCTCTCTACGATAACTCTTGTGTCCTGATCCATTTACCTGTGTGCTATTGGTCACTAATAAAAACCTTACACTATCCATTTTGTGACTTGTTTATTAATGTCCTATTATTAATTTATGATATAAAATATACTTAAAAATAAAAGGTAAGTTATGAAACATGAACAAAACTTATTTTATTGTGCCGGTATAAAAAACAGGAACGTGAAATAAGTGAACGTAATAAATAGGTAGCTGTAATCGAGCATCAATCGCATCTGCAAGTCATCGAATTGTAGTTGTCCATGGGCGGTAGTATTTACTAAACATCAGCTGAACCGCCTGCTCGTTTGATATTTTTATCAATACATATAATAAAAATGTAACTGATCGTTCTGTACTTGGAAGATATTTAAGAAAAACTGTTTTTGCGGGCCTATTGCAACGCAGTAGAACCCAAAACAATGACTTAAAATTTCTGTGCATTTGTGTGCGCTAATCTCAGGAATGACTTAACCGATTTGGGTGAAACTTATATATGAATACTAGCTGCTGCCCGCGACTACGTCTGCGTAGAGGGGTGAAAATTTAGGGTTGTATGTATTTTTGTATGCTGTCATAAAAAAATAAAAACAAAAAATTTTGCCTAAAAAATAAAAAAAAAATTTAGGGGTGGACTATCCTTAACATTTAGGGGGATGAAAAATAGATGTTGGCCGATTCTCAGACCTACTGAATACGCATATAAAATTTGGTAAAAATCGGTCGAGCCGTTTCGGAGGAGTTCAAGTTCGAACCCCGTGACACGAGAATTTTATATATTAGAGATAAAAGTTATATCAACTTAAAGAACTACATTGAAGATTTGTGCGACAAAATGCTATATAATAGCTACAGTTTAATTGTATGAAACTATAGATAACTGTATATTATGGTCTGTAAAATGATGATGATTATAAATTTATATAAAGTTTAAAAAAAGGCCAAGTGCGAGTTGGACTCGCGTACGAAGGGTAGTAGGTACATGCGGGCGGAGCCGCGGGAGAACAGCTAATATAAAATAAAACTATAATATGTATTTTTTAAAACTTCAGCGGAGCTCTTCACACAAAGCCCTTATAAATCGACGAAAAGCATATTGAGCGCGTAATTTGGTTGAAGTATTATTACCATCACATTTCTATTCCTACCTGTATGGCCAATTCCGTGGTATATAAGGAGGAGCGATACTACGGAATCATAATGACAACTTTCTAAATTAAACCACATTCCTACTTAAATAATATTTTTGAAGTTATAGATACTTCTTTTGGTGCGTTTGGAAAAACGGTAGGTACCGTATCATTTTTTACACATCCACCAAAGGAAAGATATTTTTTTATTGTAATTCAGTTTTACATGTATACCAGGTATATGGTAACAAGCTTCCCAATTGTCACACATGGACGTAGATTCTTTCTTATAAGGCGTGGTGTCCCAGAAATAATGAATAGCCCTGGACCGCCTAATAAAACAGCAAATTAGTTAAATTTGTTGAGTTTTTGGTGTTATTCATTACAGACTATAACTATTAGAAATTCAGTAAATAGTATGAGTAACTATTGTAATTTTTATAAATAATGAAAAAACTTATATTTTAAGCATTAAATGTCATAAAAAATTTGGTGTATGTAAAAAATATTTTAAGTAACAGAAGAAAAATAACACAACATTTTATATTCAGAGCTAGCAGGTAGCAGGTACTATTTGTAAAAGACAGTATTAATGCAATTGATAATGGTTTAATCAAATATTTTGGAATCAAATAAATTAGTAAATGTAAAAAAGTTGTTACTGGTTCCCATGGTATCTATCGTGAAAGTTGGTTGCTTTGCCTGTCGGTGTGCATGTTAATAATTATACTCTTATGGTTTTCCAATAGCGTTAAAAAAGTATACCTAACTTCAAAAATAGTATTGACAGTTTGTTTCATGAAAAACAAATTATAAACCTATGTGGCTACAACAATTGGCAACTATTTGAAAAAAGATCATACAATGGTATATCATTTTTATCTAATATAAATACGAAAGTAGTGTTATTAAGATGCAGAAAGAGTATTAAGAAAGTTATCTCCAAATGTCATTAATTTGTTGCTGTGGCATACATACGTAAATGTAGTTATGGCAATATTCCACCTTGTATTCGTTTATGTGCATTTTTCGAGCGCCTGATAGCTGTAGGTACTATACGGCGCTCTTGGGTTATCCAATTTTTCTGGGACAGCTTGTATAATAATATACGTTAAATTTGTTTACAGCAAGTTAGGATTAAAATCCATGTGTTTTAGAATTTATGTCATTTATGTAACAACTTGTTAACTACATTGGATCTAAAATAAATTTACCAATGATAATAAAACAAAAAGTGTACAAAAAGATCATGTACTATATTTATACAAGAAAATATTCTCTAAAACAGGAATAACCATTACAGGGTTCTGGTACATTTATCAGAAAATACAATAACATAATCATTAACCCAATCACATAGTGTAAAGGAATATTTGTACAAGACACTTTTTCTTAATGATAGTATGAAAAAGCAGCCCTCTCCCTGCTGAAAATGCGGCTCTTGAATATGTTATCAATCCTGCTGAATACATCCTCAGCTGATTTTGCAGCATCAACTCGCCAATGAAGGCCTTTCCTCATGTAATAGTCAACTAGTGGTACAGTTTGTGCATGATATGTAGCAAGACGTTTCTTTAGAGCTTCAACATTGTCATCGGATCGTCGTATCAATGGCTCTCCAGTTACATCATCAGTCATTGGTTTTCTAGGGGGATGGAATTCTTCGTGATAGCTGCGCCCACTGGGAGGATGGATCAGTCTTCCTGTAATACGACGTACGAGAAGACTATCTTGTATACCGAATTCGATAACTGCATCAAGTTGGGTTTTTCTCTTGCTGAGCAAATCGTCTAACTGCAATAGGGAAATTGTTAATTATATTAGATGCACTTGCATTATTTAACTCCACATCTTTATAATAATTTCAAGGATCTTATCTTGTACTTAAAGGAACTTGGAACTTTCAATTAAGCTTAACATCAAGAATAGAACAATAAACTAAACAAATATCATTATTCCAAGGAAAAATTCTTTAGCATTTTTGTACTTTATTTAATATAGCAGTTTTATAAACTTAGAAGAAATTGATTATAAACAGTGTACAAAATATTGTTTTTGAAAAGAAAAATATATTTTATATAAATAATTTTTACCAAAGGCTAAGATTAATAAAATTAATATATATTTTCAGAACTATGAATAAAGATGCAGTACGAAAATTTATAAACAAACCTTTTCCGCTTGAGGTACAGTCCTTGGAAACCCATCAAGCAAAAAGCCATTTTTACACTCTGGTTGATCAAGATTCTTATCAATCATATCAACAACCATTTCATCAGAGACAAGTTTGCCTTCATCCATGACTTTCTTCAGGCGTTTGCCTAACTCTGATCCGGATGAAACCTCAGCGCGGAGCATGTCACCAGTTGACAAGTGACAGACACAATATTTTTCTTTCAGACGGGGTGCCTGCAAAACCAATTCATTTTTAGTAATTAAATACTACACACATACATATATGAATATTAAGGATATTTTACTACAAATTATACTGTGTATTTGAACACAACATCCACTATTCTTTTAAGATATAAACAAGTATAATAGATTATTATCATATAATATAATAAAAAGTTGAGATGAGTAGATGTTAATGATACTCGAAATTAATATTGGCCAACAAGTTATTTAAGAAGATGTATATTGAAATCACTTATAAGCAAATAATAAAATATCACGTGTGTAACCAACCCACAAGTAGTAAAACAAAGTAGGAAAAATATTACTTAATAAGATCTACAATTTAAGGTGATATTAATTTTTTTAAATATAACACTCAATACAGCCTTATCTAAGAGTTACATAACTATAAGTATCTAAGCATTAATTTATATTGTATGACATCATTATAATATTTAAAAAGTAAATGCTAATCGTATTAAACAAAGTTACCTGCGTTCCTTTCCCTGAACCCGGCGGACCTAACAGAACAGCTCTAATGCCAATAGGATCATCATCGGGCTTAGGTTTTACTGCTGTAGCCGCTGGAGCCATTTTACTAAAAATCGGAAATTATTTAAGTTATTTATAAATAATAACTTGTAAATAGATAATTTTCTTGCAATTTAATTCCTTAATAAATATAGTAAACGGCAAACGCAGCGTAGGAAGGCCTCCCACAAGTAAAGGGACGATGCAGGCCGCTAACGACCGGTCGAAGTGGAAGTCAATGGGGGAGGCCTATGTTCAGCAGTGGACGTCCTACGGCTGATATGATGATGATGATGATGAATAAATATAGTAACTTACAAAACAATAATAACTTACAAAATAATATCAAATTAAGGCTTTACCAGCTAAGCAAAATGACATATGTATGACACTTATGACATATGACAGCGACATCACGACATGTGGCTAACCACCGGTAGGCATGTGGCAAAGGTCAAAAATGCCTGCGACATTTGTTTTAAAAAAAACTTTTAAACTTAAAGTTAGGTTTAGACTTAACTCTACCGTGTAAACCAACTGTTTGATATTTAACTCTAAATCCAAGTTATTTAACTATACGTTACGTTATCAATTGCATTTAATGTCTTTTTCACAAACAAAAAATACTGGAACAGGGAATATTTTTTTTGTTCTGATAACTTAGGTGCGTGTACATTCATAATTTTTGAATGTATTTTACTGTTAGCCAGACTTTGACAGCTTCTTGGGAAGACGTACAAAGAGAAACAACGTAACTGGAAAACGATATTAACGACACAATGACGCTGCAGTGGTAGAGCAATGTAACACTGTTGCACGAATGGGCAGGTCCGTCCGGGTAAGTAACACGATCTTACAGAAGACCGGCGTAAAGTAGAAATGTTAAACATCTGCTTTTCATCTGGTGTGTGAGGTAGCCGGGGCACACTTTATTTAAAAGTGGCAACGCATTTGCAACCCTACGGGTGTTACAAATGTCCATGGGCAGCGGTTATCACTTAACATCAGGTGAACCGCCAGCTCATTTACCACTTTCTCACATAAAAAATAATAAATAATAAAAAAAGCAATGACGTCATCAGCCATCAGCTCCAGTCAGAGCCGGATTTAGAGGTCTGGAGGACTTGGGGCAGCAAAGGAGTGGAGGCCCCTTTTCCCCAAACATTTTCCTCTCTTGTGGAGGCCCTAGGGCTGTAGCCCCGGTTCTCCGGCCCTCCCCTGAATCTGGTCCTGGCTCCAGTGCATCGACCCTTTTTTTCGGTTTTAGTCAGAATTAGGGTTAATCATGATTACTTTTTCCGTGTTGATCTCGATCTGCTACATTCTGAAACATTCGTCCAGGACGTTTAATGCAGATTGTCGACGAAAAATAATCCTGGTTTTATTGTGGTGGTCGCGAATACGGTTATTGTCACGAATGATGCCTCGACTTGTTTATATCGCTAGTGTATAGGCAGTATAGGGCCCATATATCAAGGCACGATAATACCGAACCCTGGGACACGCCCAACCTCAAGGGTTGGGACATGGGTCTGTAGCGATATTTACGCTCTATTTCATTTAACATGGCACTAGACATATACATTAGAAAACAAATCATTTATTTAGCGTGGTTACCGGTGAACGCGAAGTCCCCGCGGTCTATATATGATAGGTACTTAATCTCAGGTTAATTTTTTGGCTGGTATTGTAAATATGGATTCCGCTCCATTGTCACTTAATTATTTTCGTAAGGGATCTATTCAACGTAAGTATGATTCGTGACTAAATCGCAGTTTTGACCTTATTACATCCTTTTGATAGATTCTGCTATCGATTGTAGTCCAAGCCGAGGTTTGAACCCGAGCTGAGGGGCTTGTGGATCGTGTAGTGAGTGGGATCAGGGTCACGCACTCATTCACCAAACGTCATAATTATTATAATGTCACCTATCACCCATCATGAACCAAAACGTCAATTTATGAATTTATTGTCAGTTTTAACGTTTTAACCTAAAATGTGGCGGTAAACAACAATAGCACATAAACGAAAACAGAAATATTAACAGAACAAACTTTTATCTAATTTAAAAATGAGTTCTATTAATACGAGGTAAACAAATACATCTTTGTCAATATATGTAACTATAATAATATTTGATTAAAGTTGTAAAATATTTGTTTTAGTTACTGGAAGCGGTTATGGCGATGGACAACCTCCCAAACACTTTCAAAAGAAGAAATAGAAGGAGTATTCACTAAGGAAGTTATCGAGGGACTACATCAAGGACTAGCCAGTTACAAATCAAAAGAATCTAATGAGTTTACTCAGCTTCAGTCCAAGTATGCAGAACAAACAAAGCTCCTCAGTGTTGTTCAAACTTTACAGAACTATATGGTAAGTTCATATTGATTGGAAACAAAAAGTCTTCTCTTTTTTTAAAATGTAACTTGTTATAAGAGTATTTGGAAACCATATTGTGTCATTGAGTACTAAAAGATATTTTCATGTATGATAACCATTAATAACATATATTATCCATTTAATTGATTATTTTCTTTCAGGATGTTAATTGCTTTCAATTATGGGAAATAGTAAAACACTATCTATGTGATACTTCATATGGTACTCCAGCAAATGCTCTTAAAAATATAGCATTTATTGATACAAGACCCATGTTCCTTTCACCTAAAGTTTGGCAATTTTACTATGCAGAGAGACTATTTCTTCTTAAACTTCTGCAATACATCATTCAATTTAGATCCGATGTTAATCACATATATAGTCAACAGTTTAAAAAGATAATTGACAACATAGGTATTGAGAATTTAAAAACATCCCTTATTAAGCAGTTTGAGAAACTATTGTCTGAAGCACCACCCTCAAGAAAGATCCAAAGTGAATTTGGCAGTGAGTTAGTGAGGCAGGAGTGGGCTGAATCTAAACTGAGGGAGCAATTTGCTCTATTACAAACAATGTTATTAATAAGTAATGAAGATCCATTCTCTGAATCACAACTTACCGAACTATTAAAGTTATTTAAGAAACATAGTTTTGGTAAAAATCAGAGCTATCATGAATTATTGGAAGAAAGGCACAGAGAGGCTTGTCTGAGAATCACTTATGTCGAAGTTTGCATTTTTATGGTGATATGTGATCATGAAAAAATGTAAGTATATCTGTGTGACTAAGGGATGCTAGTTTAAATTTATTATTTCATGTAGTCATCTGATAAAAGAATATGTTTTTTGTTATAGTAAAAATATATCCAGCTGGTTGGAATGCACCAAGGATGCTGTAGAAAGTGAACTAACCAAACTTGAACTGTCTTCTGAACATAGTGCTATGCTAATAACATGGATGCTGTTAACACTTCAGGTATTTCATATAATGATATTGTTTTGTACCTTATGTACAGATAAGACCAAACAAAGGGATTCCCTAATTATGAATTCTACTGCCCCTCTTGGACCCTAAAATATAATAGCATATCCATATAGATTAATGTTATTTGTTTTCATCATAATTGTAGTAATAAATGCAGTACCTGCAATAACTAACCAGGGAACTCGGATAGTTCTGATTTTAAATATTTTGAAAAGTTTAAATATCCCTCTGCATTTTTTGAAAACCAAAATGTGTCTCTTTTAAAAATGGATCTGCTTGGGTAACATTTTTGTGTGCACATTTTTTATGATTCACATTTGAAATCACTTAAAATTGGAAAAGTTGTTTGATTGAATTCAAATGGCACTACCGTTGGCACAACAAATTTAAAAGTGGTTGCCTAATTCTGGGGAATGAACTAAGAAATGGTTTTTCTTTGGTGGCTTTTACCGAAGAAAGTGAGCTTGCAGGGAAAAATTTAATTCAAGAAAACAGGCAAATTACATACAAAGAGATAGTTAACATTGCAGATTGGTTCAGGAAGCATTCACAAGATTATACATGTGGACACCGTGGTACATACTGATTGCCGCACAACCTTACCAAAGACATTAACATTTTGATTGTGGTAGGGCCACATAACAGTGTTCGCTGTTGCATAAATGGGCAGTTCCATCCAGGCTAGTACCACAACCTCACAGAAGTCCGGCGTGAAGTAGAGGTTACACTTCTTTGTTTCGTCTGGTGAATGATGTAGCCGGGCCCAATTTATTAAAACTAGGAACACATCTGCAACTGTACAAAGGGTGTTGCAAATGTCCATGGGCGACGGTTATCACTTATCATCAGGTGAACCGCTAGCTCAATTGCCACTTTGTCACATAAAAAAAAGAAGTAAATTTGGAGCAGGCTCATCAATACAAACTGGATTTATCAATACAAACCGGAAACAAAGCGTTAGTCGACACTTTGGCTGTTTAAAACATGCCAGCAATCGAGAAGTGCAGGGAAAATTTTGTTCGCTAGTTTCTTGACTTTTACTGGGTATCTGGTATAAATTTCATTACGAAATCAAAGCAGCATCAACGCCGAATGGTACAAAATTTTTGCCAAAAGTTTTTAATGCAATGAGCAACAAGCTACCGAACACAGGGCTGCGCGGGAGTACTGCTTCACCATGACAGACTGCGCACACTGAAAATCAGGACTGGACTTCCTGGACACCACACCATTCAAAGTCTTGGGTCAAATTCCTAACAGTCCTGATTTGCCACCGTGTTCTTTTTATTCCCTAAAATAAAAACAAGAAGGCCATAAAAGAAGTGTCTGCTGTGGACTGGAAAAGTACTTCGAAAATTGGTTCAGACGCATGTAACTTTGTATAAAGACTGGTGAAGAGTTCTTTGAAAAGAATTAATGAAAATATTGTATTCCTTATTATGTTCTTAGTTTCCCAAAACTTTCTGATGTATACATATATAAAACGGTTTTTTCCCCTGTTTATTAAAACTAATACGGTACGTTTACGGTATATGTATTACAGTATTTGTTAAATAAATCATGTTATCGCCGTTTTTTGTTTTCAGAGTAACGAACATGCTAAATTATTTGAAAGTCAATATCATCAGTACGGTGCTACAGCCCTCCGAATGAGAGTATTTCACTTTTTACAACAGATGTTAAACAGTTCAGTTTTTTCTGTAAGTGCTGATATACAGCAAAATTGTATAAATTCATAATAATGTATAACTTACTTGTTGATAAAGCTGTACCTTATGAATGAAACTAATTTTTACGGATTTATCGCGTTTATTTTTAATTTTATCAGTCTGTCCCGTGACCATGAACACTGTAAAGGGTTTGAAACGTTGGGAATTAAAATTTAAAATAAACGCGATAAATCCGTAAAAATTAGTTTCATTTATAATGTGTAATCGCGTAAATACAAGAAAAAAAAAAAGCTGTAACCTACCTAGAATTTAATTAATTATAGAAGATATTTTTAAGAATAATGAAAATCTCTGAATTTACAGGATAAATCCAAATGTGCTACAATAGCAAGGCATCGAACATTTCGTCTTTTAAATCATCTCTGTGATAAATTTGATGGTGATGGTACATTAAGTCACCAGCCGGGAATCATGCGTCTTTGTGCCGATTTACTTCAGTCTCCTGATATTGCTCAGAACTTTTGGAGTTTGCGTCAAAAAGAGGATAATTTTGGTGTAGTCTCACTTTGGAATACTGCATTGGAATATTTTCCATTCAATTTTAACGCTTTGTCAATTTTGTCAGCCGGATTAGCTCAAGCAGGAAATTCAAGCATTAGAAATGTAAGTAAATATGCAGAAACGTATTCGAATCTTGGCGGCAGTTTTTTTTTCAATTACTTTAAGTGATAAAATTTTGGACAGCCTAAAGTGAATACTTTTGTAACTTATATTAAAAATTGCGAAGACGCTCGACGCCTTATCCTGTGTCGTAACTTTAAATGCTCCAAAGTATGTGTACATTGTAATATTTAAAAAAAGGTCTAATTCTCTAATGTTATTAATATTTATTTTTAGTTACTTGCTGAACTTAAAAATCTCCCAGTGTATACAGAGATATATAACCCAAATGCGATACCAATAATGTCGTTTCAAGGTGATGACGCAATTATAGGGCGGGAATATTGTCCCCTTGGAGATCCTTCCTATCGAATAGAATGTGGGTCAAGAGCGACTATCATGGAACGGAAAGAAGGCACAATGGTTCATTTCAGGACACCATATTCCTATTGGACTATCTTCAACAACGAGATTGAAAAAGTCCTGGATCGTAAGCAGCATCACAAACATAACATTAATGTTACCTTGGAGAGGGTGTTTGAAGGGACAAATGTGTTAAAAGGGGTACTGCAATCTCTGGTGGAGGATAAAGAGATATCAAAGAGTCTTGTTGGTCCCAGCGAGGGAGTTTTTGATGTTTTATTAAGGTTCATGAGGGCAGAGGACCCGCCGCTACCACTGTTGGTTGAATGTCTTAATATATGCACCACTTTGGTAACGCTGTTCCCTAAGGAGATTCATTTAAGGTATAATTAGTTTTATATGTATCAATATATCTCATATGTCAAGCATCAATAGAAGATATTTAATATTAAGAATAAATAAGTTATTGTATATTTAATTATATAGATTTATACACAGTAAAGTTAACATTTCTATAATGTATAACCTTATCTAAAAAAATACGTTCGAAATTCTAAATAAATCTCGTGATCACAAAATTGTGATTGCATAGATTCTTTCATTATTACATAATGGTTATTCACATAAATTTATACATAGTAAAATATCATTTTAAAAAAAAGTTTTAATTTTACCAATTACATCCTTATTCAGGCTAATAAACACTGGGCTGCTTCCGAGAATCATAAACCATCAGTTGACGCACGTGGAGTATGCCAACGGCGCTTCTTTCGACTCTTCGGCCGTTGGCTCCTATTTGGTCATAATAGAACAGCCCAGCGGCTCGTACCAATTTCTAGGTGCTTACATCGACATGCTTTGTGCGTTTCACGAGGTAATTAATTAAAAATTAAGGTAACAATAAGGCTTACTTCAAATAAAAGTAAAGTAAATAGTAAAATAAATAGTAACATAGTATACATACTCGAAAACAACATGTAAGTATGTAAAAAAAATAAAGTAAAGTATTTATTCGAAAATATGCAGGTTTCCTCACGATGTTTTCCTTCACCGCAGAGTACGTGAAAATAATTCGGCACTTAAAATTAACAATTTCATTGGTGCCGGCACCGGGGTTCGAACTCAGGTTGCTCGAGTAAATTGAATTAAAGGCGAGCGCCCGAACACTGAGCTATCACGGCTGTGGGATGGTAAAATCGTTTAAAGCAACAAAATGGCTTCATCGCCAATGCTTTATTACCCATAAGAACATCTCTGCCAGCATAACCGATTGTGTAGTGAAGCTGCCTCTTGCGCCAGAGGGTCTGGGTTCTATCCCCACCACTGGAAAAATATTGTGTAATGAACATGGTGGTTTTCCAGTGTCTGGGTATTTATATATTTATGTATTTATTTACAAGATAAAAGTATGTTTATCAGTTAGCTAGTACTCATAGTACAAGCGTTGTTTAGTTTAGGACTAGAGTGCTTTAAAGTCACACTATTTCATATCTTTTACAATTATCAATTAGACAAAAAGCATTTATTGGAACAACTTACAGGGACAACATACAAAAACCGAAAAAATATTGTGAAACAGAAATGAATAACAAACCTAAATTAAAAAAAAAAAAATCAATAACATAATTTAAACACAATAGCAACACTAACATTATTATTACAATGCATTGTGCATGTCTCATGGCTGGCCATCTAATCAGCCATTATTTCGCAATCCGCAGAGTTCAACGGAGGAGCGCATCACGTCGGAGATAATTCTGCCGGGCCTGGTGTTCGTACTGCGCGAGGTGCTGCCCAACATCTGCGGCTGGCGGTACGTCGGCAGCGCGGAGCGTCGCAGGCTCTTGCACCGCTGCTCGAAGCTGCTCACGTCGCTCCTGGAGCCGTCGAAGGACGCCAACAAGGCCTCCGCGCTGCTCAAACGCACCTGCATCTACAGTTTGCTGTATACGGAGAACGCCCTGGAGCTACTGAAAATCGTTTCCGTCGGTACGACCTTCCGATTTAATCGATTTGTGCATGACCGGCCCTTGAGAACGATCAAACTCTTTCATTTCCATTGTATATAAAAAAATTATGCTATGTTAACAATTTATCTTTCGCTTTTCTAACATAGTTTATATTATGGTAAAGTGTAGTTTATATTAAAGTGTATTATTGTCGTAATAATGAATTACCGAACTTTCATGAGAGTTATACAAGTAATATAGAATTATGTGATGAATATTGAATTGTTTGTAATTATTAAACATGTGATTATGGTGGTTTGATCATTACTTATTCCTTCCATTCACACTGAATCATTATTATGTTTGTTCTTTCTTCTAATTGCTTTATTTCTATACTTTAATTTAAATTGTGCTTTCCACTTACAGGTAATGAGCAACTCGAGCAAATGATACAAGATGACACCAACTGGATATCTGGCACTGGCTCCCAATACATATCGTCTATACAGCGGTGCCTTGCTATAGTAATGTTCGCTTTGAGACTGAAAACAATGGTGGCCGATGAAAGCGAAGTCACGCCGTTAGAGAGGCTAATCTTCGCACAGAACAAGCAAAAAGACCTACTCAAAGTTGTTCCAAAGATAACAAGCTACATCAACCACGCTTTCAACAAGAGCCTTGCTGTGCTAAGTTGCAGATTGTTGAAGAGGTTTGCCGATGTAAGTGATTCTTATTTTACCAAAAAAGACACACTCACTCAAAGTGTTTGTATATTATATTTAAATTTAAAAAATGTTGTAGAAAAATCGACGAAAAGTTTTTCGACTTAGCGGTGTTTGGTGTTATCTAGTGTGTTTCATTTCCTTTTTAGATGACGGACTGATGTTAAACATTGCATTTAAATGTAATAAAAAAGTAGATAAAATATGTAAGGATTTTCGTCTGTGTGAAGATGAACCGTTTAGCTAAATCCCGGAGGATGCACGTCGCCCGTTTTTCTACAATTTACATTTTTTTATTTGAACTATGTCATAAATGCTTCGCCACCAATTCTAGTTAAACCAGTACCTTAATTTCCTCAATTACCTAGGGCTTCCAAATGTCGCTGTTCGCGTCGCTGGACATGACCGCCTACCAAGTGCGCGTGATGTTCTTAGACCGTTTGCGGGACGAGTACGAGAGCACTGAGCTGAAGGTGGCCATCCTGGAGTTCGTGGCCACCTGCGTCGGCACCCAGCCGGGCCTCACCGAGGCCTTCTTCATGATGAACCACGAGAAGGCAAAGGACGAGGAAAAGGACAAGGGCAAGGCGGGCAAGGATGCCAAACTGGATGATAGCTACGAAGGCATTTTAGGGTACATGGCTGACTACCTTGGCACTATCAAAGCGGTGAGATTTAATTTTATTACATGTATATCAATGTTGTCGAACAACTTAAGATCGAACGCCCAGTGCCGTACGAATTTATTCGGTCAAACAAGTTTATATGACCAAAAATCAAAAAAGTTCTAGAACCCTTATACAGGGAGGCTTTTCTAAGTGTATCCATTTTTTTAATGCTAGACGTAAATAAAAATAATATAAAATGATAAATATTTTAAATAACTCGTAATTAATTAAATACATTCATTTGGACTTATCTCAATAAGTGCATGATTTATGGGCAACTCAATTATTTTACGCGCGATCATTCATAACTAACAAGCACACAAGTTCGTTTCAAAAATATAAGACGCATTTATAAATGACTACCGCATTGTCAACAAGTTATGGTTTTTAGGGAATGGAATGGCAATTTTTTTGAAAAGTTGTTTTTATTTCAATAAACGATTATACTACCGAGTTTGAACTTTCTCTGTGAATTTGGCACCTTTGGAAGAGCCACCCTGTATATCCTTAATAGACTCCTACCGGGTCCATACGTTTGGAGCCATATAATGGATAATTAATCAATCCAGCCGATAAATTTATCTTGCACCGCCATCTGTAAGAATCTTAAACTCACGGATAATTATAACTCTATTTCATATAACAAACAAATAATTTTTATTAAAAAACATTGCGACTATAAATTGAGATATTAACTATCATATCTATCAACTTGTATTTAAACTGCACACGGTGAGAAAAATTTAATTAAAGTCGGTTCAGTTGCTTAGGAGTTCATCGCGGAAAAACTATGTGAATTTCTGTTAAAAAAGATATACTTATATGCAGCGAATATTTTTTCATTTTAGAACGCAAAGTTATTGCACAGTCCGCTATTGGCGTGCATTATGGCGCTCTTCCACGCGCTGTGGAAAAACAACATGCAGATACTCGTGAAGAAGCTCCGCGAGAACCCCAAATTCTGGGAGTACATGACCAGCCCGCTGTTTAGCGAGATCCAGTGCGGCCTGAGGACGTACGCGCAAATATTCAACGTCCTGGGCATCGAGCTGTTCGTGTCCCGGGGCAAACTTGAGCCCAATCTGAAGGAGATGCTCGAGCTGTTCTTCGACACGAACAAGAATCACTTGGACAAGTGGATAGACTTCATCTTCTCCTTCCACGGCAGGCAGTCCGCCGAGGAGCCGGCGGACAAAGTGCCCGTGTGGCTGGGCCTGCTCACCTCGTGGAAGGACTTCACCACCATCTCCTGCAAGTGTCTCCCCATCAGTCTGAACATCGCGCACAAGGCCAAGATGGTGGCGCCCTGCATGAGCGCACTGCTCACCGAGCTGGAGGACCTGACGGACGGCCGCCTGGTGGTGGTGCTGTCGGAGCTGTACGTGACCATGCTGGCCAACTGGAAGGACGACTGCTTCGACAACCGAAAGGCGAGCGCCCGCCAAATCGACAATCTGCTCGCCAACACGGCCACCGTGTACGAATGCCTCCACCCGAGGGCGGTGCGCGCGATCCTCTCCATCGGCACGGTCGCCATCAGCAGCCTGGACTACGAGATCAAAGCGAACAGCGCCACCGCTCAGGGCATCGTGCGCTCCGTCACCAACATAAACAGCGTTGAGCTGGAGAAGCTGTTTGATGACGTTAAGGGGCGAGCCGGGCCCGTTGTGAGCGGGGAGAAGGTTCCCGCCGCGGTGCTCTCCCTAGCGATGCTGGAGCAGTGCCTCGATCTCTACGACGACGTGTTCTCGGGCCTATCCCGGTGGTTCCAGTCGACCAAGTTCATAAACAAGCTGCTCTGCTGCCTGCACGACTGTCTGCACGACCGCCGCCACTACCAGACCTCCCTGGCGGCGCTGCGCTGCCTCACCGCCTACGCCAGGGGCCCGTTCAACAAGGAGCTGCTGATGAGCGACGTGGACCAGTTCCTGTGGATGCAGCTGCTGCCGCCGCCGCTGGGGGACGGGGGCGCCACGTGGAAGCCGCTGGAGTGGTGGCGCGTGTACTCCTTCGGCCTGGACTTCATCGCGATGATGGTGATGAAGCACGGGCAGTTCTTCGCGAGCGACGCGATCACCTTCGTCGGGGTGCACCTGGAGCACCTGATCGAGGCGGTGCTCCTGCCCAGGCAGGTCTGCGGCATGGACGCGCTCAACCTCTGCGCCTCCACGTTGAACCTGGTCGTGCAGTTGGTGAGCTACGAAGCGACCTGGCGGCTCCAGAACATCAATTCCTTGGTTGGAATAATGGTAAGTGTTTTATTAAAGTTAAATAGATATACTGCTTAATTCAATTCTTAATCCGAAAATATATTCTTCGAACCTACCGAACGCAATTAATGAACGAAAAAAAAAACGTATTAAAATTACAATTTTTTTTATGTATTTCAATAAGGTGTATGTAGGATTATAACAAATTTAATAGACTAATAATGGCAATTCTTCTAACAGAACTTAATACAGTCGTCCAATAAATGATTTCTTTTTATTATTTCAAAATATTTATACATATTTGATGTTTGTTTCGACGTTGTGATGTAGCGCAGCATCAGTGCGTGCGTGTATCAGTGCGTGACTTTCATGCTGAGATCTCGTCGCGGATCAGAGCCCACTCTGCCGGGCGAAGACGTCACACACTCGTCGCAGGCGCAGCAAGCGCAGCCGATACTGCACAGGTGATATACAATTTGATTAATATTCACTAGCTGCCTAGACAGACTTCGTTCTATTTTTAAATTATATTAAAAGCTTTCTAAAAAAACCTTAAGGAACACACAAAAAAAAAATTGCCGAATTGGTCCAGCCATTCTTGAGTTATACGCTTAACAACATTCATTTTTATTTATATACATTAACAAATTAGTACAATATAAAAATCCCGATCGAAAGAGCGAGGGAGGGTTTGAGAGAGAGAGCAAACGAATTAGTTTATAAAAAGTAAATTTTAACTTGCTTTATATATATAGAACTCTAGAGATCCTGCACATGGCGACACTATGCCTGCTCGCGTTCAGCCCCGATCTGTTATCTCTCCTGGCTGACCCTGGCCTGGACTTGGAGCGCTGGCAACCGTTGGTGGAGCTGCACTTTGGAGCGCCCAAGATCAGCCACGAGCCCTTCCCCCAGTTGACCTTCGGGACCATCCTCTCCGCGATATGCCTGCTCACGCGATCCTTGAATCACGTAAGCACGTATAACTATTGAATTTTATATCGTCAACTATTTTGGCGAGAGTTTAAACTAATTTTGGATAACAAACACTGTGGACTTGTATACAATTTTTGTCATGGTAAATACATATTATTGTATAATAAACAATTATTTTACACTTGACTTCTTTGCAAGATATTTAAAAAGGAGATAAGTTTAATAAAATAATGCGAGTGTACAATGCGTATGAAAACTGGTACATCAATATTATGTAAATTATTAATTGTATTTATACGTAAATTAGTTAATTTTTCTTTTTTTATTTTTGTAAACGGTGTTTGTGTACGATCAATAAAGATTTTTCTATTTTATTAATTGCATTAAAGGGCAGGCCCGTCCGGGTAAGTACGAAGACCGTGCAGGAGACCGGGGTGAAGTGGAACTGTTAAACTGCTGCTTTTCATTCGGTGAGTGAGGTAACCGAGGCCCATTTCATTAAAAGGTGGTAACGCATCTGCAACCCTATGGGTGTCGCAAAGGTCAAAGGGCGGCGGTTATCACTTTCATGTGGCGAACCGGCAGCTCTCTTGCCACCTTATCACATAAAAAAAGGATGAAGCTAGATCGTTAGACTACGGCCCGCAGGCTTATCAAGGCGAGGAGGGCAGCGGTTCGCGTTCGCCGCGCGGGCGCCGGCGCGCCTGCTCTTGCGGCAGCCCTGGCGAGCGGCGCGCGGTCAGGGGTGACTCCGTGACCTCCGCCTCGTCCGCCGCCAGCGCCTTGCCCTACATCGACGAGAGGCTAGCCGCCGCCGCACTAGAGGCCTCCACCGCACTACTCGCTTCTCAGGTACTCACAACTGAACCGGCTCTTCAACTGAAAGAATCGGTATCGGGATATTGTATCTAATTTACAAAATTCATGGTATATAATAACAGGTCGAAGTAAAATGCACGTAGACGTATGAATTTCGAACATGTGACGCATTAGACTAGATAAATGTATGGCAAGCTGATTAGCGATGTAATACTGAAGAAAAGGAAATCTAATAGCTAAAACAATATATACAATTATTTAAATCTATATAATGTCTAATCGGTATAATGTTTCAAAAACTGAAATAATAGTGCCATAAAAATCAAAATGAATAATAATATAACCCTATCTGGGTTCAAGCTTCAGTTCAAAAGTGACGGCTTCATTATTTTGATCATATCACGTCGTTTCCAATATTATACCATGGCATACGATAAAATATTGCGTCAATTAGTCTAGATATTTTTTAATTTCGATTTATGTTATTCCCAGGCCCTTTTAGCTGTGCGCGACGGCAGCGTCCCGTCCCGCCACAAACAGATGGTGCGCCGCGAGCTTGCTTCCGAGCTGACGGTGTTCCACGACTTCGTGCGCAAACGCATCTTGTGCGCGGCTCACAACCGACCGCACCTCGTCCGAAACAAACTGGGAGCTTGGCCGTTGCCGCCGAATGAGGAAGAGGCCAAGAGGATCGAACAAGCGAGGAGGGAAAGGAACTTGAGTGATGACCTCGAAGGCTCCCTGCCCCCACCGCCGCCGCCCAAACGCGCCTCGCACGACTCAATGCGCGAATACGTTCTACGTAAACATTATTTGGACAAATGCGCCCAAACGCCAACTAAGGAACCACCTATGCCTGTATCGCATTCGACTCCGGCTTCAGATAAGAAAAAAGAAACATCCAGAAGCTCCAAACGTGTTTCCTGGGCGGACACTACAAGTGACAGCAGGGAAAGTTTGGATAATTCGTCTAAAGAAAACGAGCAAATGTATTCTAATCTAACTGATGTGCAGATAAACAACGATGAAGATTACTTTCATTTTATGTCAGTTGTTTTCCTGTATATATGTCAAACTGAATTGTAATATGCATGATACAATAAATTAACATTTTAATACTTTTTTTTAATAATTCTAACTTTATTCCCTAGTTTGTTGATCCACGAACTTTCTTGTGCACAACCCAAGAGACTATAAAAATATGGGAAGTATAAAAGAAGTAACATAATATTATATAATAGTTAACTGGTGGACAAAGGTTATTTTTAAGCTTTCACCATATATTACAAACAATTTTTTTTTCGTATCATTTCGTTTTAATGGATTGCATTTCCAACACCATTTACTATGAAATGTTTACCTACGACTATAGTCCATTGCCGGTATATAAAAGTGCTCTGTGGTCCATTGTTTTCTCTGTCAACGGTGCCTCATAGCTTGGCACGATCGTTGATCATCATCATCATTATCATATCAGCCGTAGGATGTCCACTACTGAACATAGGCTTCCCCCATTGACTTCCACTTCGACCGGTCGTTAGCGGCCTGCATCCAACGCGTCCCTGCGATCGTAAAAGTGACGGCAAGCGCGGCTTAGAAAGGTCTCCCACAAGGTGGACAGACGACCTAGCCAAGATCGTTGATACCGAGCCATAAATACCAAAAAAAAAAACTTGGCGCGGGTGACAGCTGTGTCATTCAACGCACGCAAGCTATCAAGCTACAATACCAAAGCAAGCCATTATTAAGAAGAAGAAGCTACAATACGACGCACAGATTAGTTCCTTTAGCCTCTTTAAAAATTTTGAAGTAATTTACGATTATATGAGTAATACATACGTTTTTACAAAACTATCTATTTTTAGTAAATATCGTGCTTTTATCACTTCATTTTACATACATGTATAGAGTAGCAATAATTTTTTTCACAGGTATTTCCAACTATCAATTGTGGCCTTGTGGCAAGTGGCAACATCACCGACATTTCTAACATGGCCGCATGTTGAACGAAACGATTTTCTTTACTGTTCGCCAAAAAAAATAATATCGGCTTAGCTGTGAGCGGATTTATGCTGAAAGCATAGCCGGAAAAATAAAAGTCTAAGCGGCAAAGCTACGGTAAGGCGTTTGCCTAAATTTGTGTATATCGCAATGATTGGCGGTATTTGTTGATTTCGTTTGTTTGTGATGAAGATTGAGTCGCGATGATGCATCACCCGAACATGCATCATCAGCCGATGTCGGGCCATCCTCCACAACATTTGGCCGGTCACCAGGCGATGCCGACACACCATCAGATGCAACCCCATCAGATGCATCGAGAGAACAGGCACGTAACTCTAACTAGGTAACGTCTTGCTTCTTTCATATTTAATTTGCTAATTTATTTTAATACTATAATCTTATATAGTAAAACACTTTCTTTTTTTCCATTAACGGTCCTGGTAATTTTTGTTCATTGGACCTTAAAAATTAAAGATTTATTTTCTACAAATAAATTGCACTTTCCATTTTTCGCTCTAATTTCGCTTTGTTTTTTGCATTCCGTTAGTTTTAACATAAGCACAGACCACTAGATGGATTTTCTCACTGAGAGTAAACCAGCAGGAATTTCTAATCTTGGTTATAGCGATATGAGCATGAAAATAGGCTAAAGTATCTCAATATATCAAGCTTGACATTAATTATTTAATCAGAAAGTTATACATGTCATGCAATTTTAGTCATTTTATTATTAGTAATTTAATATATATTTTTTTCACATTAAGATGGGAACAATTGTCATCTTTTATCATATGTGTGATTATAACTATAAGCTTGATGTTGTACCAAAATCTAGAGTTCTTGGGTAAAAAATAGTCAATAGTTAAAGTGCTTCTAAACATCCTCGTCTCTGTTTTAATAGCAGTAAGACTAAACTTATGTAAATTATCAAAAACATCTGAGTTTTAATTATTGTGTGACTAACATTTCATAACACATTTTTGTTTAAGACAAAGTATGAAATTGCAGACCAAATTAAAAGATGTTGGTGTTAGTAGAACTTGGGATAGCCAATTTGGAGATATCAATAATCTGAAATAAATATACTAAAATGCGTTTTTTTTTAAATATAGTGGCAACCTATCCAAGAATGCGGAAAGCTAATTAATGCAGGTGAATCAGTATCATGCTTTGTGGCAGTCTGTGGGGGAAGCCTACACTAAATTAATAATAATTGAAATAATATTGAGCAAACAATACACATTACTAAATTGAATGATTTTTATGAATTTTTTATTTAAAATAAACTTAAATTATAAGAAGAAATAATTGTGATATAGTTTCATTTAACAATTGAATTCCTGATAGATTGAATTCCTATAAGCTCATGGTGTGGGGGTACACCAAAGATTTTTGTTTTATGTGATAAAGTGGCAAACAAGCCGACGGTTCACCTGATGGTAAGTGATAACCGTTGCCCATGGACAATTGCAACACATGTACATCTGCAAATGCGTTGCCACCTTGATTAAAAGGCCCCGACTATCTCACTCACCAGACGAGACACAGAAGTTGTAAAACTTCTACTTTACGCCGGTCTTCTGTGAAGTTGTGGTACTTACCTGGATGGACCTTGACCTGACCACAAAAATTTCTGTGTAATTCATTAAAGATAAGAAGTATAATGTAAGGAAGCCTAATAATTAGACATCACCTTCTTTACATATTAATAAAATAAATAATTTGTACCAAAATTAAAGTAAACCACAGTAAGAAGTTTTTCGACTAGAGTATTCAAAGTTAAAAAAGTTAAAATTAATCCTCTTTACAATTAATTCTCTATCTCCATTCTTCATTCATTTACTTTTTTTTCTCTATCTTCATTCATTTGCTTCCACCATTTTTTTAAAATTAACGAATTTAAAGTCAAATATAAAAACAGACATTAAGAATAATAATGAATTGATTAATAATTGAGAATAATATGATACCGGTAGTAGTAGTGAAGTAAATAACTTTCCGTAACTTTTTTTATTACTTGAAATTGGCTCATGTTACACTTCTTTAAAAATAATACCAGATTCGGCCACTTTTGACACTATTAAATAATGCAGTTATGTTTTATTCTGGACTTAGCAGACTACATTCATATGCAAATGTTGTGTAATTTGTTGATATCTCGAGGGTTCTTTGCGGCGCTCTTTGTCGCTAAACTGGTCATGAATGGAACATATGACGGCGCCTTTGAATCGATAGAATCCCATATTGACTACAAGTACATTATGCTCGGGACTCGCAATCCGCAACTTCTTTCAGTGCAAAGCAGTTGCAATAACAGCTTTTTTTTTTAAGAGTCTCATTGCACATTCTACATTCAGCAGCTAGTTTGAGATGTCGCTAGTGAATTTGTGATGTGAGATATTTTTAGGTGCTAAAGTTGTTTTATGTGGTTTACGTGAAGCTTATGTTTGTGATAAGTGAAAAATTATACATATAATTTTTAAATAGAGTAAGTGATTGCTTGAAATCGTACTATAAAAATCGATAGGATGAGTTCTTAAAAAAATTGTTTTATGTTAATATTGTCACTTTGTAAATTTCGTTTATTAAGTCTTAAAACCAATATTTTAATTTAACACTGGTTGTATATTTAAAACTTCAGCTTCTCTGGTTTCGGCCGCTACGAAGTTCTAATTGAAATACCATGTGTTAATTATAATTAACCATGGGGTAATGCTGCACAAGGACCACCCGCAATATTCAAAGGTCACGAGAATTATCAAAAACTATGTTGGGATCGCTTGATGGTTTAACTCCATCCTATAAGAATCGGTTCAAAGTCAGCCATAAGCTCGGTAGCGTTACGTATAACTTAACAATGATTTAGGTGCAATTGATAAGTTTGTTTTCATATATAGATATATAACTCTTATATGCTAATTTAACGGGGAAAGCAAGTTAATTTCACCTTAGAAAACAAAACACCAAGCACTCGCTAAACGACACCTCGTCGTACGGAAGTTCAAATCCACACAAGTGCGGCACTAGAGCCGTGGATAAATTAGTGTTGGCGTTTGCATCGAGGCGCTCGCATTGTCTCCCACGTGGTGTGATTGGGCCGTGTTGCAGGGTGCCGCTGGGCCCGTCGGCCGCCGGCGGGCTGGGCGCGCACGGGCAGTCGCTGGGCGGGCTGGGCGCGCTGGGCGTGCACCAGCACCAGCACCACGCGCCGCCGCGCGCTCAGCACGCGCCGCACGCCATCCGCGCTATGCCGCACCATCCGCCCGCTCAGCACCACGCCATGCCGCCGGTAAGTGCCGTGACGCCGGTTGGTGCCACGAGACCAGTCGGTGCCGTGACACTAGCTGGTGCCGTGACGCTAGTTGGTGCCGCGCTATTGGTATTCGTTTTTTGTGTGGAAGGGGTTTGGGTAGTAAGTCCCAACGAACACTGCGTCCTAGATCGATTGTATCGATTGTGATCGATGTAGTATTCCCTTCGAGAGCATTGCCTCTTACTGTAGGATAATATTATCGTGTTTTTGTAAGGACGTTTTACATACATAAATTTCATGTGGACAAACACCCAGTTAGGAAAATACTATCTATGGGTCACACTAATAAAGGTCGTGGGAATCGAACCCACGACCTCTGGCGCTGAAGCCATTACAACTCCGCCACGGAGTCGTGCCATTAATAATAATAATAAAATATCTTTATTCACATAGACGCTTGCGCGTTCTTATGAAACGTCAAAATTTTACAAGAAATTAACACGTTCGTAAGTTACCACATTGTTTAGTGCCGTGCAGCCGGCAACCGAAGCGGCTTCCACTTCGCGATTTATGTTCCGCTACTAATTATATTAAGCGTTAAAAATTATATTAAGCGTTAAATGTATTTGCCAGTGCATACTAATCGGCACTAATTCCATTGGAGTGCACTAATCATCTATATCTGTAGAAGAAGTTCATCGATTGGCTTACTGCAACCAGTTAGCGCTCATGTATGTCGAAAGTAGTTTACAACATTTGGTACGAGAATGCTAACGAGTTTTACACAGATTGTATATCTGATTTAATAAGAGTACGTAAATGTAGCAGAATCTGTTTTGTACCGACAGCAACAGATGAAGCCGATGCGACGGCAGTACCCGGTGGGTGGTGGGTACGGGCCAGGTGCCGGAGTGATGCCGCCACCCTACGCGCCGCCACACCAGCACCATCCGCCGCACACCGCGCAGGCCACCCACACCGGTCTGTATACGTTTTTAATGTGAAGCAAGCAGCCGCTCCATATAATGTTCAGTGAGCTGCGGCTTGGCCCTACCACAGTCCAGGTATATGGAGATGTAAACAAGTGATAAAGCCAAAAGTAGGTGATCATCGCCGCATGTGGACATCATTAACAGGCGCGTTGTCAACCTTTGAAGATTGCGGGTCTTAAAGATTTTGTAACTTCGAGATACTTTACAGGTTATTAAAGCCTTCAGTCACAGCAGGTATATTTTTTATTTAAATATATGCTCATTGCATGGTTCACCTCATGTTAAGTGTCCATGGACCGCCCATGGACATCTGCTACACCCGAGAGTTCCAGATGCGTTGTCAACCTTTTGAAAATTGGGCTCCGGCCACCTCACTCACCAGACGAAACGCGAAAGTATAATACATACTTCCACTTTACGCCGGTCTTCTGTGAGGTCGTGGTACTTACCCGGACGAGCCTGCCCATTCGTGCCAGGGCTGCTTCTTGGCCCTACCAACGTAATCAAATATCCAAGAAATAATTCCAGAATACAAAATGCGAGATATCAGAAATATTCTTCTTTCACTATTGGTACATTAGAAGAAAATTCACTATAACATAGCACTAATAGCGTATATTCTCGCACAAGTTACTGGTATGAATGACAAGAATCAAGCATTAGCCACCATTCGAGTTCTGGAGACTTTCTCATAAAAATCAATCAAATCATTTATTCTTCGAAATAATAAATATACATTTCATTTATAGATAGTAATTTTTTAAATCTACTACTAATACGAGGTTCTTCTTACGGAGAAGAACGGCGAAAGAAACTCCGTAGGTATCCTCTTTTTTGTCCTTTTTTTTCCCAAATACATTGTTATACAGTACATTTTTTTTAAACAGCTTAGGAGCGATCATCTCATTCCCAGGGGTTATTATCGTTAATGTATTCATTTATTTTATAATAACCCTTTTTAAAAATTTTATCTTTAATAAATTTCTTAAACCTGTTAATAGATAGGCTTTGCACATTAACTGGGATTTTGTTGTAGAAGCGTATACACCGTCCTATGAACGAGTTACTGACTCTATGGAGTCTAATAACAAAGTCTTGTCTTATTGACAATTGCGTTTTATGAGCAGTGGTGACAGCCCCGATGGCGAGTACAAAGCCGGTAGCTAGCGGTGGCAGCCCTGGGCGCGAAGTGACCGGCGAGGAGGGCAACGGCCACGTCGTGGACAGTGGGGACGCGGGCGAGGTGTCGTCCCACGCTGCCGCCAACGCCTCTGCGTCCGCTACCGCTTCCGCCGCCGCCCCTTCCACAGGCGCGCCCACCGCCCCAAGCGCGCAGGCTAACAGTAAAGAGAAGACACCTATGTGCCTGGTCAACGAGCTGGCCAGGTACAATAAGGTAATTTAAGTAACTTGCTTCGATGGAATTACTTCGTAGTCATTTTTTTTTTTTCAAAGAGTATGAGGCAATATGTCGTCGATTCAACTTTATCTTCGTCACGGATAAGCGCTACACCAGATCAGTTTCAATCATCCTTAGTTGGTGCTAGTCCCTGCACCAAGCCAACTGCCTAAGCCTTCCAACTGGGATTACTTTTTTTAGGATCTGCAAGCAGTTTTATTAGATTGTTTTTTGTTTGTCTCTGTAAATTTATTTATCTAAGATATTTTTATAATGACGGTCATATACTCTACAGTATACAATTACCATCATCTCAGCTTAAAGTTAGTCTATGATTGAATATCCTTGCCATTAACATAAATAGCCTACATAATAACTGAATGTTGAGAGAAGAAAGAGCAGATCAACAAAAATCTACCCATATCCATTATCAGAATGGGTTTCATCTTCTATAAAAAGATATAATGCATAACTTTATTGAATGTTAATTTATCATATAACAGTATTTATATTATTAGAATGGTTTACTATCGTTGTAGTGGTTGAGAGTCTAAATGTTTGTTAATGACTTTTTATTATTATTAAAAAATTATTAACATTAAATTTTAATAATAATTAAGATTATGTCTAACATACAAAATTAATAATTTTGTATGTTAGACATAGTTTCGTCTACAAAAAGCAAATAGGTTGTTCATGGGATAAAGTGTTTGCTTGTATAATAAAATCCCACAGTCCATATTAAGTCTGCCATTAGATCAATTTAAACGTAAAATTAAAAGTAAACTTATGGCTACAGCATATTATACCATTGCGGAATATCTTGACGACGCCTTAGTGTGGAGTTAATTCTGTTTATACACATAGGCTAAAAAAAGAGTACTATACCTGTACTATAATATTATAAACTGACCTTTTTAAGAAAGAGCAACTGTTGAGTTTGTTGCTGGTTTCTTCTCAACAGAAACTGCTTTTCGAACTGGTGATAACTTACTTATGAACATATTAATTTCTATGTAAAATTTCGACGTTTCATAAGAACGCGCAAGAGTGTATGTGAATAAAGATATTTTGAACTTAGATTTTTTTTTATGTAATGTCTTATTTTTACAGATTAAGCATCAATATCGCCTCACATCCGAGACAGGACCTGCTCACAAAAAAGTATTCACAGTAACACTCCGATTGGGTGATACTGAAGAATACACTGCTGAGGTTAGATTATTGATTCAGTAGTGTTTTGTAACCAAACCTAGACACAGTTTCTTATAAGACTACAGTTTGCATTGGAATTTTTAAGGTCATAGTTGGAAACTAGAAGTAAATTTCATGATTACAAAAGCCCTAACATTAGTTAAATTCGTATTTTCTACATATACCAATCTAGCAACCCTTCCTAGCATCAAATGTAGATACTAATGTGGGGCAATGTGAAGTGATTAATAATATTGTGATTAGTCTATACTACAGGATATCTTTATTTTACCTTTTTTTCATGAGACAGTGCAAACATTTTTGCAAGACTTTAAATTTAATTCCATAGTACATTAATTTGATTTGAATGATCGCGCGTAAAATAAATGAGCTGCCCATAAATCAACGCACTTTTTGAAATAAGTTCAAATTATGACTGATTTTAAATATTTATCATTTTTTATATAACAATATTTATGTCCATTTTAATTTAAAAAAAAAATGGGTACACTTAAAGAACCCTCCCCGTATTGCTATAAACTGCATTAAAATCCATTGACTTTGTTTGATGTTTACAGATAACTAGCCTTGTTTAACCAATTCCAGATACTTTTTTGTGAATTCTTATAATATTTTTATTTCAAACAGAGCCTACATCCGTATGTTCTTTTGGATTAAGTTCCTCTAGAAAGAAAGACAAAGAAAAATTTGGGTTGTCAACATCTATATCATATTTGATTTCCACAAACACTGCCTCCTATTGGCAGTAAAGATCCAGGGTTGTCAGCGACGTGAGTGTGACCGTTGTTGCGACTGTTCGGCAGGGGTCCGTCGATAAAGCGCGCGCAGCACGCGGCCGCGAGTGCGGCGCTGAGCGGGACCGCCTTCCCCCCGCCGCCGCCGCGCGCCCCGCCCTCCCTCGCGCCGCTAGCTGCCCACCACCGGCATGCAGGTTAGCACCCCTGTCTCGCACAAAACATTGCCTTTTTTTTTAACTATTTGAGAGTGCCGAAATTGTCCCATTAAAATGATTCAATAAATTTCCAATGGGACCTTTGATCACTTGTAGACCACATTACCAGTAAGTATAAAGTATTATTGACCCATTGAGGGCCCTAACTGAAAACTAAAACTGTACTGGTATTGACGTAAAGTGCGTATTTGCTGCACAGAACGATTTGACGATGATTAAGAACTATTCGCCCCGGTTTGCACTAGCGTCAAATTTATATCGATAGTTATTGTAAAGCATGTATTAAGTATTCAAGTCTAGCAATCGGCAGTGGGGTCGCGTGGTGGACTATGCTCTAATACCCTTCAAATAGCTTCTCTGTACCCTTTGTACAGAGGTGGTCTTTTCCCAGCAGTGAGACATATAGGCTGTTACTTCCGTTCAAACAGTGAATATGTTGAAATATATGACGGTTGCCATGTAGCTGTCAAATGTGGCAGCCATTTCCAGCTTATGAATTGACAATGTGAAATTGAGAATTTGATCTAAAAACAAATCTTTATTTAAATTAAATCCAGAGTAGTGTTACTAACTACATAATTTGGCTTTAACTTAGTCCACTAGTTGAAATAACAATTATGTGGCAATTTAAATTGCCAGTTTAATAGAGCGCTGTCGACAGGTGCAGTGATGCCGACGGTGGAGCTGAACGCGCTGGCGATGAAGCTGTGCCAGCCGGCGGTGTACACGTCGGTGCCGCCGCTGGCCGCGCCGACGCGCGCTCGCCCCCGCCTGCCGCCGCCCTACCGGCTGCCGCACCACGCGCCCCACCCCCACCCCCCCGCACCCGCACCCGCACGCGCCCCTCGGCCCGCACGGCTACCCGCGCATGATCGGCCAAGGACTCATATACAGGTGGGGTCGGCCTCCTGTTTCCATCTGTGACCTGCGTATATCGCTCCTGTTTTCACATTTGTTTTGAGTTTTAATTTAAAATCCCACATTTGCGTTAAAAATCAATGGACCGATTTGACGAACCTGTTGGCCTAGCGGGTAGAGGACCTGCGTACTGGAAAAATATGTGGTACAAATATAAGTGTTTTTTCCAGTGTCTGAGTGCGAATATATTTATAATATGCATTTAATTATCTAGTAACCATAGTACATGCATTGTTTAGTCAGGGCCTGGAGAATGTTGTGCAAATAAAAAAAAGAAAAAACCCGGAGATATACAGAATTGTTTAACAAGCGATCATAATGAGTAACTGTGAAAATGTGCAGGGTGCGCGTGTGCGTGGGCGGCAGGGCGTGGATGGGCGAGGGGGGCACTCCGCAGGCGGCGCGCCACGACGCTGCCGCCCGCGCCCTGCAGGACCTGCGCCCGCCGCAGAGTGAGCCCGACGCCGACAACGGTACTTGCCCCCGCCTTCGCCCCAGCCCCCGCCCCGCACCGCAGACCGCGCTGGCGCCGTGCCAGTGCGACGCCGACGCGGACGATGGTACCTCCCCCAGCCCCCGCACTCTGCCCACCTGTAGGGTGACGCAGACTTCGAAAAGAGTACCCGCCTCCATCACGCCCTGTCTCTACTCCGCTCCTGCTCCCTATCGCCGCCTCTAGCTGAAAATTGACGACGTTGAAGTATCTTTAACTCCCTGCGGCGCATTTTCAGGTGTTGGATTTTCGTTAGGACAAAATTCTGTACAATGACTACACAAATAGAAAAGTTAATTTTTATATCTAAGTACTATAGATGTTAATTTATGGTATAAAATTTATTGACAATGATATTGTATATATTTTTTTAAAAACTGCAATTTCACGTGGTCGTCTGGTCACACAAATTATGTGTGGGAATTGAACCCAAAACCCCGGAAGTATTGGAATAGCTAACAAATTGATTATTTGTCAATGGTAATATCTCATAGATACCAGATAATTTTGAAACTTACCTGTGAAAAACACCAGTTACTCTGGCCTGAGTGAGTATAAATTACCATTACTAAGATTACTGATTGAGACATTTCTTGCTAGGTGCCGATACAAGTACAGACCTACTGAGTTCAGAGGTGAAGTCTCCAGTCTCCCTGGTGCACGAACTAGCCCTAAAGCGCAACCTGTCTGTCCAGTTCACAGTCAAGTCTGAACGTGGACCGCCGCACATGCGGGTAAGAACATAAAGACGACAATATTAAATGAATATATTTCATTTTAAATCTTACACTAAGCAGGCTGTGGAATTATTGCCTCCCCCGCGCCGTTGATGTTGATATTGTATTTTTGATTTGATTAAATAAATAATAATAATGTGGTATAAAAATTATTTATTGAATCAACTTGGAAATTTTTGATTTTATATTTGTGCCTCGACCTATGGTGGTTATATGAGGACTTTTAAAGTGCAACTATATGTGCAGGTATTCGTGACAGTCTGCACAGTGGGAGAAATGGTGACTGAGGGCGAGGGCAACGGCAAGAAGGTATATCTATATACATATGATATATAAAATCCTTTGTCACAACTTCAGTTGACATACTCCTCTGAAATGGATTGATCTATTTTTATGAAATTTAATATGTTTATTTGGTACATTTGAGAATAGGATGTAATGTATTTTTTATACCCCTAAGTGATAAGTGTGGTCCACCACAAACATTTTTTTTCTATCCTACAACGTCTCCAGAAATAATTTATATGGCGGAAGACGTGGATTCGATTCCAGCAGCAGCCAAAAACTTGGTGAATACAAATTTATAAAATTCATAATTTAAAAATGTGGTAGGGCCATACATCAACCTTCAATGTAGCACGAATGGGCAGGTCCGTCCAGTGGAGTACCACAAGACACCTCACAGAAGACCGACGTGAAGTGGAAGTGTTTATACTTCTGTGTTTCGTCTGGTGAGTGAGGTAGCCGGGGCCCACTTTGTTAAAAGGTGTCGCAAACGTCAATGGGCGGCGGTTATTACTTAATCACGTGAACTGCCAGCTCGTTTGCCACCTTCTCGCTTAAAAAAACATCATTGTGTATCGAATGTTAACAGGTGTCGAAGCGCCGTGCGGCCGAGCGGATGCTGGAGGAGATGCGGAATCGCTGGCCGCCCGCCCTGCTCCGCTCCAGACCACCCCACGACCGCCGACGCCACCAGCCCGCCAAGAAGAAGCCGCGCAATCTCATCAAGGTTCTGCACTGCCCACTCTTTTTAAACTACGCTTAAAACCTATTATTTTATTCGGTGGGTTACATGCAGAGCCGTGATACCCGTAGTGTCCGGGCGCTCGCCTTTATTTCAATATACTCTACCAACCCGAGTTCGATCCCCCGTGCCGGCAACAAAGAGGTTTTTAACTTTAAGTGCTGACTTATCACGTGCTCCGCGGTGAAGGAAAACATCGTGAGGAAACCTGCATATTTTTGAAATAATAACAAAAAAAAAATTTTTTCGAAGATATGTGAAGTCCGCCAATCCGCAGTGGGGCCGCGTGGTGGACTATGCCCTGATACCCTCTGTATAGACGAGGCCTTTGCCCAGCAGTGGGACATGTATAGGCTGTTACTTTACTTTTACTTTTTACATGCAGAGGGCTATTTACAGCAAAGGCTCATGAATTAGTACTAATGTTCTTAATTAGTATGTGGGTGTAATGAATGTAAAGCTGTGTGATATTTAGAAATTTGGTTTTGTTACAAAGTTTTTGGTTGGGGTTAAGTAGGGCAGCTACGGTTGTTGTATGAATAGTCAGGCTCGTGACACCGGCACAGTACCATTAAGACGGACTGGGTGGCCTAGCACCCGTGAAGAGGAGGCCTAAAAAGATCAAAGTCGTGCCGCGGAAGATTGCGTCTATGTGTCCCCGTGTCCCCGGCTGATGCGACAGAGACAGGTGCAACGTGGGATTTTTAGTGGGTACCCGTTTCTTACTGGGACTCCTACATATCCCTGCCCGTCCCCCGATCCGGTGACAAGAGATCCATAAAGGATTTTCCCACGTAAAAGTAAAAAAAAGGCTAGTCTGGAGAAGTACTACCACGAAGACCGGCGTGAAGTGCAAGTATGTATTATACTTTTGCGTTTCATGTAATGAGTGAAGTAACCGGGGCCCACGTTTTTAAATGTTGCAAATGTATTTACAATCCGTCAGGTAGATAGATGCACATGAGGAAACATACGGCTTAGGAACCGCCATCTCGCTAGTTACCTTCTCATATAAAACAATGAAAATATTTAAAGTATTTAAGTATATCTGTGCTTGTTTATTTTACGCTTGTATCTTTATTTAATTGGAGGTGCAATAAAGTATAAACATTGCGTCGGCAGGAGGGCGGACTCGGGGCGGGCGGCGCGGCGGCGGGCGAGGACGTTGCGGGCGGCGCGGGGGCGGGCGCGGGCGGCGGGGGCGGCGCGGGCGCGGACAACCCCATCTCGCGGCTGGCGGTGGCGCGGCATGCGGCGCGCGCCCGCTCGCCGCAGTACCGCGTGCTGGAGGAGCGCGGCGCCGCGCGACGCCGCGAGTTCCTCGTGCAGTGCGACGCGCCGCCGCACTCCGCCACCGGCCTCGGGCCCAACAAGAAGACGGCCAAGCGCCGCGCCGCGCACAGTACGCACGCGCTTAGCTAACACGCCCCCCGCCCGTTGTGGTGGGCCTTTCTCCGAACCCTCGGTTTTCGATAGTTAGCTTTAATAGCCTAACATCAGCTACAGCAAAAGTAAAAATAAAACAGTACGCACTTGATATAAATCAACGCAAATCTATATCAATAGTCCACTCCACAACTGGCGTTATCCCCAAACAGCTACACCGATTCATTAAAACGCTAGAGTTACCTACCTTATATAATCTGTGTGAAAGGGGTAGTAAATTGCAACAATCATCTATTGTAGTCAAAGCTTCCTGTATACATACGTATTCATCTCAAACAAATCACTCCGTATTACTAAATTCCAAGTCTAGGTTTCGGCCCATGATTACGACGCATTTTACTGGTGTTAACAGAAATGAAATAATTCAAGGAAAATACAATAACATTAACACTTTAGTTGTAAATAAACATGGTTATACACACTGCAAGTAACGCATGTTTTTGATCTATATGGGCTCACAAATTTTAATTATAGTGCTTTTCATAGCATCTACCTACGGTACCTATCGCTTTCCGCAATTCGCTGGTAAGCCGCAGAAAATCATCGTTCACGTAGTCTGCGTGTTCGATAATATTAATAAAATACCCTACTTCTTGTATATGCTACAATATATGAATATACTATTTATAAATATGAATTATGTTTTTCTATGTAACAGATGTCCTCTTGGCAATGGAAATGAGCGCAGCCGGTGCGGACTCTTCAACAACGACGGCCACAAATAAGGAGGCAACTAACACTAATGGCACAGCTGAAAGCAATAAAGCAAACAACAATAACGACGTAAAGAGAAAGGTTAGGCTATGTATAAAATACGCACGCACGGACGGACGCACCTAATACACTATCAAAATCAGTTTTGAACTCTAAAACTGTTGTCTGCTTCTCTAGCATATAATATATCATTTGTCCCAAAAAGTTTCACCAATATGAAAATCACACACTAAAGTAAATTCCACATATGGAGTAACTATTTATAAATCACACAAATTTTTTCCCATTTTATGATAGTTGTCAAGTTTGTGCATTCCATTGAATTCTTCATGAATTTGCGATTCATTTGGAACATCTTTTGCTGATTAGGAGAATGAGGCAGTGACGGGCGGCGGCGCAAACAGCGAAGTCCGGCAACCAGTGCCAGGAGTGTTGATGATGGACTACCACCAGCGCTCCGGTCAGCCGCAACATAATACTAACGGTAGACATACAATTTTGAAGCACAAGTTATTTAGTACACGAATTGGTGACAAACCAGAAAGTGGTTCACATGAGAATAAATTGAAATATGTCTTAAGTGCAGAGATTAGCAATATAAAAATTTCAAATTTCTATGTGAATAAATGTTTACCACTAGAGCAGAAACCGCTAAACGCTACACAACTTTACTACTCAAAACACTTTCAAGAGTCATGTAATGACGGTTATGTCTACATCTCAGTCCTTGATGACAGTTGAAAAGACCATCCATCTTTCACAAAATGCTGCAAGATTCTGATCTTATTCTTATAATTATTGTATGTGACATAAATATTTGCTTTCATTTTAGTACACTGCAATTGAATTCATAATTAAAAATTTTTACATGCAGTAATCGTTTTTCAGGAGTGAGCGAAACAAGTGCAACAGGTGGTACTGGTGGTAACACCCCGGGGGCGAAGGACCAGCTCATGTACCTATCTCAACTACTTGGCTTCACAGTACAGTTCTCTGATTTTCCCAAGGTATTAACTTGTTTTTTATGCTGTATTAACTTTTATATGGTTTATATGAACCTATTAAAGGTTGCAGTTCCTCTTGTGCCAACTTTTGTCTATTTGACTTTAGTAGACTTATCAAATTGCAAGCTCTTGCATCAAGCTCTTAAAATATATAAAGACAGACAACAAGACTTGCATGTTAACGGCGGGGCGTTCTTAATAAATTATATGTCTGGCCAATATTATTTAACTTTATAATTTTGGTCAGCATGAGCAGTACTTAAGCTTATTAATTTCACTTACTTAAGAAAATAGTTTTTTTACACCCCTACTGAAAAATATCTGTATAGAGTGCAGACATCTGCAGTAGAACAAAGATAACTAACATAGCTCAGAGCTAGAAGAACTGATAACCAACGACGAAGAAAGGTTCTCAAGTGGTACCTTGTATTGGCCGTTGTAGTGTAGGGTGACCTCAGACTAGATACGAGTGACGACCTGTGCAAATGTGCGGGAAGTGGATCGATGCAGGTGGATCAGGATCATGCTTTGGATCCCTCCGGGGGAGAGGCTTAGGGTTCAAACAGGCTGAAATGATGATGATATTTCAAGTGGACTTAATTAAATGTCAATTTTTTTTACCAAGCAGTAACATCTACTGTTGGTTGGCATTACATATGCACCACCAATGTTGCAGCAGCTCTGGTCATTGACGTATCCAGTTATGCTACAACTTTTTTTTTTTAATTTTAAAGGCTGGCAAACGAGTAGGTAGGACTTCACGCCGGCTTTCTGTTAGGCCGTGGTACTTCTGCGTGGCTGCGTGGCCCTACCCACTGACGGTTGGAATGAAAGAGCGTTGTTTGTGCGCAGCGCAACCACGGCGAGTACCTGTCGCTGGTGTCGCTGTCGACGGAGCCGCCCGTGATGTGCCACGGCGGCGGGGCCAGCACCGCGCACTCGCACGAGCAGTGCGCGCGCGCCGCTCTGCGCGCCCTGGCGCTCATGGGCCTCGAGCCCGGCGACGGCGCCGCCGCGGGGTGACTCATCGCTCGCTACTCACTCGCTCACCCGTAGTCGTACATTCATTAGCTCGCACATTCATTCACTTTGTTCTGCTCATTCTTCCGTCTCCGTCTCACGCCAATGCGACGGCGCCGCCCCAGGGTGACACATCGCTCACTTATTACCCATTCACTCTTATTTGTACTCGTACATTTATTAACTCACCCATTCATTCAATTAGTTATGCCCATTCTTATCCGCCTCCGTCTCGACCCAATCTTCAAGCACCGGCACTCATGGGGATCGAGCCCAGCGACGGCGCCGCCCCAGGGTTACTCATCGCTTGCTTATTACCCACTCACTCTTACTCGTACATTTATTAGCTCACTCATTCATTCACTTAGTTCCGCTCATTCTAATTCGCTTCCGTCTCGAGCCAATCTTCGCGCTCCGGCGCTCAGGGGCCTCGAGCCCAGCGACGGCACTTATCACTCATTACACATTCTCTTAAATTATTTTACCCATTTATTTGTTCACTTAGTTTTAAGTACTCGTTTGCTTATTTTTACTTGTATCCGTGAAGCAGCGCTGACTGAAAGTAAACATAGCTTGAACGTACTAAAAAAAATTTGCGTTTTGCCACAACATTGACTCAGCTTGCTAACAAAGCACCGCTGCAATAATGGAATTGTTTATTTGCTATTTTAAATTTAAAACACCATGCTTGATGGTGAACTTCAACATCCCGAGGAACTTACAGTCTTTAGAAAATGGTTATATATTACATTTTAGAAATGTCTTTTCTGTTACTTTCCAGTATGCAAAGCTTGCCGGGATCCGGTCCGAAATCCGGCGTCATTAGCAACGGGATCTCCGAGTGAGTTCGCCCAACCTGAAGATATCGTCGAAGCATTCGACACATTATAATTTTAAGATTTTTTTCACAATTTGTTCGCAATACTAGACGTGTGAATATTTCACGGCGGGAAATAACAGTTCGGGATAGCTTCATTGTTTTACAAACACTACATTTTGTATTTCTAGCTATGACATATTCACAATGGCGTTGGATCTCGGGTTTTGTTTTTATCACAAATGTATTTTTTTTATTGTGGCTACCTCGCAATTAACCGAGCGGCACGTTTTTTGTTAACTTTTATTACAATTTAGTTTTCATCGACAAAACTAGAATTTTGTTTTGTTCATAGAGATCGTATTTTTGTTTCGTATTTACGACTCAGCGGACTTAACGTAACCATTTCTTAAAATAATAAAAAATATACTTATATCGTAGTTAATGTAATAATATTTTAACGGCAGCTGTTTGCGCTCATTGAAAATGGGTGTGTGCATAACTGCTATGAGGAGATATTTATTATGATAAAAGCTACTATAAAAAACAGAGGCTGTGGAGCCAAACCAAAACGGTTTCTTCGGGACGGTCATCGTTGCCAGCGAGGCTGCACGAGTTATTTTTGCTTATTAGTAGAGCGAATATTGGTTTTTTAAATCGTACGCGACTTGCGGCCTGCGCGGTGACCGCTCGCCGTCCCGTAGAACGCTAACGTTACATCATGCGGCCATGGTGTACATTAGTTTAGCTTAAAGTAGTAATCGCCGTATACCCCGCCCCGAATGCCCCTAGCCCGCATCAGCTCTGCACCCGGACCTCCGCGCCCAACTATTGGCTATGCACTCGGGACTGCGGCGATTAGCACGATGGCCTCGATTTCTAAGACCGCTCCTCCGACGAGCGGGACGTTTGCAGTTTCCCCTGACCCGACCCTGAGCCATGAAATGTGTGATTTTTAACGTTAGGCAATGAACTAACCGCGTCGAGTACGTTCGGCAACAGGACGCTTTCGGCTCTGACCCTTATGTGGATACAACTCTTGCATATCGGACAGATTTGTGTTCGACTTGTGCGGGAGAACGTTGATCGAATGCTGAAAACTTCCCTAAATGCCAAACAATAAATTGCCACACGACGATTGACATTTCCTGCTTGTTTAACTAGGATAAGGTTGCTTGTTTAATTTAAGGTTGTATAACTTAATGTATTTTGTCTTTGATTTATTATAGTCTTGTAACATTTTTGACTAATCTATCACACATAATGCGTTAACAATTTATCTAAGCGTTCGTTGATACAATTGATCGGTACAGTTTTTATGGTGTAATATCCCAAAGGGACTTATCCACCTATACCCGATCAGTTGTAATGTAGCTTGGCGATTGTACATTTCATCGTAATGGGTCTGTTTTTAATTACATTACTTAGTGGTAACGGAATCGCGGACTTAGTGTTTGTTGGCTTCGAGTCGAGTCGATTGCTCTTGCTCTTAAGTAAACTAAGAAGATTTATGTTTTATATATATAATCTGTAACATTAGAAAGTATGTCTCATTTCTTTTTATTGTTGAAACGGTTATAAATCGAGGCCATACTAACAATTTCTTCATGTCGAATGTTGCACAAGTAACAAACGCATAAAGAAATTAATCGTTATTGGATAAAGAAAAACGCCACAAGGGCATTAAGAAGTGTTTTATTTATTTTGTTCTAAGTAACTAATATTTTATATTATTATATTATGGGTGAAGTAAGTCCCAACTAAACTTCGCGCTGTTAGTAAGTCTGTAAGAATAAAAATAAAGGTTAAAAAAACAGCTTTTTTTTACAAATAAGTTCCATATTGAGCTATGTTATCGGTTTTAGTAGAGTTTAGTAGTCTATTAAAGCTGCATCCAACGCAAAGGGCGTGGAACAGTTACGATACCAAAAACTTGATAGGGTCCTCCTAGTGAGTAATGTATGTGCGTGTCATGCGTTCATTATTTACTGAGGGAGGAATGGTCAATGGCCTGGGCAGGGTAAATCAGATCTGGAACGCGCGTCATTATGGTCCCTTATATATTCACATATATGCCTCTTTTTCATTTAAAACATGATGCGTTAAAATATTAAACGTTTATTAATTGTTGATAAATATAGAGTAATTAATGTTATTCAGATGATACGCTCACATGCCGCGGACATTTATCTTGAAGTACCAGGAGAGTAGAAGTTCATAGGAGACTTACCTAGCTTAAGTCACACTAGGTACTTATGTTCCTCCACGATAATTGCACTCGAGCCTAATCACTATTACAGGAGAGCCTTATTTTTCGAAGAATAAATTCAGAAATACCTTACTCTTTAAATGTGCCTTATTCAGACACAATCCGCCATATGTATACATAAATATAAAAAACATCTCTTGATGTACCAGGAGAGTAGGAATTCATAGGAGATTTATGACTCACTTTTGTGTTGTTTGAAAAAAAAATACTTTAACTTATTTCATACAAAACGGCAATTTCATAGGAAAAGACCTAATATTTAACAGTGAAAATGATATTCAAAGATATAACATCCTCCTGTCAAGTTGTTAGTATTGTCTAGTTTTTTTTTTAAGACCGGTCGCCTGCTTGACATTATTCTTCCCTAGGATCAAAAAGCCTGATCTGGAATAGTTATCTGTGGGAAGTACTTGTTCCGTGACGGAATCTACAATCGATCCCACGACCGCCGGCACTTAGACCAATAAAAGCTTTAGCCTGCGCCACCGAATCACCATAACCTGTTCTTTTAATTAAAATAATATAGAACAATTAAAAATAAAAACAAAGTTTATTTCATAAAAAAATAGTAGCAATGCGTAACAATATCACCAGTCTCAACAAGTAAGACCTGAGGTAATCAACAGACTGTGGTTCCGTAGTATATATACATTTAATACTATTTTTTGTTTTTAGCTTGGTAATACTATTTCAAAATATGGTGTATGGCAGTGGGACGAAATCACTTCACAAACTTGAGCCCAAGACTTTGCGTCATAAAACATAGGATGTCTGTATGTTCTTCGATCTGGAAAAAAAATCAAAATCGGCATTAGAATTATATTTACACATTTTGTACGTTTTTGGCAGTAAATACCGAACGAATTTCAAATCGTACGTTTCATATAATTATATGTTAAGTGATTACCACCACCCATGAACACCGTTGCGAATGCGTTGCCAACCGTTAAAAAAGTAGGCCACGGTTACCTCACTCACCAGACGAAACGCGAAAGTTTAATACAATCACTTTATATCGGTCTTTAGTGAGCTCGTGGTACTGTACTGCATTAAAATGAAGTGAAAAAAAATTTGTCTTCTCAAGTAAAAAGTTATACTTTAACTTAACAAAAGAACTGATCCATACAACTTGGAATTGGTAGGAACGTCGAAAAAAAAATCGATATATTCGATTTATCGATACAAAATATTCAATGTCGAAAATCGTATAAAAACGATATTTTTTCAAATTGAAATCCGGGGCAGAGTCCGTTAGTGTAAACGTTTAAATACTTGACATTTTTTTGTGAACTTGTGGTCAAAAGTCGACCATAATTAATTATATATATAGATAGTGTTAATGTTTTTTTTTTATTGATTTAAGGTATTTCATGCATAATTTAAAAAATATATTAGCATTATGCAAACTAAGTGTGACAAATTCTATACTAATCCGTGAGCGCAACCTTCGTAAAAATGGGTACAAAGTTTTTGCTTCGCGTATTAATATATCGATATTTTTCTTCACTTTCGACATCCCTAAACGTCGCTGGATGCAGGCCGCTTCGAATCGATCGAGAAGTGGAAATCCCTAGAGGAGGCCAATGTTCAGCACTGGACGCCTACAGGCTGAAACGATGAAGTTACGATGAAACGTCGAAGGGTCGCCACGGTAGAGCACGTCGCCGGTGGCGCGCGCACCGAGAGCATTTAATTCGGAGTGAAACGGGTACCAGTTTGGCGGTGGGCTTGCCGCCGCCGTGGCCCGCCTTGGTGTCGAGGCGCGCCAGCAGCGGGCGCCGCTGCGGGGAGCCGCGCGCCGCGTGCTGCAGCGCCGCGATGAACTTGAGCGTGTGCAGCGGCACCACGCGGTCGTCGTGGTCCGCCGACAGCACCAGCGTCGCCGGGTACTCCGCACGCCCTGCGCGCATATTCGTGTTCACATCGCAATCGTTACGAGACGAACGACAAATGAAGTAACAAATGATGTTGTTCTATATAAAACTAGCGACCCGTATAATACATTGCGTCCTGGTGCAATGTATTATACATATAATAAAACTATGAATAACTCTATCTGATGAAAAAAATCGCATCAAGATCCGTTGCGTAGTTTAAAGATATAAGAGCATCAAGCATACATAGGAACGGACAGACAGCGGGACGACTTTATTTATACTATGTAGTAATGTATGTACACATATGTGTTAGTTAGTTATGATAAGAAGGAAGGAAAGAGGATATGGTCAAATGTATTTAATGTACACACTGATATTACAGCAATAGAAGGAAAAACAAAAGTAACGGAAAGATAATCCTAATAAAAAAGGTATTCATTTTTGGTATTCATGTCTATCTATCAGTATGCTATATTATCTAGTATCTAAAGAAAATTTAAAAATGGTATGTTTAAAAACCTCTAGTCACAAAATTTCTGATACAAATGGGTACTGAGTTCTAGATAAAGAATCTTCACAATTATCCAACAGAAGAATCCAAGATTCCACAACCTTCACCCGATAGCGAATGACCACTCCGTGAACATCTACGACACCTAGAGCGGTGTATTAGTCTTAACAACCTTTAGGAGTAGAAAATTGTGTTCCTCGGTTATCTCACTACTCCCTCATCCCCCCCCTACGCGACCGTATTACAGTTCATAGATCAATTTTTAAAGAGCCTATTTTATTACCGATAAAAATCTTATCAGTAACTCGACCACAAGCTATCACCATCCCAAATCAATTCATTAGCTACAGCAAAAACAAGAAGTAAATACGCCTCATACAGCAGTGTGTAAACACCCATTACCGTTCAGGGTTTGTTCAAATCATAGCTAATGTTTCGCAAATTCTTAACAGCAACCTTAAAGTTCGAAACAAGGAAAACTACAAAGTGGTAACATTTTCTAAATGAGTGACACATAAAATCAAAAAGTTTACCATTATTGGGCGGCTGTATATTGTGCAGCGGCGAATAGGTGAGCAAGTACTCGAACTGCGTCTTGTTGTCCGAGCTGCCGTAGTCGGACACCCACGCGTGGCCTATCGTGAACTTCTGGAAGCGCAGCATGTCCAATACGCTGCCGACAGAATGAATAACCTCTTAGCACTGGTAAGAGAACAGCACAACGTTCATTAAACGTACTTGTTGCGCTAATAGGGTTCAAAATAATAACAGAAACTCAAAACTCTTACGTGATGACCCTAACAGAGATACGGGGAGTCTTACATGTCTCTTTAGGTTTTTGCACATTTTTTTTATGTGAAAAGTTGACAGCCAAACGAGCAGGCGGTTAACCTAACGTTAAGTGAATACCGCCGTCAATGGACAGGTTTTGTAGGTGCGTTTGACAACCTTTTAAAACGTGTGCCCTGGCTACCAGTACAACATTTCCACTTCAGGCCGGTCTTCATTGTGGTCGTGGTACTTACCTGGACCGACCTGCCCCCTATTTTTATTTCTTTTTAAAAACATTGCCCTTACGCTAGGATAACATAATCTTGTGTTGTGAGGACGTTTTACAAACATAAACTTCACGCAAACAAACACCCAGATGCGAAACGACCATCTGTGGGTCACACAAATAGTTGTCCCGTGTGGGGATCGAACCCGAAACCGATACACCTCGGCGACTGCGCCACGGGGTCATCCATTCGTGCGACAGCGGCCCCGCCACTTAAACACCGCAAAGCGGGCCGGGCACTCACCCGACCTGCACGATGGCGGCGCCGAAGAGGTCGGGCCGCTGGTTGATGCAGGCGGCCACGAGCAGCCCGCCGTTGGAGCCGCCCTGCGCCGTGAGCAGCCCTGGCCGCGTGTAGCGCTCCGCCACGAGGTACTGCGCCGCCGCCTGGAAGTCGTCGAACACGTTCTGCTTGTTCAGCAGCCGGCCCGCGTTGTGCCACCGCTCGCCATACTCGCTGCGCACAACAACGATACATGTTCCTACATCGCCTTGCGTGCTACAGTATACAACATTCATACAAAAAAGTTAAAAGTAAAGTAACAACCTATACAATTCCCACTCCTGTACAAAGGGTATTAGGGCATAGTCAAACACGCGGCCCACTGCGGATTAGTAATAAATCCTCTTTCATAAATCAGAAAAATATACTTGATGTTACCATAACGGTGTCCATGTTCACTTTATTAGAAGCAAATTAACATTATTAGGTTTTAGTGGAGAATTATTCATATTCGGCTGTTGGCTGGGAATGAAAAAATAATAAAAAAACAACATAATATATCATCTCACCCGCCGCCGCGTATGTTCGGTATGGCGACGATGCCGTCGAAGTGCTGCATGAATACCAATCGCGTCACGCTGAAGCTCGGCTGCACGTTGATGTTGAATCCGCCGTAGCCGTAGAGCAGGGCCGGACTGGAGCCGTCGCGAGGCAGGCCCTGGAAAGTTAAACCATGGACGACGCGTTATTTTTCACCTTTATCGCGATTTATAAAAAATCAACAATTAAGCATTACATATCTGTTACTGGGCTCATGTAGGCGATGTTTCGCAGAGTTTTTAATTTAATACTATAATATAAGAATAATTATATATATGTATAATTATTTGCTATATATATATATATATAAGAATAATTTATATATGTATAAATTGATGAGGAATGAATGATTGAAGTAATGGAGTCTTGAAAAAGTTGTGAACACAAAAATGTATCTAAATTAAAAGATAATGTATAATTTACGAACTCTATAATACAGACCTTTTTCGATACAATAAACATAGGAACTTTGGTGCCATCTTTGCTGGAGTAGAATATCTGTTTAGCCTCATACTGTGACGCGTCGAAACCCTTGACTTTTACTTCTCTAAACACCTGAAGAAAAAAAAAAGAAAAATTTCAAATTAGCTAATAGAAAATATAAGAGTAGAGATTTATAGGGTAAATTTTACTTGTTAAACACACTGTTCTTTGGCATATTAAGAATAACTTAAACAAAACCAACCGTGGGCTGATACGGCTGCTTCTTAAAATCTACGTGGTAGATGACGCCGGGCGTGAGGAAGGACATGAAGTGGTAGAATATCTCCGTGTGCTGCTTCTTGCCGGAGAAGCCCACCACGGAGCCCACGTCCAGCTCGAAGGTCTGCAGCAGCTCGCCGCTCTCCATGCAGTGCAGCTGGAGGACGCTCTGGAGAAAGCAATGGCAGCCATTAGCTCACAGCATTTGCTCACACATTTCCATATTCAAATAGATTGATTAACGATCCTAAGGGACTGAAGCAATGGCAAAGTCAATATCGATCAATCGCATTTGCACATATACTTTCATATTCAAATTTATTCATTAACGAAGACCGAATCCCGATAATCTTTTGTAAAGGTTGAGCTACGACGTGTTGCTTATGCAATGTTAATGTTCAATTAAAGCTGTGTGCTTTTTTATTTACAATTTATGATATTTCTATAGATAGAATGATACACTTATAAGGATTGGAAATTTAACATTATAATATTTTTTATAGCAAAAAAATTAAAAACCGTATAACTTTGAACATCCGACTGTTTTTTAATCATTATTGGTGCATCAGTATTTAATTGCACCAAATAGGTTTCCACTCAGCATGAGTTATTAACTAGTTATTAACTTCGTGAATGCTGATTTTCAATGAAATGCTTGATCTATCTTTAAAATTTTTAACATACCTTTACATCCCGCACGTAGTGGATGACTAGTTTATCGTTGTCGACCGCCGAGGCCCAGTCCAAAACATCCCTCGGATGCTCCTAGAAACAATAGTTGTATACTTATTAATTAAAATTTTTATAGTGCTAATCTGTGTACTTGAGAGGATCTGCGCTTGTAAAACGAAACTGGTTTGTATGCTGTAAAGTAAATAACAATAGATGCCGTCAAGGATTGGTTGAAATGCCAAATACAATGTATGTAGAAATACGTTGAAATTTTCGTGAGTGTGACAATTGACCGTTTAGATAAGCGATTAAAGCGTCTGGACGCAAATTTGGAAGACGTGGCTGCAATTCTCGCAGCAGCGAAAATCTTATAGTTAATTTTTCAAATCTTATACAAATTTTAATACTTTTTAATTTAAAAAATGCCAATGAAACCTTTTAACTAATATTTTAAAGTGGGTATGTAGTTTCCAGATGTAAAATTTACTTTTAAATGATTGACAGATTTGCAGTGTGTGACATAAATGTCCGCTATGATTAATTTTAACGCCAAGTAAATATCTTTGACTGAAGCTCACTGAAGCACGCTAAGGCTCAAGTGTTTATGGTGACGACATCTTAAATTAAGTACGTTACTTACGGGTATCAATGTCTGCCAGTTCTCTTCGGCGGGGTTGTGAAGATCGATCTTGATCAACTGGTAGTTTGGTGCGTTCTTGTTGGTGCGGAATATGCAGACGGAGCCCTCGTTTGTGACGTACTGAAAACATAAGTAAAAAAAGTCTCTCTGAATAAAAATGCCTCTGCATACGAAGCGTTATGCAACGAATTTCCCTCACGAATTAAAACGATTAATACGAAACATGTTTCAGATTCAACTTGAGCTTAATATTTTGAATCAATAAGGTATGTTTTAGGAGATAAGCGAAGATTTTCTATTGAGATAGAGCCAAGTATCGGCATTTGCGTTCGAAATTATCCCATTTATTTCATCATTATTATGTACTATTGTAATGCATTGAAGATTACATTAAAAATGTTACCCGATATTATAATACAATTTCGGATATACACGGGTATTTTTTTATAATATCGATATCGAAAAAAGAATATCATTTGCAACACCTATATAATATCGCCGTATATAATATGGCTTTACTTATCGTTCACTGTGAACCTCACATTTAATTTGTGATTCTGATTTTTTTTTCTGATGTTGGCCAAAGAAAGGATCTGATTTCATATGTTTTCTAAAAATTGTAATTTGTGTAGCATTTCGGACTCTTAAGGCGTAGTGTTCATATTCTCACTAGTTCAATGTCCGAACGCGAAGAGGAAGAAGATGAAAAGGTAAAGTGAAGTGAACAAGCGTAGTGCAAGTGAGAAGAGTTGTAGAAGTGGAGGTGCAAAAATTTGAGCGTCGTTGCGCCTGTAGAGAAGGTGGATTTGTGCGGCATCACGGTTTTGTTTTTTTTAAAAAAAGTAAAGGTTTGTACACGGGCATTTTGCTCCAATCTCATCCTCGTAACATTAGGGATGGTGAAATTACCTCGTAGTCGGCCTCGAACTTGTGCACGATCTGGGTGAGCGGCAGCAGGCCCGTGATCTCGGGGTGCTTCGAGAGGTCGGCGAAGAACAGCAGGTTGTCGCGACAGTCGCGCACAGGCGACACGAGCAGGTAGCGCCCGCAGTCCGACACCTCCGCGCCGCTGGGCAACACGACACGTACAGTCGCGCACATCACGCTTCGGGACGCTTAAACGCTACGTACAATCGCGCACGGTGCCACTTGCTCTAGACACGCAAACGTCACGTACAGTCGCGCACGGTGGTGCTTGCTTCACCGTGCCCGGAAACAACACAGGTACAGCCGCTTACAACACCGCTTCGCGGGATGCGAAAACGCTACGTGCAGTCGTGCATAGTGCGGCTGGCTCTAGATGCGCAAACGTCACGTACAGTCGCGCACTACGGTGATCGTTTCACCTAGCCCGGAAACAACACGGGCACAGCCGCGCACGGTGCCGCTGGTTTTGTACGCCCAAATGACACGTACAGTTTCGCGCGACAGCGCTTCATTTCACGAACGTATCAATGATCACGTGCGCACGAACAGTCGAAGAGAACAGCGCTTCCGGTTAAGCGACGTATAAACGTCACGTACAGTCATTAATGACAGCGTTTGAGTAAAGCACTTGTTGCGCTATATGCACATGGCTGTGTCAGTGAACATTAGGTCCACTGAAATGTGTGACAAGTTTTCGCTAAGTAATTGCTGAAATGATATTTAATAAGCACTTCTAAATGCTGGATAATGTTAGCCTATAACGGCACTGGCCGGGACGATTTCAGTCGAAAGAAAATTCGGAACATCTCATATTATAAGAAACCTGAATACTTCTATCTTCTAAAACTTATAATAAGAATAGTTCAAGTCGATCCGGTAAAATTATAAATTCCAATCAAATGAAACGTAATAATCTGCAGACGATACATTTTATGTACAGGTGTTAATACAATTCGTACTAATTAAAGCGTTTTCCAACCATATACTGTGGTACATACTAGAAACTACGCTAAATCAATTAGACGTGGATCTAATTACTTCTTAAGTGTACTTTTCCATTCCTTACTAATTATGCTACTGAAATAAAATAGACCTACGAGCGTTTGTCTTGGCCCCTCAATTGCGTATTAATATCTCTGTTGACAATGAGATGCTATTGTACATCTTGTCACAGCAATAAAAGATTTTTACAAGGTAACATTCAAACTTTTTTCACAGCGATTATTCACATTTCGTCACTGTTTTGTTTGAAAACAAAGTACTGTAGTCGGCAAAAAGACAAGGATATGATCGGTGTACTGGAATAATGGAAAAAGATAAGACTTGCACGGTGCAAATTAGACGTGCTTTTTAATACATCAGTTACTTAATCCCATAACAAAGATATTAATCTATAGGTTTTTCATCGAATATAAGACTATATACATGTTTCCCTCGGATACGGTTCATGTACTTGAATTTTCGAATATGGTGGTAAGTAAGAAACACAGAGCAGTGGTAGGTTGGTGTCTAGTCGGAACAAATCCCAGCGTCGCAGGCACAAAGAGATCGTTAATTGCATTTTTAAGTACTGGTTATAAGTGCTTTTTTAAAAAGCAAGCCTTTGCCTAGCAGGGAAAAATGTGTGATACGCTTTACGCCACTTCAATAATGACGTAACAACTGATCACATAATTTAATGTCACAATATAACCAAGGTATTTATACACACGTTTGTTTTCATTTAAAACGGGTCGTACCCTAGTGGGTAAACCATAAATACGTACATCCTCCATAGAGGCTCCTCGGGGAATTCCACCACCACGACGTCTTCGGATTGGGGCGTGTTGAGGCGGTGGTAGCAAAGCTTCTGATCACGGTTCACTTCGGTCTCCGAGCCGTCCGCCTTTCCAGCCGCGTCCGGGTATCGCTGCAAACAAAAACGGTCGCAGAATCGAACCCTGAGGGACGCTTATTTTAATAATACCACTAATTACTGCAATACGGTTCCGTAGAACTATCTATGGAACCGTACAACAGAACGTTATTTTTACGGAAGACGTAGGGGAACATGGCTTCTTTGCCAATATTTTAAGGATGGATTTACTGTAAGAGCGACTACTGTTAGAGTCGATGCTCCAACGCATTTAAAATCCCTGGTCAGCAACAGTTGCCCGATAACACAACGCACTCACACAGCGTGATGGAAACTTACACGCACTGCAGTTCCTCCTCGCCTGCTAGCATCAACAGATCGTCCCTATTCTCAGCAAACGAGTTAACGACAATGTTCCCATTTTTGGAAACATAGTACGCATGTCAACATGCGTCACTATTTAAGTAGGGACTATCTAGCTTGTGGAAGCTTAGGCTAAAAGCTACAACGAGTTTTCAGCTCCAAAGTAATATTTTATAGTCTACGGACTGAAAACACAAATGGCAAACTTTAGATGATTGCAGTTTGCGCTTGCAACTATATTGATAGCGACCTCAGTTTAGATTTAAAGTTAAATCGTGATCTAGATTTAGATATTAGATTTAGAATTATCGATTTAGATTCCAACAATATCCCGGTCTGTTTTGCTTTTTTTGGTGAAATACATTAAGTAGAAAAATTTATTGAACTTCTTTATAAGCCCGATCAGTAGTTACAAAGTTTAGTAAGATTAGATTAAAAAAGATAGCTATTTATAATTGTCAGATGACTTCCAAGGCATTTATGATCGCCTTTGTATGAATCATCGAATGTACCGTATATTATATTCATTTAATAACAGGAAAACTTACAGAATAAAACAATCCTTTGTTGTCCTTCGTCCATGCCATCGATGCAAATTTGACCTTTTCCAATACCTCAGGGTAGTCTTTTCCTGTAATGTATAAGAATAATAAATGTTGTTATTACCATTATTGGTCAGCTATTGGAGTCTTACAACTTACGTGACATTCGTAAACGTGTTTACATTCAGAGCATTGGTAATGCTGGTATTTTAATATAGGAATTATTAATAATAGGTTTTGACATTTATTTATTGTCTAGCAAATAAAATAAGGTGCTATTTTAAAGCCAGTAACAGAATGTAATTTTTGGTTTTGAGAGTCTGGCAAATTAATCTTTAAAATAATAAAAAAGAAATCGATATATGATTTGTAAACACCAAGATATCAAAAATAATATAAGCTAAATTTATTGCGAATAGGCGATGCAATAAAAAGTTAGAGACTTAACAATAAATTAAAATTTATTGATATCGTGGAGATAAAATTACCAAATCCGGTTCAACAGCACCGAGTCACGGGTAATCGAGAAAACTAGTTTTCTAAACTGAGGCTTAGTGACAAAAAAAAACTGGGTCAATGCCCCAGTCCCTATGATCTATAAAGTATTGGCCTCCCCCTGTTACCCTAGTCTTATAAAATACTACCGATCCGCCCCGGCTTCGCACGGGTGCAATGTATTATACATATAAACATTCCTCTTGAGTCACTATCTAGTAAAAAAACCGCATCAAGATCTGTTGCGTAGTTTTAAAGATCTAATATCATACATAGGGACAACTTTGTTTTATACTTTGTATATGTAGTGATGGCTTAGGGCATAGGGCAGGCGGAGTATTCCACAAAAGGGTTGACTCGTCTATTAGGAGAGTGCAATTAGCAAGTACGTAAGGTATGTGCAAATGGGCGTTAGTGTTTTTAAGAGATACTACAATTAACTACCGACATCCCGAGGAATTATAAAGTAAAAATCCCTCTAAAGTGTATTTTAAGAATATTCTCCTGGATTTACCAGGGGTGAATAAACATGGGACTGTGCTGAGCCACGGAGCAGCTTCGACAGTTGAATGAATAGACTTTTCCGGGGATGCACTACGGCTTTATACTAGGCGGGCGCGAAGTGGCAATAACGATCTACAACCAACATGTAACTGCTGATAAATTGACATTTTGTAAAAGCTGCCCTAACGGAAAGGGACTATTAAGATGTCGAAGAACACATTGAGGACAAGGATGTGTGGTAATGACTCTTGTTATGCACTTTTAAGTCACCTGGCTGCTGTTGATTTTATACTTAAATAATACTTGTATATAATTTAAAGCCTTTATATAATTTAGAGCCGTGATAGCTCAGTGTCCGGGCGCTCGCCTTTAATTCAATATATTCGAGCAACCCGAGTTCGATCCCCAGTGCCGGCACCAATGAAGTTTTTAACTTTAGGTGCTGACTTATCACGTGCTCCGCGGTGAAGGAAAACATCGTGAGGAAACCTGCATATTTTCGAAATAATAACAAAAAAATATATTTCGAAAAATATGTGAAGTCCTTTATATTGTCCCTTTATATAGTCCTTGAATATATTTCGAAGTGAAAATATATGTTAGTACCACGACCTCACAGAAGACCAGCTTAAAGGGGAAGTATGACAAATACTTTCGCGTTTCCTCTGGTAAGTGAGGTAGCCGGAGCACAAATTTCAAAAGGTTGTCAACGCCTCTGTAACCCTCGGGTGTAACGGATGTCCATGGGCGGCGGTATTCACTTACCATCAGGTGAACCGTCTGCTCGTTTGGCAACTTTTCACATTAAAAAAAAAATGTGAAGTCCGCCAATCCGCAGTGGGGCCGCTTGGTAGACTACGCCCTGATACCCTCTGTATAGAGGAGGCCTTTGCCCAGCAGTGGGACATGTATAGGCTGTTACTTTACTTTTATTTTATATAATTTAAAAAAAAAGTTCTTGCCGGTCCTTCTCTGGACAGGTCCAGTATAGTGAACCGTTGGTAGTTTTTGACGTTTATGAAGAGCATAAAATAAGCCTATATTGGATAAAGAAATTTTGACTTTGACTATATGATTGTAACAAACACGTATCCTCGTATGCACACCATCAAGCCGTTCAGGCTGCAGAGCGTGCCAAACAATTATACATACATATTCCTACATTATATACTATTACTATATTATAATTTAAAAACATAACCCTCCTTCTGGCGCAGTCGGGTAGCTAGGCCAATTGAGTCGTCATTTATCGCTGCGTACCTGTGGCCACGTCCTTGAGGTGTATGGTGATCCAGTCGGAGCCGCTGGCCGAGAGGCCGTACGCGAGGGTCGAGCCGTCCTCCGTGAATCGGCTGCCGGAGAGGGCCACCGTGCCGTCGGGCGACAGCGTGTTCGGGTCGAGGAACACGCGCGCCTCTCCCTCCAGGCTGTCTTGCACGTACAGCACACTGGCGGGGTAGGTTGAGCGTTACGAAAATGTCGGATGATGGTTCTTTTTACGATGTTCAACTTCTTGCGAAGTTACACCTCTTGCGAAGTTACACTTCTTGCTAAGTTACACTTCTTGCTAAGTTACACTTCTTGCGAAGTTACACTTCTAGCGAAGTTACACTTCTTGCGACGTTATACTTCTATTTCGGACGTTCGAAAAGTTTTGGGGGTACAATTTTTACGATGCGCGCGCACACCGACTAGCAAAAAGCGACATGATTAAGTTAGCTGCAAAGCGAACAACTTCACGGTACTACCGTGGCAAGCAATAACAACTTTATAAAATTTATCCAAAACTCCAATTTATTTAATATTGTAACAAGTAATTAAATATATATAAAAATTTTGTCGCCGTCATCGAAATCGATGAGGAGGACTATAAATATATACATATAAACGAACACTGAAATAATAATGTGAAAGGTTGTCTAGCGGACAGGTGGTTCACCCGATGTTAAGTTGCTTGCGGATGCGTTGAGAACCTTTAAGTTTATAAAACTAACTTTTTTTTCAAGTGCGCAGTTGTCTAGTTAGTGATTTGACTTGATGAAATATTGTAGAGCATACATGGAGATTCCAAAGTGTCAATAACTAAATAATGGATTACTAATACCATTTTCCTATACCAATAGTCATTTATAATGTTTTATATGTATTGTTTGATAACATTAGCCTATATGAGATGCGTTTTATACATACTAAATTTGTAGAACGCAACTAAACATTAGCCGACAGTGCCAAGCAATGATCTATTTATAAAATGGTTTAAACGAAACAATAACGAATAATAATCTAACCATCCCATTCAGATAAGTGTCCGTAACTCAGGTCGATTACATGTACAGACATTTTGTAGTCAATAGTAGGTCAAATCGACACATGATTTACAAATTGGGACACGATTTTTACAAGCATATTAGTTGACAATATTTCATAAATCATAGCACTCTGATGCAATGTATAACTATTACTATTGAGACTGTCAAACTACGAAATACAATAATAGATAAAAATCGCTTGACTCCGACTATTCAAATATCAATAAAGTCGTCAAAGTCATCAAAATTCAAATTAAAAAAAGAATGTTGTTATCGTACAGACATATGGTTCGCCTTTAAAGCTTATTCTGGATTCCAAAATTATCATAAACTAGCTGTTAACCGCGGCTTCGCCCGCGCGGCCAAAGAGAATTTACAATGAGTTGTTTATTATACACCATAATATCTCGCAGATGTCAGATTTTTTTCCTAATTAGTTAACACTTATATTTTGGACAATTCACACAATATTTTTATAAATTATATGCCTATATGCTATTCTGATGTATAAGCTATATTATTGTAATTTCATTAAAATCATTTCAGTAGTTTTTGGGCGAAAGAGTAACAAACATCCATCCATACATACAAATTTTCGCATTTATAATACTAGCTGTTGCCCGCCACTACGTCTGCGTAGAATAGGCTGAAGGCATAGTATTAAGACAGAAAGACAGACGACATACATAAAAATATGTATATAAATTATAGCCTATGTTATTCTGATGTATAAGCTATAATTATTGTAAAGTTTCATTAGAATCCATCCAGTATTTGCGTGAACGAGTAACAAGCATCCATCCATAAATACAAACTTTTGCGTTTATAATATTAGTAAGGAAGTAAGGATTAGTAAAGACGTGTGTAGGGTTGAAAATGTTCCTTACTTCTGGTTCTGCAGACCAGTGTTCTTGTAGAAGAAATATCTGTCGCCCCGCCTGAAGGGGCACGAGTATTTTTCGTAGTTCCACAGCTCCGTCAGGCGATCGTGGATGTCGGCCTTAACGGGGCACGCGTCGAGGTACGGCCGCGTTATCCTGTTCTGCGCCTCAATGAACTCTTTGGTTTCGTTCGAGTCGGGATCCTCCAACCAGCGGTAGGGGTCGTGAATCTGCGGAGGTCGTCGCGTTTGATTAAATTGTTGTTACATCGATGCACTTCACTAGCGTTTGATGGTAATTTAGACTGAATTAATTCCGTCGTGAAAGCTATTCGGATGCTCCTACTTAAATTCGATGTAAAACACAAGTTGCCACTAGTTACACATTAGCAGCACTAATGAATTAATAAGAGTTGATTTGTTACGAATTCAGCGGTAAAGGAAAGCTTTGTTTTAAACAGCTTATCTAAGTAAAAATACAAAATGAAATATTTGAGAAATATGCAAAGTCCGCCAATACCGAATCGAATTGGAACAAGTTGTAGACCTTTCTTAATGCCTTTTCCATAGCCATACCATACTTCTAGGGTTTTGCTTTTTTTTAATTTGTTAAATCATCAATCAGTGACGATTCTTTACTGACATTACTTTTATAGTTCTTAAAGAGATGCACGTGCAGTTTTCTTTAATGTCATTATTATTGCATTATATTGTATGTATGTAAGGCGTGTAAAAATCGGATTGAAAAATTCAAATATGAAAAATATATGTATATAATTGATAAAACGCGTACGCATATAAGTAATCCAATAAATAGCTTAAATCTTCGACAAGGCACGTTAATTATAAATTTTTATATAAAAAAGTTAACAATGTATGTCTTATTCGATATATTGTAATGTGATTTTACTTAATAGTTATTTATGTCATAATATACAAAATATTAAATGAAAAAGAAAAAACTCATCATTATTCAATGGCTTTATTGGCCATTAATCGACAATAAAGCTACGGGTTCAAACACCTGCCGAAGATTGAATGCTGTGATACAGAGTCAATCTAAAAAACAAGTTATTGTCAGTGCGTTGATAACGCGGCAACTCGTGATGATCGTCGGAGCGTCAGGGTTTTTTAAGAGTCTCAAAAATCCATCAGCGATCAAACTTCATTGCAAAGCTGTTGGCGATGCCGCCTGCGCATTGAATAAGAATGGACGGACGCAGGCGACCGGCATACTGATTAGTAATCAGTCCTCATCGTAACGCGACAGTACCGCAACTTGCCACGTATTTCACGCGTAATTTATACAAAATCCACATTGCCGGAGGAAAATGAGGGCCCAGCAAGGTCTCTTCCGCCGACATTGAACCTTAAAGAACACTCGTTACACAAAGTACTTAACACAGTGTTATCATTATCCCCCTTCAATTATTATACGAATCAAACATGTAAGGTGACAACAATTATTATAAAAATTCCAAATACCTACATATTTATACAGCGTGTCGTTACAGCCGCGACAATAATTGAACACGCATAAAGAGAATAACTTTTTAAAATTGTACTAAGCATTTACATTCTTTAAACATCAATATTTACAGAGTTATTAAATTTTTCAAAACAAACATTTTTAGAACACCCTTACGTATAAAACTGTAACGTAAAGTTCATTTGTAAAGGTCACAAAGCATATGAATGGGTTGAATGAATTTAAAAGAGATAAAACATACTGTTAGTAGGAGAGACTTTTAATAGGACGTTGTGGCAAAAGTTTCTGAATATACAGCGTGTCGTTACCATCGCGACAATAAATGAACACACATATAGGGGATAACTTTTTAAAGTTAGTTAGTTTTTGTCGCGGTTGTAACGACACGCTGTATACGTAAAGCTTTCGAATATTAAACCAAGGATCTATCAAAAAATGTCTATCTAATATATAAAATTCTTGTGCCGCAGTTTGTGTTGATACTCCTCCGAAACGGCTTGACCGATTTTAATGAAATTTTTTATGTATATTCAGTAGGTATGAGAATAGGTTTATAACTAATTTTTATTTTTATTACCCCCAAGTGTTAAGGGTGGCTCAACCTAAAAATTTTTTTGGTCGATGTTTTGCCAAAAAATATAATGACAAAACAACGTTTACCGATTTAAGATTCACAAATACAAAAAATTTACGGATGAGACCGTTGCACAAATATTATATTTATTTGATCAATTTCAAAGCTAATAATAGTCTACGGCGCCTAAACCTTAGATCACATCAACACCATCAGTTTAAGTGGCAATTTGTATATAATGCCTTAATGATACGTGCCATTGCTCAGATAGATCATTACTTTTACCCTATAAGCTCCCACGGGGATGAGGTCGGCCGCCACACACGCGACGGCGTGAAGTGAAAGTATTATTCTCTAGTGTTTCATCTAGAGACTTAAAATACAGTTTTAAAATTTATGAAATGTCCATATTCACTGATATTTAATCACTAAACATCAGGAAAACCCCATGCTTACTTACTTACTTACTTACTTGTCATATTCTCAAATAAAACTCATTCGCTCTTGTCTTCGAAATACACGGTAATCTAAAGATAATAATACTAGCTAAAATTCCCGCGTGTAGTTTAAAAACAATCTGAAAGCAAATATATTTTTAAAACTAACAATTATTACGTTAATCAATATCTAATAACTTTAATTCTAATTTTCAATACTAGCATGTGCTGCTGACTGTAGACCACGCGTTATTTTCTGTTACTGCCTTCTTAGTAACTTTTCCATTAATTATCACTTCGTTGTGCGACGGCCTTATACGTTTATGTGAGAATGTGAAGCAACTAAGTGGTTTTAGACCTCATCCCCTGATATAACCCTGATACTTCAAATGTTGCTCGATTCAGTCATTGAGAATGTTAAGATTAAACTCACAGTCGCCCTCACTTTTATGACGTTTGATTAAAACGGCATGTTTTGGTATCGGGGGGAAATCTTCAAAACACCCCCAGTCCCCCCAGAGTACACCTTTTGTACGTTTAGGGACTCCGGGACCTCCTACGGAACGAAACGTGTCCCTCGTTACTGCGCGTGAGCACGCCTCGGAAGGATAAACCTCACAGGCATACCTTAGCCCTATTTTATGAGCCCGAGACTAGAGGGCTGTTACTGTTAGTATAACGGCCTAGCAGCTTTATTCTTGCACTTCGGAAGACTATATTTATCAGACTTTAAATTATTTAAAATAGAAAATGACGACTAAACAGTGTATTGTTCGTCGATGATGATTGGTGATTTATTAGATTTGATTCGTCATATAGGAATTTAGGCAAATACAGTGGATTCTTAATTATAAACGATTAAGAACATCCAATTTTGATTGTAAGTAATAAATATTGTACCTTAAATTTTTTAAAAGAATGTGATGACAGGTTTCTCTTCGCATGGAAAATTTTCATTAATCTTTTGACCGAGATCAGTTTACTTAACTGAAGAGGCGTGTTATTGGTACATGGAATATTATGCGCATTTTACGGTTAAGCGGCTGCTACGTGTCGACCACTAGACATTAAAAGTAACATTTGACCGAGTACGTGTGTGTAAATGGAAATCGATATGCACCAATAATTATTTCTTTTCTTGTAGTACTGGCAAATTTGCATCACAAAAAATAAATATATCATAATAAGAAATATACGGTGAGCGCTTCTAAAAATTAAAGGAAAATCAAGCTAAACCGCATTGCAAGAAACCAAAACAAAAGGAAATATTTGCAACGATAAGATAATAAAGTCGAAATAAAAAAAAGGTGTTCATTTACACGAAAAAATATTTTTATTTTAATAATCAAGTGTTGAAATAAGCCGGTTTTGAGTTATTAACTATATCTATAGCCAGCCGTACCATGTTTTATAAGAATTTTCTTTTACTTATTTTAGTAAGTACATACGGACTTGTTCGGTCTTTACCGAAACCATTAAACAAACAAGTTTCAAGCCAAGGATAGCGAAGGAAATCGTTTAATGTCAATTATAAAGTACATACGTAAGTTTGCATTAACTTTATACCTTAAACATCAGTAAATCACTATTATGTTATAATATCGTAACAGTGATTAAGTTGTAGTTAGCTCTGTAAATATGTTTTTTTTTACATTATGTCTAGCTGTATACGAGTATCTGTGAGAACAAATACTCGTTATTTGTGGGAATAGAAGTCGCGAGCAAACCGAACCATCAAAATTCTATATAACAATATACAGAACAAAAATTATTAAATATTCGAAAGAGGTTTGTAAGAAGAATAAATCATCAAGCTTGTCGAATTTTATACTCCCATTATGCATAACTAAAAAGGTCGATAGCAGGAAATATCAACCTAAACTTTTTTCTTATAGTAAAATGTTTTATGGACCATAGGTTTTTTCTTATAGTAAAATGTTTTATGGACCATAGGTTTTTTTTGTTTCTTTCGACCGAACAATTTTACGCCTTGACCCCGGATGCGAGAGCCAAAATTGGCACCGCAAAAAACGTTTCTCTTGCTTATATATTTATTTGCCTTTGAATTTAAATAGTACATACTGTAGTAAATAACGATGACGTTGCAGGATGATAATAAATCAACTGTCATAGGGCTGTCATCGGTGTGGTTGACCGTTTCGGGTTCGAGGAAACTAGGGGCGGAAGATTGTTAAATGCTTACTTTCTTTATACCCACGGTTTAAGAATAACGCCCAGTTTCTCAAACACTGATCATCGTAGAAGTCAGAATGATTTTCTTAATGATCAATAATGGTCAATTCAATGAGTTTAACCATCCTTTTGTCATTTGAAAAGTCATGATTAGTTGACTTCGGGAATCTGCTTAAGCCTTTGCTAAAACCAGTATTAGAAGAGTTTTGCGCTTTGAATACGCATTTTTTACTCGTTAATGTTATCATCTTCTGATCATTTTTCTTTTGGTAGTTTAACTTCAACATAGTTTATGTTGTATAGTCAAAAGTTTTCTAAAACCGAAAAGATTTAATTAACTCTCGCTGTTATTACTTGTACTTTTCATCGCATGAACGAAACATTCCTACGTATACAAATATTTAGGCCAAGGCTAAGCGATATGAATATAATAGGATATTCTTAAAGTTATCATATTAATTACTATTAAATTTCATGGATACCTTTATTGTTGGAGTGATTTTATTTACGGTGGGCAGGTCCGTCCGGGTTAGTACCGCGACCTCACAGAAGACCGACGTAAAGTACAAGTGTTGCATTTCTGCGTTTCGTCTGGTGAGTGAGGTAGCCGGGGCCCACTTTATTAAGAGGTGGCAACGCATCTGCAACCCTACGGGTGTTGCAAATGTCCATGGGCAGGCGGTTGTCACTTAATTAGTATTGGTTCTGTTTAACCGACTACCAGACAAGACGCAAAATATTAAATACATAAGCCGGTCTTTAGTGAAGTCAAAGAACACCCTCGGCCAAGAAATCATACAACAGTTACCGAGCGCTCTGAAATAACCCTGCCAAAGTCAAATATTTATTTTCCAAAGTACAATCTAAAAAGTAATATTATAACATAAAGGCCGTGATGGCTCAGTGTCCGAGCGCTCGCCTTTAATTCAATATACTCGAGCAACCTGAGTTCGATCCCCGGTGTCGGCACCAATGAAGTTTTTAACTTTAAGTACTGACTTATCACGTGCTCCGCGGTGAAGGAAAACATCGTGAGGAATCTTGCATATTTTCGAAATAATACCAAAAAAAAATATATTTCGAAAATATGTGAAGTCCGCCAATCCGCAGTGGGGCCGCGTGGTGGACTATGCCCTGATACCCTCTGTATAGAGGAGGCCTTTGCCCAGCAGTGGGACATGTATAGGCTGTTACTTTACTTTTAACATCAAGGGGATGGCTATAACTAGACCTCACAAGATCACCATTAAAGAATGGTCATAAGCCACCTGCATCTATGTACTTCCGCAACAAAGTGCAGTTCGCAAATTCATCTTGTGCGGTCGTCCTACCACAGCGTACCTACCGTACCCACTGTATACTTTTTTAAATGTAAACGAAATCACACTTGAACCATTTATTGAACTGGATATGAACGATTTATCTTAAAACATGTTTTGTTTAAACATTGCCCTTACTTTAGGATAACATTATCCTGTGTTGTTACAAACATAAATTTCACGTGAAAAAACACCCAGATGCGAAACAACTATCTGTGGGTCACACAAATAGTTGTCCCGTGTGGGAATCGAACCTACGACCCCCGACGCCGAAGCCAATACCTTGGCGACTGCGCCACGGAGTCATCAAAATATTTAGAAAAATAAATCGTTGGTTGGTTAAGGAAAGGTATTGCTATTCCGTACGTAAGTAAACAGTAAAATGTAAGTATAAAACTTACCATTAGACTTAACTATTCAATGTGAAAACCTACTAATGAATCACTCTACAAGTATCTCTGCTTGGAGACTGGAGTATTTTTCCTCTTTGTGAATCAGTAAAATGAAAATTAGGTAGTTCAGAATCAGCAGTATAAGTTTTTAACCGTGTAATTTAAAACAAAAAGAAAAAAAATGCATTCTTCAATTCACCTTGCTTTTTTTTAAATAAGTTAATTTCAAATTTGTTATACTCCAACTATCTCAACGGATGATGTTTTCGCTTTCAGTCCTACATCACATAAAGAGTTAAATTGGGCTTGTTGAAATCTAGGCATTATGCATAAAGGGTCTAGCAGGTCTCAATGCATATTTTAATTTTGAACATCAGTTACGTTCCGTTGACAGTAAAGGCATTCGAACCAAATGCAACGGTCGCCGCCTATTCGGTAGCCGTGAACTTGTGCCGATGAAAATCACAACGTATTTGGGTTCCCAAGGTGAAGTTTCAGCGTGCTTATGGGCGAGGTGTAACAAGTTAACTAGGCTTTATGCGCAAGGCTAAATGAATGTTATTAAAGATGAAAAAACCGTACTCGATGAGATCAAATGATTTTACTCGTTTCTAACCCAGTGTTAAAAATGTAACAGCATCTAAACAACTACGGCATTTTTTTTTCGAAATAAATTATACTGCCTTCTACTTGTACCTTCGTATGTGTATTACAACAAATATATATTGTAAATATAAAATGATATAAATAATTAAATTTAATTAAAATATATAAAATATGACATAAAATGATAGTTCAACATATTACAATTAATAAAGCTGTCTGCTTAAAGGACATCCAAAATTCATAAATAATAGAAATAAAAAAATGATATCTCCTTTGGTATATTGCATAGTTCGTTGAAGTGTCTTTCTCCGCGATGATAAAGCAGTTGTACTTACAATGTTCATTAGGCGAATTGAAATCCATACCTTCGTGCCATGGTAGTCGTCGACCACGGTCTCATCCCTGAACGCCTCCGGGTAGACGAAGGTCATGTTCCACGGCAGAGACGACTGCGACGCGTACGCGCTCTGAAACAACCCACATGCTGACACAAACAACAACGCACAGGTAAACGGGCCCATAATAAACCCTGCTCCAACGAGCACTCGTCACGAACTGATCGCCGCCAAGCCCGGTGCTGTCTTTATATTCGAAAACAACAGGCGGCAGGGCAACTCTCGCCAAGCGACGTCTGAAAGTTTTTTTTATTCTTCAGTCAGCAACGCGTCTCGCTGCGGTAGCTGCCAGTGCTCCTTGACAGAACTTGATAATAGAGCACAGATTATTTAATTTGTAAAGATAATAAACATGTAAATGATGAAATCAAATTATTTGGCGGACATTTTAAACAAAAAACAAATAATAATACATATAGTTTAGTCGTTACAAGACAAGTATACTTTATTTAACAAAAGCAAAATATACTTCAAATATTTCATTCATTACATATATTCAATTTCATTTTGACGAGTTCCTTGATTTTCTCCTGAATACAAAATCTCAACCAATGAAATTAATATGAAACCACATGGAAGCTGAACGGAACCTAAAAAGAATTTTTAATTTTTATTATAATTTATTTATTATTATTGTAAATTAATTATATTTTTTGTATTGTAAGATAACAATCAAAAAAATATATACAAGCGAATTGAAAACCTTCTTTGAAGTCGGTTGAAAATAAAAACATTCTCATTGATAACATAGAAACTACAAAAAAGGAAAAAAGTTGTCTGTTGATGAAAATAAACTTTAATATAAATGGAAGACTCCATATTTCTATAAATGTCAAGGATGTTCTGCAAAATCATGTTATTTGTTGTAAAAAGAATTTAGTTGTTAAACACGTAATAAAAACTATAACTACACATTTAAATAATGTGTATAGAGAAGATTACAGACGAACACTTGACTAGAGAGATGATTTAAATGATCTGATGAAATCTGTAATAACTCATATGTATATTGTATTTTCCTATGCTTATTTTAAGTTATTTTTATTTATTTATTCCTAAAATCGGCATCGATAAATCGACAAATTATTAAAAAATATAAAAAGTTGTACGTATCGTGTATCGTGAACTACCTACCCGCCCCAGCTTCGCACGGGTGCGTTGTAGATACTGAATTTCACGGCTTTCCACTATAATATGCATGTACTATTATAAAATTAGTACAGTATAGATATTTCGGATGGATATAAGAGATCCTAATTAGAAGGCGGACAAAAATTACCGGCATGCAGTATCCCGCTTTATTTTAATAGACTTCAAAAAAGGAGGAGGTTTTATGTTCGACTGTATTTTTTTTAAATTATATTCACAATAACTCGAAAACCTAATGTGCACTGACAGATAGGTTATGGACTTGACTAGGTACCTTGATAATTACTGCCCTGCATGTTCCTTCATGTGGTGGTGGCTTAGTGTTAAAAGTTTACTCTTTTCGTTTTCGTATCCGAGACTACGAGATTGTAAGATGTAAATAATTAAGGTTTAGGGAAAATATATACTGATAAGACGCGTAGTATAATTAATAAAGTTATGCAAATACACAAGATGTGTTTCTCAATTAAGAGACGAAATTATACGTATTGTTTAAATGTGAAAAGATGGCAAACGAGCTGGCGGTTGTTACGTGACAACCGCCGCCCATGGACATCTGCAACACCCATTGGGTTGCAGATGCGTTGCCACCATTAATTAAGTGGGCCCCAGTTACCTCCCCTCATCAGAAGAAACGCAGGAGTCACTTCTACTTCATGCCGGTCTTTTGTGAGGTCGTCGTACTTCTGCTTACTCGGACGAGCCTGCCCATTCCTGCCACAGTATACTGTATCACAGATATGTAGATCTTTGTTATCGTGTAGCATTAATTCAATATAATTATTTTGAGCGACATTTTTTATTGATTTCTATTCGAATTTCTATTACTAAGAAACTAACAAAGAGCTCTGGGAGAAAGAAAGAAATTTTGTAGAAAAAAACAAATTGCCCTTGCTTTAGAATCCTGTGTTGTTGTAATGACGTTTAACAAGCATAAATTTCATGTTGACAATCTCCCAGGTGCGAAAGAACTATCTATGGGTCACACAAATAGTTGTCCCGCGTGGGAATCGAACCCACGACCCCTGAAGCCGAAGCCAATAATAATAATAAATATTTAGGACACATTTCTTACACAACATTCTCTATTCCCAAACTAAGCAACGCTTGTACTATGGGTACTAGAAAACTGATAAACCTACTTAAACATACTTTTCTTTTGTAAATAAATACATATTATACATTATATAAACACCCAGACACTGGAAAAACACGATGTTGATCACACAATATTTTTCCAGTAGTGGGGATCGAACCCACACCCTTTGGCGCAGGAGGCAGGGTCAGTACTCCCCACGCCAATTGGGTCGTCAAATACAAAATAGCTTGGTAACTGCGCAACGGAGTCAAAAAATTCAGTCTTCAGGGAGCTACAATGGTCGATAATTATTGTTTTATATACTTATTACATTTTAAATGTTACAATGAATTAGATTTATTTATAACAATTAATAGAATACCCCAAGTATCATCTATTGTGATGGTAATAGGTATGCTCTATTTTATTCATTATGAATTTCATTACTTGTTTTTTATCTTTGTTGTTCGAAAACGTAACAGAAAACATTCAATGGCGGCATTTAATTCAGAGATGGTAATATAAGGTGTTGTAATTACAACAAGGAACAACCACTTATATTACCAACATGTAACTGTTTCAGATCTATCGGTGTTTGTCCACGTGATAAAACGTATGTTTACGTATGTAAAAACGTTAAATGTAAATGAAAATATTATTTCTCGAATTTTATTGTGCGTCGATTGCACAGACGCACAACGACACCACACAGCGCCACCCTTTTTTTTTTCGGAACACTATTAATTCTATAATTCTAAATCAAAATTAATGATTAGAACACCATTTTAAAGCGTATAATTTTCGCTATAGACGAAAATAGTGGAATAAAGATATTGTTTGAATAAAAAGAACCTCCGTTAAAGATTTATGAAGAATATATATAATAATGCAAATATTACCAATTTGCTTAACTTAAGACAATATTTCATAACTGAAAAACTTTAAAATTAATAACTGTTTCTGTACTAATAAAAAATTCGCTTTGATTGTACCTACAACGAAGTAAAAAATAAATTTCAATCTATATAATTATATAAAAATTTTGTGTCACGATGTATGTTCGCGATAAACTCTGAAACTGAGAAACCAATTTTTATAAAATTTTGTAAGCATTTGTAATTTGGTTCAACTTAAGAAAAATAAGGTAGTTTTTATCTCAATTATTGATCTCAATATTTGTTATTGCACATTATTTGTTTATTGGATGACAAAGAGCTATATGTGAGTCCTATGACAGATGGCTACGGACCTAACAGATGGCGGTATAAGATAAATTATCGGCTGGATTGAGTAAATATCCGATAGATAGAGCTATGCTAAAAATAGAAACATGATTACGATAAAATTGGTCAATTGGCGCAGACGAAGTAGCGCGGGCCAGCTAGTATAAGAATAAAGTAAAGGCGTGTTAATAAGATACTTTTCATTGATAAGTACTTATTAAAATGTTATTATAAATTACCATTTGGTGACTGATCGTAGAAACATACGAAAATTTCGCACAAGTCAACTAGTACTATTATCTAATATAGTACAGCGTGTCGTTACCATCGCGACAATAAGTGAACAAACGTCTAACGCTACTTGCCAATAATCATAAAAAAATATTAACGTTAAACAAAATCCATAATTAAAAAAATATTTATCAAATAAACTAATTAAGTAAAAAAGAAACAAAATTTGTAACACCTATACAACTCGCGCCACAGCGTCGCATTACAAGCCTCTCCTTCTTACAGTATGTTTTGTCTCTTTTAAATTCATTCTGCCCATTCATATGCTGTGACCTTTACAAATGAACTTTACGTTACACTTTTATACGTAAGGGTGTTCTAAAATTGTTTGTTTTGGAATATTTAATAACTCGGTAAATATTGATGTTTAAAGAATGTAAATGTTTAATACAATTTTAAAAAGTTATCCTCTATATGTGTGTTCATTTATTGTCGCGATGGTAACGACACGCTGTATAAAATTCTCGTGTCACGGTGTTTGTAATTGAAGTCTTCCGAAACGGCTCTACCGATTTTCGCGAAATTTGCATATCGGCCATGGTGGAGAATCGGACATCTATTTTTAATCCCCCTAAATGTTAAGGGGTGTCCACCCCTGACATTTTTTCTACCCTACAAATAATTTATATGGCAAAACAACGTTTGCCGGGTCAGCTAGTAAAATTATAATATTATTAATATATTTAAACTATTGTATGTAACTAATACTAATACTACTAACTAGTACTATTTTAACTAATTATTTTACGGTGGTAGGGCCACGCAGCAGCCTCGGCTGTTGCACGAATTGGCAGGCTTGTCCGGGTAAGTACCATGACCTCACAGAAGACCGGCGTCAAGTGGAAGTATTACTTTCGCGTTTCGTCTGGTGAGTGACGTGGTCGGAGCCCAATTTTCAGATGTCCATGGGCGGCGATATTCACATAACATCAGGTGATCCGTCTGTTCGTTTGGCAATCTTTCACATAAAAAAATCACCTTTCCCGATAAATTATAATTCGTGTCATAAGTTCATCAGATATAGGTATTCTCTTTATCTCTACCATTTCATCTTACCTATCACTAAGATATCTATCAACTCAATCGTAATACGTGTGATATTCACTGTTCTTTATCTCGTCATATATAGGAGAAATCTATTTCCATTACTATTCAGTCCTACGCTTTTTGCATTGTACCCACTCTACTTTAATCGCCGTCAGATATTTCTTGAAGTATTATTGTCATAATGGACGTACATACAAACAGAGCTGTTGGTTTTCGATCAAAGCCGTACAACTGTAGTAGCGCCAAGCAGCAGCCTCAACTGTTGCACGAATGGGCAGGCTCGACCGGTTAAGTACCACGACCTCGGAGAAGACCGGCGTCAAGTGGAAGTATGATACTTTCGCGTTTCGTCTGGTGAGTGAGGTAGCCGGAGCCCAATTTTGAACAACGTTGCCAACGCTTCTGCAATCCTCGGGTGTAGCAAATGTCCATGGGCGGCGGTATTCACTTAACATCAGGTGAACCACCTGCTAGCTTGGCAACTTTTCACATAAAAAAAAAAACAAACTATATTCAGTTTATAAAAGAATTTAATACGGTGTACCATACAGAACGTAAATTGAAGAACGACACAGACAATAAACAGCTGTAACAACTGTGTACCTAAATAAATGTTTTGAGATAATTCGTACGCGACATATGAAAATGTTGTTGTTGCTCGTCTATGGTCTAGATTACTTATACACATACATATATGGAATAAAGGTTGATTTTATCACTAATGCACATATTGATAGAGAGCAAGTAAAGTAAATAATACCACAGAATGTAATATTGGACAAATACATACCAACAATGAGAAACAATGATGATTAAAATTAGTTACAAATAGCAAAATCACTCACTCTTATCATAAAACTATCTTGTGTTATGAAACAGTCACTTGTAGTTTTAATTATAAATTCATTAGAACATACTTGCTAATCTAATTTCATTAGAACATACTTGCTAAAAGTTAATCACTAAATGAAAACGAAAGCAATACTGCCGCTGAAATTCGCCAATAAGAAAATTATTGAAAATTATTACATTTCATGTCTAAGATCTGCTAATTGTTACACTTCAATGATTCTACAATACTTTTTCAAACATTAAACATTAGTAAACCTTAATAACAAAATCAAGTAGAAATCTTATTAACCACACATATTTGTGGCAAAAAGGGTGAGGGTAGGATTGAAAGTAATAAAAATTTAACTTTGAAATATATTTTTGTTGGTATAAACATAAAACAAGATATTTTATACATCGAACGTGGACGTGTCATTTATTAGCATCGCAATATATTTTTATATCGGAATATTTATTCAAGATTTAAAGGCCTCTCAGGAATTGCTTTTTTTCCCGCTAAAAAGTTATCCTAATTTTGTAAAAAGTAACAGTTGGTAGGGCATGGTCTGGTGAGTATGGCGGATGAGGGAGAGTTTCTAACACCAACTTTTGCAGCTTGGAGACTGTCTGTTATGCAGCAGTGGGTCGCGCGTTGTTGTGTAGGAGCAAGGGGACCACCGATTGACTAAAGAAGATTGTAGATGTGCGAACTTCTCCATCATTGTCTTCAGTTCTTCACATTACACATCTGCAGTAATGCTCATGCCGTTTTGTAAAAAGCCGTGATGAATCACACCGGTACTAAACCACCAAACAGTGACCATCACCTTTCTCGGGGTCATTTTTCGTTTAGGGAATTGATTTGGTGCTGAACCAGGATCTAAACAACGCTGAGCGCTTTCGATTGTCGAACAGAATCCATTTTTCGTCGCACGTAACAATCAAGCTTTTCTATCAAGCTTTCTTACCTTGCCAATTTGTCGCAAATAGACCAATCTTATCCTTTAAACGAGCAATTCTTGTATAAAGATATATATAATCGGAATCTCGGAAACGGAAAATCTCGGAAATCGATCTAGCTAGGTTTTATTTTTAGAAAATGTCCTTTTATCCCTGTTTTCAGGGAATGAAAAATATCATTCGAATATGAAGGTAAATTTCGCCAAAATTTCGCAAAAAAAAAAAAAGTCATAATAGCTCGGTCGGTAATAGGGCCGCCCCCTAAACAGACGGCAGCGGTTCATATCACGATCATTTACACACTTATTTTTTTACTTTTTTTTCGATTCCAGATCATTGCTTTCTTTATTTTTTGTCGATTTGTTATCTTTTTACCTTTTTTTTAAAGTTCTTTCTTTTGTGAAAAACACCAGTTCATATTTTCTTATTATTACGTCGAAAAATAATATGCATATTTCATTACTCAGTAATTTGTATCCAAATGTAATTTCCAAAATACATGATTTCATAGCATCAAAAAAAATAAACAAACCGACCAAAGCTCGGTCCTCCAGGTACTATTTTTTGATGCTACCATCAAAAGCTGCTGCTAGCTCGGCTATAGATTGATTATCATCATCTTCCCTAAATTCAAATATCTTTATTCAATATAGAAGCTTAACACTTATCTAGTGACTGCCAAAATGATACCACCGGTTTGGAAAAGAAAAGCCTCTAAGAGGAACCGGTGAAAGAAACTCAACGAGCATTTTTTTAACCACTATTTGACAAAAAAAACATGTTTAAACTGTGTGTTGAAGTCCATTTCAAAGAGCTTGGAGCAATCAATTTATTTTCAAGTATGTACTGAGAAGCAACAGTCAATATTTTAATCTCTTTGAATAAGTTTCTTAGTGATTCTTTGGGGCCCTGGTTATAAACTGCTCAAATAGCTCTCTTTTGGAGGACGAAGATTCTATTTATATCGGCCGCGTTTCCCTAAAGTAGAATGCCACCCCATATTTACTTATTGGGGTCCGAAGTACTACCAGATCTAATCACCGGAATGATTTTACAGTGCTTCATAAGGGCAGGAAACTCGCCACGTTTGATACACATTTTGAAAATCGTTGATAGACAAGGCCCCTCTAGATCGGCAGTTCTTTTAACATCTACGAGATTATTTTTTGAAAATATCTTTCTTGTTTACTGTGGTAAATTTCAAGTTTTCTATCGTGCCTGTGGTTGAAGTATCTGTCGGGGAAGGGAGAAGTGACTTGGTTGTTGCAATTCAACAATTTTTTTAGGAATTGAAATTTTTATAGTGCTTATCTCTGCAGTTAGGTTTAAACATTAAATTTTGTAGAAAAAGTAAGAAAAGATGGCATACATACTTTTGCTGCTTTTTTATAAAAGATAAAAATATAAAACGAAATAATCAAACAACAATAAGGGAATTAACTCATGTATTTAAGGGATCAAAGGATGACAATATCCTACACGAGCAAATTAACCTGTCGTCCGATGTAAGGCACTAATAGGGACTCGGACGCCCTAGAAATAATTACAGTACTACACACGAAGAAAAAATTAGACTAATATAAAAATATATATAACTATGTACCGCTATGCTTAAAATACACATATATTTATGATACTTTTGAATAATTATTTTTAATAATTGCAATAATGTTGAAAACTAATAAATAACTAAAAAAACTTTGTCTACAAATTTACTTATAATATAAATGTGCATAGGAAATAAACAACGAAAATACATTTGCACAAAATGTTTCATCATAACAATTAAGACGTCTTATTAAATCTATAAACAAAAACAAAAAGCATTTAATCTAATGATATCTTTAATTTTAAAGCAATGAACATAATTGTGTAGCCAAATAATAAATATCTCCAATCCATACTAATATTATAAATGCGAAAGTAAATGTCTGTCTGTCCCGCTTTCACGACAAAACTACAGAACCGATTTAAATGAAATTTGGTGCACAGATAGTCTAGTGCCTGAGAAAGGTCATAGGTTATTTTTTTAATTGGAAAAAAAAGTGTTGTGAAGGGATGAAAGATTAAAGAAAGATATTTATTTAAGAACTTTAACGCGAGCGAACCCGCGGGCGAAAAGCTAGTTCGCTGTAAAGGAATCCAAGGACATTACACATAAACATAATAAATCATTAATATATATTATATGCTGTCAAGTTAAATAACCGAATTTAAAATAAGTTAAATAAGTAAACAAAATATAACACTTCTTGGGAAATTTCGTGCAACATTAAAATTAATATAATAATAACTTATAACATACAGTTCTTGTTAAAAGATGGCAACAACAATAATTTCTATTTTGAACCTGTATGTATCGTGTTACATGATCAAGCCAAGTCAAGCTATAGATTTATGGATTTATGTATTATATTATTTTACGGCAAATAAGACATGCAATTGGCGGAAGACTATGGAGTCTTCTAACTGTATTCAATCTATGAGTATTTAATCCATTGGTCTAATTAACAAAAAGACTGAAAATAAATAAGAAATAAATAATTGGATTATTTTTAACACCAGTTCTTTATGTTAATTATCATCAAAGGATTTCACCGCCTGCTAAAAAAACATGCAATTCCGAACACAATTCATCAGGTAGTATAAATTTTTTTTTTTAAATTATTATCATATAGATATTATATTAACCTTTTATGTAAATTGCTTCTTACACTAACACTATATAAAGCTCATCTACACCATAGAGTAAATGTGTGTTTATTAAGCTTAATTACTTGAATATTTAAAAGTTCAATGTAACCTAATTATAACCATAAATAAATAGAGATCATTTTTCTAAGCAGAGAGCTTGCAATTTTCGAAATAGTAGGAAACATGATAATACTGACTGTTTTGGAAAAATATTTGTTTTGAAAAATAGTTCTTTATCTACATCTACTTTAATAAATTATAATATTATTTTATAATGAAGTTTAGAGAAAAGTTTAAGAAATTCTACAGACATTCATTAGTGTAGTGAAGAATATTCTTTACATTATTTTATACACCTAAGTATTGATTAGACATTTCTATTATATTAACAGAATGTCAACATTCTGTGGAACGAATAAATTCAAAAGAATTTTAAGCAAATCATTTGTAAAGTTTTTGGGAACTTTAAACGAAACTTTTTTAAGTATAATAGTGTTGTTCTGATCTTGTTTTGTTTCTGAAGACCATAAAATTTCTCATGATTTTTAGCATCAATGACAGTATTTTACGGTTTCTGTAATTGTAATTCTGGAATTGTGTGTGTTTATTGTAATTTTTAGATTACTGATGAACATTAAAACTATTGTTTTTTTCAGTTTTCAAGTGCTCTAAACGCATTAAATTACGTAAAATAATTTCATCGAGCAATATGTCGTATTTGCATTAATGGAAGAAGTCATTGTTATTCTTATCAAATTGGGTTAACAACATCAAATGTCGAAAATATCCTTGATACATTCTAAGAAAAAAATCTTATAAAATTAACTTGAATTGATTTAACAACAATAAGAACAAGTAACCAGTGAGATTCACTTTAGATATGTTGTATTTCACTTAATAGTTTATGTGTTCCCTTTAATGAAATACAATGGTAAAGGTCGAGAATGGTAAGCTTAATTTAAGAATAGAAAATTAATGTGATGAAATTACGAAACAGCCAATGAATTTTTATCAAAAAAATAAGCACATGTAACTTAAAATACCAGTCTCCAATGTTACATATGACATAATACTGATACATAGACGCTACTCAACAATTTGGCTTCGTGATTATCACACATACAATTCTGAACACGTATTTATTATCTAATTAATAGCTTGGACAGAGCGGCGTCATTCCAAATTACTTTTAATGCAAAATTACATTGGTGACGTTTAGCCTCGATTGTGATTTCACATTGAATAAGCAATGATATATAGACTTAAAGGATATGGGCTCACTGTCCCCGCTCGATTGGCTAACATTAATTCATAAGTCTCCTCAGTCTCTGCATATAAATGCGTCTCGTCAACGGGCTGATACACTGGTCATGCAACTGGTTTTGAACGGCGTCTTAATACGCCAAGTGACACCACCACTTGCGTTCGCCATATACTCGGTGCGATAAAGATGAAGATAGTCGCGAGACGTATTATATCTAATTGCGAGTTATTTATGCCATATACAACTAACAAATGACACCAATGACTAATAACTTTAAAAATGCGAAAATGTGGACGCAACAAACATCTATCCCAGATTACCTTCGATAGTGTTGTCACCTTTATTTGGAATTCTGATGAGTTGCAAGACCCGTGTATAAGGCCGTGGTCTCGTCTTAAAAGATAAAGCATCAGATCCCCAATGCGTTGCATTGGAGCATCTCGCGTCCCCTTCGCGCGCGTGGCGCTTACGAGAAGCTGTCCTGCTCGCACTCGTCCCAGCTGTCGCAGTCGTAGTGGTCGCAGTCGCAGTCGATGTCGCAGGCCGCGTGCCCGGTCGCGTCCGAACTTATGTCCGTCAGAGCCGCGTCTGACACTGGCTTCGAAGAGATGTCCAGTATCTGGAGAGAAGAAAGCAAAAATGTGATCAACCGACTGCGAACTGGCTTGTTTGGGTCTCACCGATGTCAAATAGTAAATATTCACGTTTAATTTATTTACTATATTAGCGCCACTTGTCGCATTCAACAATAGTGTCTAGTTATTCTGTTTTAAGTTTTAACGCAAAGGCACATGTTAAATTTTTGACATGCGACTTGAGTACGAAAAATGTTGCGAGGTATAAAGTAAAGAATTATTAAAAGTTGGAGGAGGCAAAACAAAGTTTTGATTTCCTCCATTCTGCATAGAAGCTAAGTTAATTGCTCTATTCATACATATATGTTTCCAGTCCCAATGCGATTTATGAACATTTTATGTCAGTTTATCAGTTCACCTGATAAATTATTAACGCCACCAGCGGACCACACCCGACCATAATTCCCTGTATATCGTTGCCTATCTTGTTCCCGTTACTGCACCAACCAATTGAACCAAGTCAACCGACGAATTGAATAAAGTTTAAAAAAACTGAATTTATACTTACGAATTCAATATTCACAAAGTAACAAGATATCAATATCAGCCTCGATATATCGAAGAGAAAATATCGATATATCCAATACAGTCCTACAAACCTTTGTTCAAAAAAAGAAAGGTATATTAAGCATTAAAAATTTGTCACCAACGGACTCTGTGTCGGATTAATTTATATATTTTCAGATTTGAAAAAATACGGTTTTTGATACGACTTCCGCTGTTGAATATTCTGTGTCTATACATCGATACTTTTGCGACATTCCTACTTCAGACGCGCACGTTCAAAGCGGGCCACTCACGTCGGCCGACGAGCGGAGGCTGTAGTTGTCCGAGTGCGCGTCCCGGTCGGCGGTGGAGAGCGCGTGCAGCGCCACAGAGCCGCGCTTGCGCTCCTCGCGCGACGCGTTCTTCGCCTCCGACCTGATCGCTACCTCGGACGGATTCGAACGCTCTGGAACCGAGTGCAAAAAGCGTCTTAGACTTTGCTTTTGTGTGTGTGTGTGTGTGTGTGTGTGTGTGTGTGTGTGTGTGTGTGTGTGTGTGTGTGTGTGTGTGTGTGTGTGTGTGTGTGTGTGTGTGTGTGTTTTGGAATTATACTTCTATAGGTGCGTTATGAGAAAATGATGTGAGTGTAATTTTAAGATGCGCTCGCATCACTGTAACACAAAGTCACACCGTAGAAGCTGCCAGCTAAGCTGCTTATTATAGATGGCAGCATGCTCAATTAAATTCGCCCTTTACATTTCTCGATGAATGTAGACGGCGCATTCATAATTTTATTCATATCAAATATGATGTAAGAAACTGGCAAGCGAGCGGTTCAACTGATGTTAAGTGGTAACCGCAGCCCATGAACATTTTTAAAACCCATAGGGTTGCAGATGCGTTGCCACCTTTTAATAACGTGGGCCCCGGCTACCTCAATCACCGGACGAGACGCACAATTATAACACTTCCGCTTCGACGGTCAGCCGGAGCTGTTACGTGGCCCTACCACAGTGTGACTCAAAAGTTATGTGCATAATACTTGAGCCTGAGCAGTACTAGTTATGTAGATAAAGTAAGTACGTGGAGACCAGGTACGTGCTCTGAAATGGTGTAATTTTTTGAACACACAAAGAATATGACGACTTTAAATTGACGTCTTGTCTGAATCACGAATTTGTACGGTAAACTATATGAAAATTATTTCAATGTATTAAATACGCAGAAAAAAATAATAACATCAATTACCTTTTACATGGGGATCTGCTAGAGAAATAGGTGACCCACTTTTTGGTGAACCAAGACTCCCACTAAAATACATTTCTGGATTTGCCTCGTGACGATCTAGAAATAATTAACTTTAAGTCTTAATATGAAATGCGACATTTTTTTTAAATATGTTTTTTTTAAAATAAAATAAAGTATTTTTTTCATTGAAGTTAAAAAATTATCACTACAAAAAAATTGCCATCAACGAGCAGAGAAAGAGTTTAGAAGCACCGCATCGGCAACTATAATAATTTAATGCCGGCCTTTTCGAGAGATTATGTATTTCAAAATTGATTCAGTAAACGCCACAATTGTGTTTCTGTCCAGTTCAGCTACCATAATTAGCTGTGCTCACATGTAGAGTTGAGTAGCTGTAGGGATGGATAAGATAATAATTAATAATTATATAGTATCTCTACCAAAGAGATAATAATATATCCATAGCCTTGGAGATATGGTGTCCATTCCCCTTTATGTTGTTCACTTTTCCAGTTTGACATCGGAATACAGACAAACATTTCAACTCAGTAGAGAGATATTAAGACGAGTAGAGAGATATTAACGACGATTTACGTAAGTCTGGAACGGCAAATGTTTGTATTTGTAACAATGCCAGTAAAGCTATTGTGACGGTACAAAGATGTAAATGGAGAGGACAGCGCGTACGCAGTCCTCTCACTAGAAGTGGGCGATACAAATCGTATCAGATATGAAAACTAGATATTAGTACAATATCCCAATATCGCTTACTGGCTCGTTCAATATCTATGTATTTTACAATATCTGATATTTCCGAAATCTGATGTACCGTGCTCGCTCGCTATACCGACACGAATCGCGATACGGCGATATCATACGCGTTTGCCACAATATCTGATTTTTAAACAGATTTCGAGAGACAAAGCGCGTGAGATACAAATACTCACTAGTTAGAGCGGGACGGCAAGCAATGCACGATATCAGATATCGAGCGACAAAGCGCGTGAGATATAAATACTTACTAGTTAGAGTGGGACGGCAAGCAATGCACGATATCAGATATCGAGCGACAAAGCGCGTGAGATATAAATACTTACTAGTTAGAGTGGGACGGCAAGCAATGCACGATATCAGATATCGAGCGACAAAGCGCGTGAGATATAAATACTTACTAGTTAGAGTGGGACGGCGAGCAATGCACGATATCAGATATCGAGCGACAAAGCGCGTGAGATATAAATACTTACTAGTTAGAGTGGGACGGCAAGCAATGCACGATATCAGATATCGAGCGACAAAGCGCGTGAGATATAAATACTTACTAGTTAGAGTGGGACGGCAAGCAATGCACGATATCAGATATCGAGCGACAAAAGCGCGTGAGATATAAACACTTACTAGTTAGAGTGGGACGGCAAGCAATGCACGATATCAGATTTTTAAACAGATATTATGAATAAGTTAAGTAATTTTGAATCTTAACACCATGCAAATAAGATCCGTTTCATTTAAATACTAATCTTGGTATCAGCGATTACTACAACTACATCTTAACAGCATGGAAAAAAAACTCTGTTGCATTTAAATACGAATTACGGTATTAACGATGTCTTTGAAAATATAAAAAGAAAAATATAATTTAATAGTGCTGTGCTGCTTTGGTGGAAATCAGACCAAGGCTTATGTGCCTTGTGTGTATATTTTAAATTCTTCCGCCCTAAGCTATAATACTGAATGTATTATTTCTTACACAAATAATAAAAATATTGGCACTCGATTGCGTGTTCTAAAAATATGTTAAAGTCAATTATTAAGCGGTATATAAGATGTTAAAATAAATCATTTTTATATTACTTAAATTTATATTTTTAATGAAATTTTTAATTTAATAATTTAAAAAAACGCATTTTTAGTAAGACAGGGTTAATTATTAATGATCATCGAACAAGACTTTCGACGAATAAAGTCAGAGAGCTTACGTTCCTAAACGTGAATTTGAACCCGGAGGGATATAAATAATTATTAACCCTGACATAATCGTAAATATATAATGTTAAGTTTTAAATATAAGGAAAATTATGTACATAGAATGAATCAACTTTTAAATACGCCTGCACAATTTTATATTTATAATAAGTATGAAATATTGCAGCCAGTCCTAAGCCTGGAAAAAGTATGAAGGGAAGTTATTTCATTCATCTTATATCCACTCCCTTAAAGTATACAATTTTTTTTTTTTTTTTTTTTTTTTTTTTAGAATTCAATTTATCAACGTGGATAGGGAACCGTAAAATATCTAGATATTAAAATACATAGTTTCGAAATCTGATATTTAAAATCGATATCGGATTCAGATACGGTACTCAGAAAAAGCGATACGACCCATCCCTATCCCTACCTCTCACTATCAAAAATAACACGTCCGAGTTACCCACATTAGGGGTAATCGCAGAGGTCAGCCACGCCGCAGTGCAATGGAGCGGCCTCGCTCTGGGGGAACCGCCTACTTGATCACGGTAGCCCCTACGCCAGGTAAGTATGCCTTCGTAATTTTTTTTTTTTTTTTTTTTTTTTTTTTTTTTTTTTTGCTGGATGAGCCACTGTTGGCCTTAGGGGCCTTCACAGATCCGACGGACTTGAGGTGGCCTGGCGCACGAGGCGCCTAGCCTGAACCTCGGCGTACTATTATTACGCGCCTTCGTAAACTTTGCCTGGGCCTATATTCATCTACGGGAGAAAAACGTTAGCGCGATCCACGAACCTAACAGAGACATCTATCGAAAGTCAACTTCAACACGGTATACAGCGACCTCTGTTGTCTGCTCATTTATAATAAATGTTACTTTTATACTTACCACAGTCAACAATTTCGTGAAACACATAGTTTGCTATAGCCACCGGTTGTTTAATCCATGGGTGTGACATCAATTGGGGAATGGTGCATCTGTGTGCTGGCTCCTTGCACAACATCCATCGAAGGAGTTGTTCTAAATCTGTAAATGACCTTAAGCGAATATAAAATTTTAAAGACGTTTCATGCATAAACATGTTCATTTTATAGTAAAAGTAATCCTATAAATCTTCCGATCTATATTTACTCAAGTGACGCAAAGCGCAGCACAGAGCTTGTAAGCGGGTTGACTTCCAGTTAGTTACCTGGCTTTCTGGACGAAATGTACAAGTCTTAGTACCACTTTACGATCTTCTACTGTGAGGCATGGAATTGCCTCAGTTGAGCCAGCCCTTTCATGCTACAAACCTGCTCGCTACGTGAAACTACCAATATACTTAAAAAATTTCCATTTGACCGAAGACCATCTATCAGTTTAAGAATATGAGTTTTAGCACAAGTTTAAAATCTACTGTTTGGTCCAAAATCAACTTAACACATACACACAAACATACTATTTCAAATAAATGAAATATTGAATGTTTTTAATACAACTATGGAACAAGACTGAATTTAAAAAATGTAAAATTTCTACAAGCAACAGTGTTATGCTTAGCTAATCTACGCGATTTTAATTTCGATAGCTTTTTAGATTAGAGTGATTAAAAGCAATTACGGACCTTCAGAAACGATCTGCGGTAATGCCAGAGGCCCTTGCAAAGTGTCTTCAATGTCTGAGAATGGGTTAACAAAGAATGTTAGAACATACAGTGTTATCCCCATTGACCACATTTCCAGTTCGGGGCCAGCGTATCTGGAATGATACGAAAATATATAAATAATAAACTTCTTTCAACAATCATAATAATTTATAAATTTTAAATAGATAACAAGATTTGTTAATAAAGTAATTAACATGTATGCAACTTTTGTACCAATAAATACAAATAAATATGTGTGATATTAAGGCCTCGTTTTATTGTTTGTTTTGGAGCTAAAAGACGTTGTAATTTACGCTACGCTTTGAAGACTATTAGACTACATAAAGCGACTCAGCGTCACTAAAACTCCTTAAACTTACTCCAATATATATTATGCAATGACAACTATTTTTAATACAATCAGTTAGAAGGTAGAATTTGTAGATACCGCAGACGATTTTTCGACCAGGGTTGCGGTTGACTTTACAGATAATAATAAAAAAACAACCATTAAAAAAAAATTAACACCCCTGGCTACGTCAGTTCCCAAATTAAAAGCGAATATGTTATACGTCAATTTTTTGTGTGGTTTTCGTAATGCCTTGGCCGTGCCCTCATATCCAAGTAGCAAAAATCTGATGCATGGGTGTTCCACAATCCGTCTTACTCTAATATTATAGGCAGGCTTCCGTAACCCCTCCTACGTCTAGTAAGCTTGGTGGTCGCGGCTTTGGATGACCCACAACGAAATAAGAGACATTCACACTGTTACATACTTATTGCCAGCCAGCACTTCGGGACTGCAATATTCGGTTGTGCCGTAGAACGTGGAGAAGAGCGTGTCGGGGCTCATGAAGGTCGCCGAGCCGAAATCGATCAGCTTGACGTGGAACTTGTTGTCGATGATCACGTTCTCATCCTTGATGTCGCGGTGCAGAATTTTCAGCGAGTGCAGATACTCCACCGCTTGCCCTATCTAGAACACAAGGGTATGTAGGAAATACGAATAGGAAAAACACTGAATATTCTGATTGTAGTAAGTTTAAAACTAAAAAAATGAAGAAATTGCAAAAGTGAATAATCAAACATATACATTTAGACTGCTTGCAATGTCATACTGCTGTTTATACTATTCATCTGTTTAAAAAAAATTTGTGTGAAAGGTTTACTGATTTTTGAAATTAAACTTGTTGTCTTTTAACGGTTCGCAAGAAAGCATAAAACCTATAATAATTTAGAGTCTTGGTCCATCATTTAGTATGCCATACCATAAGTACCATAGTATAGTGGAAACATAGTGTAAAGCTAAACTTAAAGCCGGATAAATTTTAAAACGTGATTGATTTAGAAACAATATGGATGACTGTCATCAGTTTAATATGTGCACTTACTCAATGTGACAATTTTTATTAGTAGCCTTACCTGTCTGAAGATATAACTGATCAGCGGCTCATCGAGTCGGGGCCGCCGTTCGATGAACTCGAACAGGTCCATGCCCGCACCGTGCTTCTCCATCACCATTTGGAAATATTTCTCGTTCTCAAACACGTCCACTACGCTCACCTGAAAGTGACGGAAAATTCACATTTAATTTCGAAGATGTGGTTAAACTAAATGAGGAAACAAATATTCATTGATAGGTATGAAAAGTTCTAAATTGTTCTGGAGTTGAGTGGGTGACTATGCCCTAATAATTTGTTCCCTAATTATTATAATGGGCCTTGCATGCATAGAATGCTACATTATTAGTTAAATTTAAATATCACTATCTCATTACTTTTTTTTTTAAAACTACTGCAGTTGAATATTAAAAGTATTTAATTTTAAAATATTCAACTGAACAAGAAATTTTCCTTACTATTTCTTGTCATACATAGATTGTGAATCATTACAATTGTTTTGTTCAAATATTTCTGTATTTCACAAATTCTTTCTGTAAATCAGTAAACACTGCGACTATACCGTGTTGCGGTTTTTGTTTACGCAAAATAACTTACGATATTAGGATGCTTTAAGGTCAACAATAGACTGAGCTCCAATGGGACTTTTCGGCCGTCAGGCCCGTCGACCCAAAACTGAGCGCCAACTTTTTCTTTCAAGATAAATTTCGCGACAGTGAGGAGACGATCTGATCTACGATACGCCATCTTCACGCAGCCGTATGCTCCTTTACCTGTTTAAAATATTGGTACAAGAGTATTAGATTATTGCAAATGTAATAAAAAATTATCATTAATCCTTTATACAAACCGTGATCCAAACTGAGTGTATTTCGAAGATAAATAAAAAGGAATAAAGAGTACAAAATACACTTCATCGATTATCACTAACGCTTGTTAGTGGTGAGGCGTATATACTGGAACAGGTTTTGGTACCATATTTCACTCCAAACGTCTCAGGAATAAGTATCATAATAAAGTACAAACGCGTATCGAATATTTTGAAGTACATACTGACAAGTCAAAACTCGTAAACGTAAACTGGAACGCAAGGCATTGACACTCGGTACTCGTACCCTAGCAAGAAGCGACCGGAGACGTTTCTGACGGACGTATGTGTGAGTGAGATGGATACTAATGCCGAATGAAAATTCAATTAGAACTCGGAGATTAAAGATCGTTTGTTTAATGATTCGAACCCGAAATACTCGTAGCCTAGTAAAATGCGATCGAACGTATGTGTGAGTGTGATGGATGCTCGATTTACGATTACACCGTGTATATAATATATTTTTTTCGTATATATAATATATTTACAATCCACCGTATGTATAACTAAGATAGTTCACTTAGAGAAAATGTGGGCGAAGCGGGATAAAATATTGGATTGAATATTTTTTATTATTTACAGTCTTTACAGTCAATATTTTTACCGTTTTCAATATTGTTCCGACGCGAACTTCTAAATCCGGAGTGTCGAGTCCGAAACGTGGAGATAGAGTTGGAAACGCGTATTTAAATGTACATGTATTTGTAACTCTCAGTACTTTTATCTAGTATGATTCACCTCTATAGATACATTGGGCTTTGTAAGAGCACACCACATACTTATGATCATAATATAAATGCCATTGGTACACACACTATGAACAAACGAACATCCTTTATCCTACGGTCTGTGCCCATATAGAACAAAAATTCAAAGGCTAATCTTAACTATTGATAATGAGAAATATGTCAAGCTCGAAGCATTATAATCATTAATTTTTTTTAATTTTTTTTAATCATTAATTAAGTTTTGATATAAATAACATGCCCACCGTTTTGCTATGGCTCAATGTAGCGCGCGAATATATTATACTTAAACGGTTCCAAATATTTATCAGTAAACTCCAACCCATTTACTTGATGCTCGTTTGCATTGTCAAAGAGCGGCAGTTATCACTTCACATCAGGTGAACCGCTTGCTAGCTTGCCACCTTCTTACATAAAAAAAAAATGTACAAGTCTGACAAAAACAGTATTTAAAATGAGATCACTTACCTATTTGTTTTAGTGTCACATACTGTTTGCTGTATTCACCGGCTATCTGTTCCTCGCCACATTGGCTCATTAAGGACATAGACTGCGGTCTACTGCTTACCGACTTGTTGCCCTGAAACATTTTAGCTTCAATCAGTTTTCATGCAAATACAAAAAATCATTTTGTTTACAGATAACCAAAGAAATAAAAAACGATAAATAATTCATAACATTATATAATAGCCCATTTATCAGTTATAGAATATTTATTGGTTAATGTTTTTTTAAGAAGGAAAGGATTAGCATTTAGCACAGAGAACTTGGCTTCTTGGTTAATTAGTAGGACTTAATACTTAGTACTAATAAAGTCACGACTTTATTAGTAGAACTTAATGCCTTCAAAACTTGTACAAAAAGTCGAAAAAGTGGTTGCAGTTAAAGGTTTATTTTATGCGAAAAGTTGCCAAACGAGCAGACGGGTCACTAACTGATGTTAAGTGAATACCGCCGCCCATGGACATCTTCTACACCCTAGGGTTACAGATGCGTTGACAACCTTTTGAAAATTGGGCTCCGGTTACCTCACTCACCACGCGAAACGCGAAAGTCTTTGTCATACTTCCACTTTACGCTGGTCTTCTGTGTGGTCGTGGTACTTACCTGGACGGGCCTGCCCGTTCGTGCAACAGCCGAGGCTGCTGCGTGGCCCTACCACCGTTAAAGGTTAGGTGATTAAACTCTAAGACTGTATGGGAAGTATACTTTAATTTCTATTAAACCAATCCGATAGAATGAACTTTTTTTTGTCTTGCACATGATAAGCTGCCGCCTGTTGAATGTAAATTACCCCCAATACCAAACAATCTCACCAGAGGAGCTTACAGATATGAAAAGTGGCAGGAAAAGTAGAGAGAAGGATAGAAACAAGCACAGGCTACAAGGGAGGACACAGGTGGCGTTAGGGCGGGATACAGGTGGGGTGGGGGGAGGGTGGAAGATATAGGTGGAGTGGCGAGATGGGGGGGGGGGGGGGGGGGGGGGAGGATGAGTAAGCGAGAGAAACAAACGCCCGCACCAGCACGAGCGAGTTGTCCGCGGTGGAGGCGACGCTGGAGGCGAGCGTGGTGTGCCGCGGCGCGTCCTCCAGCTGCACGCCGAGCCACACGCAGCGCACGCGCGCCCCGCCCGCCAGCTGCATGCTCGCCACCGTGTAGACCACGTCTGCGGACGCGTCACATGTCGCGATCAGTTGCAGTTCCGTTATATAGCTCATTTTTAGCGACGAAAATACGATTGGTTCGATTCTACGATCTTTGCCAGGGTCGGGGCTGTACACCTGATCGATTTAATACAACCATTTTCAAAGTTCTCATACGAAAAAAATATTATATACTGAGACAAGGTTTACCACCCATCAATTTTGAGATTAGATAAGCTATATGAAATGTAAATGGAATAGTTTGTTGAGAGGCAACAGAAGCTTTCTCTTGTCGGTGCATAGTATATTTCCAGGAATCTCTGGTGAGGAATAAAGAAGCGAGCCGTATTAACTGAGCTCGGTGCCGTCCTTGTGGAGCACGACGCCGCGGTAGGCCCCGTCGGCGTAGTCGTTGGGCGCCGCCTTGGCTCGCGCCGGCTGCGGCGTCGAAGTGGTCACCTGGCCCCTCAGCGCCCTCTTCGCCACGCACGGCGTCTCCGGGGGATCTTCTGGGGAAATACCTTTTTTTTTTAATGCAGTGGACACAATACTTATACAGCGTGTCGTTACCATCGCGACAATAAATGAGCACACGTCTAACGCTACTTGCCAATAATCATAAAAAATATTAACGTTAAACAAAATCCATAATTTAAAAAAAAATATTTTTCAAACAAACTAATTAAGTAAAAAAGAAACAAAATTTGTAACATCCTATATACAACTCGCGCCACAGAGTCGTATTACAAGCCTCTCCTTCTTACAGTAGGTTTTGTCTCTTTTAAATTCATTCAACCCATTCATATGCTTTGTGACCTTACAAATGAACTTTACGTTACGCTTTTATAGGTAAGGGTGTTCTAAAATTCTTTGTTTTGGAAAATTTAATAACTCTGTAAATATTGATGTTTAAAGAATTTAAATGTTTAATACAACTTTAAAAAGTTATCCCCTATATGTGTGTTCATTTATTGTCGCGATGGTAACGACACACTGTATATGTGGTTCAAGATCTGGCAAAAGGCGAGTAAAGTTCCCGCTGCTCACTCAAGCTAAGCTAAAAAAGCATGGGCTATATGTTTGCCAAATATTGCTATTACAAACCCACACAAATAAATAACAACCTCCCAAACGAAACAAAAGCACAGGTCAGAGCACTGTTATTTAATAAAAAATTGGCGAAAACAAAAAAAAACAGGTGAATAAATAACCCGGTAATAAGCACCAGGCGTGCATTTAAGGAAATGTACGATTTACCATGGAATTTTTTCCTCGGAGCGGATTCGGTCTGCGTCTCTAGGTCGATGTCGTTGCTCAGGCTGTCGACGCTTTCGTTGCCGTTGCCGTTGTGTTTCGGCAGCTCCTCGATTTCGCATCCGGGCGGGGGCATCTCGTTGATGGGCGTGAGGAAATCTGCGCTGGTCTCGTTCGAGTCGCAGAGGTCCAGCGATATGCTGCTCTTATCGTCCTTTGGTTGGTTTGCCTTCAGCGATTTGTACTTGCTGGCGTCGAATGAGAGGCGCAACGACGGGTCGTTCAGGCGCACCCTTGGCGTGTGGCCCGTTGGCGTCACCTCTTGGGAATGCTGTGACGTGTAGTAGATGGATTCCGATTGCTCTGACACTTTCGAGGGCAGTTTGCTGGGGTGGCTGCTTTGCTCCGAGCGAAGTATGTTCTCCGAACGGGATTTGGAGATGCTGCTGGGGCAGTAGTTTTCGTCGTCTATGGAGATCCCCGACATCCCTGATGTGACGTCGGGTAGGGCAGATATGTCGTTCCTTTGTTCGGTCGTGCTAATACTGGAGACCATGTCCTGTGTGGGCGTTGGCGTGTGGGTGACCATGCTGCACGACTTGTCGAGGCACAATGCGCTTGAAGATTTCTCCCTCGTTGTGGAGATGGATTGTATCGATTGTTGAACATTGAGAGACATGCAGGCCGATTTCTGGCTGCCATTGAACGCTCCGCAGGAATCCTCGTCGGTATCGGAAGCTAAAAAATATTTTAAAATTTAAGTGGCTGCAAAATTCCTGGTCTAATTTAAGAACATATAAAATAAATTATAATTTTCTTGGCACAGTAGTAGAACTCACCGGATCCGTTGTTATCGTTATTGACAGGCGACAGTGTCATATTTCTGTTCCTCTCCGACACCTTGACCTTGTCCGATTCGCGGCAGAAGTTCTGCACCACTTCGCTGATGTGGTGGCCGATCACTTCTGATTGGGACTTGCCAAAGGTGAGCATTGCGAAGTGCTGGTTGCAAGCCGTTATAACGCCTGCTTCGTCAACCACCAACAGCCCACTCACGTTGAAGGTCACCTGAAAAGTGTGCATTTCTCGTTTATGACGCCGTAAATGTGAAATCGACATTTTTTTCATTCGCGCACGCCACCGGGTTGCGAACCCACGCAATACAATGTGCAAAAATGCACAAAATGCCAAGTCATCACTACCCCAATAATCATAAATTGGTCCATTGCTACATGCTTACTATATTGCAGCTAGCTGTCTTATCTATACAGATTTCTACCCATAATGCACTGTGACTTTTTTAATATAGTTTTTAATTTCGTTAGAAACATTAACATAGAAAACAGAAAAAACTTAGTTTGGGCCATGATATAAAAAAAACAATTATAAACTTTTTGTATACTGGTGGCAAAAATAGCAACATAAAATGTTACAATAATCAGACTAGATACTAGAATAATGAGAAATATTTATTTATCCAACATTTACAACATTAAATTTATGTAAAATTACATATTATCTAATAAACCACGCGGCATGGTGGCAAGAACGCTAGCTGGAAGAGGAAAGCCTGGGACGTGAAACTTTCAAAAATTTGCCTGCATACGCAGTTTCAACAGCAAATGGCACAAATACATAATCTAAATATAGAGACTCATTTTTGTGCCACTTGCTTCACCTGCCTTCGATGCCGCCCCAGCCCTGACCGAAGTACCCCTTAGATGAGAGGCAGCTAAAGTGTCTACACAAGTAGCTTTTCTCAAAAGATTGAAGCGGATATTAAATAAAGAGATGTCACTACATCTCTTTACACTTGAATCCTAAAATATTAATACAGTTTCATTCAAAAACTACAAAATAGCATTGTGTACATTTTGAATACATACCCTAACATTAACAAGGTACAATGGTCTTTCTCTGTTACATTTGATGCCTGTCCATGGTGAGCATTCAACATTGCTCGTTCTGGATATCCACAAGCATAATGGGAAAGAGCCTCCATCTAAAGTTCGACCTGTAAATTGGAAATAGAAGAATTTTTACAAAATAAATATTTTAAAGATAAGCATAGTCTTGAGTTTAAATTATGGGTTTTTTTTTGCCTGAATAATAGCTGTAGCCTGAATAAGATCAAGTGCGACAATATTCTAGATTTATTTCTAAATACTTTGAAGCAATTAATAAATGTTATTATTATGTGTATATAACAATAAGCTACTGTATGTTTTAATTATTCCTATTGTGAAACTTAAATCAATAAGATAAATACAATAAAATTTTAACTTACTGGCCTCAAAAATGCCTACTGTGGTAATTAGTAAATATTATACAGCGTGTCTTTACCATCGCGGCAATAAATGAACACACATATAGAGGATAACTTTTTAAAATTGTATTAAACATTTTCATTCTTTAAACATCAATATTTACTGAGTTATTAAATTTTCCAAAACAAAGAAGTTTAGAACACCCTTACGTATAAAACTGTAACGTAAAGTTCATACGTAAAGGTCACAAAGCATATGAATGGGTTGAATGAATTTAAAAGAGACAAAACATACTGTTAGAAGGAGAGGTTTGTAATGCGACGCTGTGGCGCGAGTTGTATAGCATGTTACAAATTTTGTTTCTTTTTTACTTAATTAGTTTGTTTGAAAAATATTTTTTTTTAATTAAGGATTTTTTTTAAAGTTAATATTTTTTTATGATCATTGGCAAGTACAGTTAGACGTGTGTTCATTTATTGTCTGTCGCGATGGTAACGACACGCTGTATAAAAAATATTTATGTCTATATTGTACTTACTAGTTATGATTATATTGATTGGGATTTGAATATTTATTAATTTGATATGAATTTAAATATATATGTATACATTTATGTATGTATGTATACAAATATTTATTTATGTATTTATGAGTGAGTATGTGTATACATGTATCCATCCTTTTATGTGTGGTGGACAATAAAGTATTCATTCATTTATTCATTCCAAAATTTTTACCTCCGCAGTAAATTTCCTAAGTTTCCCAAGCAATGTATATCTCATGTTGGAGAAAATTTTACCACACGAAAAATGATCAATGCTGAACGAATGATATTTGTTTATGAACAATACTACTGGTATCGTACCTGTCGCCTTCTGCTTGGAGATGTTCTTTGGGATGGGCGCGTCGTTGGCGGGCAGTTGGATGGAGGGTATTAGCGAGGCTACGGGCAGCCCTAGCAGCTTGTCGGCAGAGTCCGCCTGGAACAGTAGCGCCGCGTCTCCACCGTCGCACGAAACGATTACCCCTGTTTCAGCGTCCACGGTCAACTGTAACCGTCAAATTACTAACATTTAGTCAGTTCAATGGGTAATTTTTTTAAATTTGTAGAAAAAAACTCGAGTTGTCTGCCGCTGCGGGAATCGAACCCGAGACCTCCTTCGGATTCACGCCCAGACGCTTTAACCACTGAGCTAAACGGTTGATTGCCACACCGACGCAAATCTAAAGGTGTTTTATCTACATTGCTTTTTCGCATTTTAAGAAATGCTTGGTAAATTTTGGTAACAAAGCAGTAGTATTCAATTTGATGCCAGGATTGGAACATAAAATTTTTCTATGGGCATGAATAACTAAATTAAAAGTTTTGGTTATATTTACCACAACATTCTTACAGCTGACTGGCTCGGCAACAACTAAACATGGACCATCATTATCCAACTGTCTTATCCACAAAGAAACTTGTACAGATGTTCCATCTTTAGAAAGAAGTTCAACCACCTAAAATGAAACATTTGTCACATAATAAGATATTTTATTTTAACTAATAAAATAAATAACCATGTAAATCACCTTTCCACTGAGTAAAATAATAGTTCCATCTTCAGATGCATCACCATCCTCTGGTTCATGGAGACTAAAAGTCTTACAACTCCTGTTACGCAGCAGGTCGGAAAAGCGTAAACCGCACAATTCACCTGATGAATAGCCAAGAAGAGAGCATGCTTTGTTGTTTACTATAAGAATCTGTAATAATTAATCATTACAATATAATTTTTTCCATTAGCACAAATTGTTTTTCGAATTAACAGAATTTTTTGACTAATGTTCAAATCACTGACGAGCATATTGTAGTGTCAATGTCCTAAACATTTACCAAATTTTTGTTCCGTAGAGAAAAATCACACAAATACAAAAACAACCAAGAAACAGAATTTTCCGGCCGCTTATATTTTTCGAGAAAATAAATGTTTGACTACAATACTTGTTATTTTGACTAAAGAAATCCACCATATTGTTGTTAACAACAGGCCTTATTATAGGCTTATTTCTTCAAATATAATCGTCAAAAATTTGTTGAAACTTGTGGATTATCTAAATCACTACCAAAATTTTATTTCATCTAACAACCTCGACATAACGTTATGTTGAGAAGATAGTCTCTGCATTTCCTCCGTGAATAGAACATACCTAACCTTGCGATTGAGAAAAGAACCAGCTGCAACAATAAGTTGAGGATTACCTTGAATGTACTTGGTTCAACAGTAAACACAGCCTTGCTTGGATTTATAGTCTGCTGTAAGCGTTCAGTTTGAGACTGTGCTGGAGAACCAGCAACATCTCCAACTGTGAGTGTTGTATTAAAACGGAGACCATTTGGGCCATCAACTGAAAACAATCAAAATGAATAAAACATCTTTTACATAATAAATTACTTGAATTATTACAATACAAGTAGAACAAGTGCAATACAAATGATTTCTAAGAATCACCCCCAATGTGAAAAGTAATATGGTAATATTAAAGATTTTGGAAACAGATTTGGTGAATTGAGCCTAGAATTAATCATGCAAGAAGACTACTAAAAGTACCTAAAAACCCATTTAAATTACAAAGAAATATGTTACAGTAATTATGTACCTTACCTCTTACTAAGTCAGTTGTTTGTTTAACTTTTGTGGGAGTCTCTAAATCCATCTTTAATGGGTGAATTTTACGTCTTATGCGGGGAAAGCTTTGATTTCCTTCAAATGAGTTGTTCCAAGCATCCTGTAATTTGAGCTTGGGCTTACCCGTTCTGAAAACATTATTGACACTTATGAAAAACATTTCAATTTCTTTTTATAAACTTTATATATCATTAATTATCAATTTACCTGCATTTGTTATCATATTCGGATGCTTTATGAGGCGTTAGGAAATTATGACTCTCTTTCGTTACTTCAGTTAAACCGTGACAAGCTTGCTGCAATAGTAAACATCATTAATAAAAATAATTTTCTTCTTAATAAAACACAATATTTACATAACTTACTGGCTTCGGCGTTAAATTTAAATGTTCCGGCGAATAAACATCAAAAAATCTGCCCAGTCGAGGTTTAACTGGCGTCACAGTTGGCGAATCTGTTTCCACAATCCTGCAAAATACATTTTATGAATAACTATTTACCAGCAATGCAAACACAGACGTGTATACAAGAACACCTTTATGATTTATTTACATGTATGAAGCTATTTTGGTAGAAAAATCAATACATTACAGCGCGCAATTTCAAAAGAATGAAATTGTGATAGTGTTGTTTGAATTTTAAATACCTGTTAATGTTGAGAATTCCCGACGATTCCATTTTTATTAAATATTTTTTGTCGTGCGCTGCGAGTAGATGCAATATTTTTTCCAATTGCAAAATGCAATTTTAAATTCTAGTCGTTGTTAATTTTCAAACAAAAGCTTACAAACCGATACCGTCATACCTTCTGTCAAAAGTTTTGTTAAACATTCGAAAATAAAAAGAGATATAAAAAATTATTACAATATATTTGTTTTTACTTAAAAAAAAAACTAAAATTTGTTAACTGTTAAATGAAATTTTAATTTTTTTAATAGCTATTTACTTTCAAAACTTTAAGTTTATAGTAATAATTCATAGATGGCGCTGAAAAATACTAATTTAAAAAAGAATTTCATTATAATAACTACCACAGCTTTTTAAATGATTAATATGACTTCCTTTGCCATTATTTTGGTTTTCCAAAATAAAATAAGTTATTTAAAATTTAAAAGGATATTTTATATCAATTTAAAAACTTAGCAAAACTTTTGGATTTGAATACCTGTATAACTCTCTCATTGCATTAAGCATTTTCAGTCGACCTCTCGACTGGGAGCGTGGCGTCTCCTGTAATCCGGCTACTCGGAGGTCGGGATCGGTGGATGGTTTGAGATTGGGAGTTCTGGTGCTGTGTTACTCATGTTGACTGGACGTCCACACTAAGCCCGGTATTAATATGGAACCTCCGGAGGAGTCTGGAGGTTGCAGGTTAACTAAGGAGGGGCGAACCGGGCCAGGGGGGAAACCCAGCAGCCAAAAGTCCCCGTATCGGGCAGTAGTGGGATAGCGGCCGGGAGTGGGTGCTCAGTAACAGCCTGATCAATACAATCAGACCCCTTTCTTTTTTTACATTAATATAGTATATTATTTCAGGTACATTATGTAGTTAACTTAAAATGAATAAGCTTTTTTAAATTGAATAAGCATTTTTTTAAATCTTAAAGTCCCATACGTTTATAAAAGACTTATTGTAATATTGTTCTTTGCTGTGAAAAATATTGGCAGAATACTAAATAGGTACAAAATAACAATTTACTACAAATACCACCGAACGCCGAGGAAACTTTTTTTTTTAGACACACTTATTTGTTATCTTTACATTCTCTGCATTTGTATTAAAGTTGTTAATAGCTTTTTTAATATTATAAATACATATATATTATGTAAAATTGTAGTGAAATTTTAATTAATTTATATTTTATTTATGTCATACGCAAAAAATATAATTTAATGTTTACATATAAAATTGTAAATGTGGATATATGTGTAAGTTATAGGAGATCATGACGAGGTAACTTGTTGTTTTAACAAGGATTAAAAGGTCAGACACGAAAAGACTTGTGTTTAGGCCATCATTCTAGATACATTTAATATAAGATAATCGGTGCGCCCCTTGAGACAATGCCCGGGTTATGGGGTACTTTTCCTCGACGCCCTACCTGCACCTGCTCGACTGCTAGGGCAGTGTAGACGACTCCTGTATATGTGTGTGTGTGTAATATAAGATTATCAAGTGAGAACGTAATTTTACGTCCATTTATGTTCACGTATACGTATGTATGAGCAAAATTATAACGATGCGGCTTACATAATCATTTAGATACACATTTATGATAGGAAATGTATGAGTAAATATAAATTTACTAGTTTTTGTAGAAAGCCACAAGATAATTCCCGCGCTCACGTTTATTCTAGAACAGGTTCGTGTGTTCCGGTTGCAGTTCGTACTTTCAAATCCCAAGGTCCTTTTGAGAGTTCCTTTCAATAATCTCCACCCAGCGAGCGCTAGAGCACCGCAATATGCTATTGTGTGAAACTCTTTGAATTCAAACTGAATTATATTGAAATAAGGTTGGTTTTAATATTTTCAAAATTAAAGCACGGACAATGAGAAACAGGTATTGTTGCTCTATAAACTGTAATTAATGACTTCTATAGTTACTTGAACGGTGCTGGACGTACATTAAACTCGATTATAGGGCGTTTAAGCACCCAAGGTTTCTTTTCAATACATACAGTGTTTTAAAATTTATTTAAATGATAGATAATACCGCTGTTCCCACATTTTTAATTCCTTATGTACAAAAAAAACAAAGAAAAAAAAGCAAATCTGTTATAATGATAAACCGTGTCAATCTTTCACACAATGACACAGTGTTTTCTTTGATTTTGCATTTATTCATTCAAAATATAAGTTGATTTATATTGATTTTAAATTTATTATAGATTTCAAATCCACGAAGCACGATCTTATGCCACCTGCATCTTCAGGCTTCCCGCACACTTGCACAGGACGTCACTCCATCTAGTGGGGGGTCGTCCAACACTGCGATGGCCAGTCCGAGGCTGCTTCTCGAGAACCTTTCTTCCCTAACGGTTATCAGTACTACGAGCTATATAGCCGGCCCAGTGCCACTTCAATTGCGAATTCTATGACTCAGAGGAATACCGAGCATAGCTCGTTCCATAGCTCGTTGAGCGAGACAGTGAAGTACTAACTAATTAACTATATTCCTATTAATGTCTGTATTCCTAATTAATCTTAAAAAATTTATAATTTTATATCACGAGAACTTGATATTATAAATTCTGTGGAAAAAATCAAAATTGTTTCCATTTATTTATGTTTAGAAAGAAAATTAATGTTTATTTAATTGAATAAATGTTGTCAAGAACGGGTGTAGCCAGTGATCCTTAGGATAGATCTTAGTAGGATTTCAAAAGAAAATCAACAAATTAGGTACACCAAGAATTTGACAATGTAATTAAAATGAATATATTTAATGTATATTACTGTAATATTTGGAATATTTCGAAATTTAAATCGACCCCTCCCCCGTACCGAGCACCATGATTCTTTTATTATATATTTTAATTATGAAATACATTATATTACTTTTGTAACCAAATATTTTAAAGGAGTAGATCTAAACGTCTACTTTATACAATAATATGTTCTCAGCGGATTTGAAAACGCCTTTGCGATAGTTTAACCGACAGACATTTCGGTGCTAACCGCAAGTGTGTGGTCACAACAATGGCAAGAATAAACAGAAATCAATATCGAAAAATATACATTTTTCGTGATATATTTTTTTTGTTGTTCGAAAAACTAATGGAGTTTTATACCCGCTGTTGCAGATTTCAAGAAACAAAATCATGTTTCTTGTAATCTGCAAAAGCCTGATTTGTGGTTGGTTGAATAATGTCATTATACGAAGCGCTTCCATGGAAGGAGGGTTCTGATATGATACTCTGTTCTGGTAGAACAGTAAAAAATTGCTACTTATGTGTTGAAAGTAAAAGTAAAAGTTGGCCTGCGACATAGCTTTTCATAATTTTAATATAACATAGGTATGTAATAGATCTATTAATAAGGGTTGTCGGATCCTTTATTATTTCGAGGTTAAATTTTTTTCATTGCAAACATATAAAAGTATTTATAAAAATATAGACATTAGATATTTACAACCCGATCGACAAAGTGAGTAAACAAAGACGTTCTAACTTGTAGGTGGCTGTTGGTCTCAGGAACAAATTAAGGTTTTTGTAACGGTTGTAGGTGCAATAGAACGCGATAAAACGATAAAAGTTTATCCCAGATAATTTCAGGTGTCAAAACGTGTAGATGGATCCTCATAGAGCAACTTATGATGATGTATATTCAGTTATGGTTGACGACACCAAACATATGCAATTTTGAATATTAACACCTTAACGCAATCAGATTAAAGCAATTAAAACGCGGGCGTAACGTCTCGCTTCCTAAGCAATTGCAAAATCATGAAATTACTTTGCTTCTTTTTTCGGACTCTCTGATTACAATGCAATTTTTAATTCATTACACCACAACCGCCTTTATCAAATGATAAATTATGTATTTTCAACAAGCTCTTTCCCGCGGCTTTGTCCACAAAATTATTTTGGACATATAATATATTTTTCGAAATAAAACTTAATGTTTAAATTTCTCATTCCAAGAGGGAATAATTATACTTACTCAAGGCATTCGCAGTACCGTGATCTTACGTACAATGCAGTCTCGAAATGTTTCTCATTTTATTATTTTTATTTTTTAATTATTGCGGATGCTGCTACGAGAGAATCTAGTATGATCAAGAGGCCCATCGGCTTATCATGAAGAAATTGTATAGAAACAAATTTCTTCATTGCATTGGTTTTGCGGTCTATCCCTATCTGCCCTTCCCATAATGACGCCAAATTGAAGTTGCATTTTTTTATATTGAGTTGCAAGAAATATTTTTTACCATATATCTATTTTAATACATAATACCGTCTAAAGGATTAGTAAAAATGTAAGTGTAACACTCTATGTGAAATCTATTAGCTGCAATAAGTATTGCACAACGTGCGTATTATTTGCTGTAAGCAGGTAAGCGAATCGCAGCGATGCTTTATAAATATTAAATTTTCGTAAGCAGTTATTTAACGGATGGAACCTTTTTGTATCTTCTTTTAATCAACACCAAATAAATAGGAAATGAAGAACATAACGATTTAAAACTTAAAGACGTGAATATTGTATCGAATTCGATAGAAAGTTGTTACTGCAGCAGTATGTCGTAGATATTCATATAAAATGCATAAACTTATAAGGTGCAATTGAATAAGTAAGTTATGTTATTCACTTTATCCTGTTTGAGTCCTTGAGTTTCATGGGTTTTGTTTCTTTTAATTTTGATTTTAATTAAGGAAAATGATTTTATTTAACAATTTTTAGTTCGTGTGAATACAAGACATCATAAAAAAAGGAGTTTATATGGAATATGGAGGCACCGTTAATCTGCAGATATCATCATCATCATCATCATATCAGCCGTAGGACGTCCACTGCTGAACATAGGCCTCCCCCATTGACTTCCACTTCGACCGGTCGTTAGCGGCTTGCATCCAACGCGTCCCTGCGATCTTGGCTAGGTCGTCCGTCGTCAGATATAAAACCTAATAATAATATCTACGAATATTTCTAAATAAAACAACACTTCATATTGTAT